CGAGACTTAGCTTAATGGTAATAATTTGATTTAATATGCATATAATATAGATATTTTTTTCAGCGTAATTATTATATATTTGAATTGATATCATTTAATATTCGAACTCTGAATCACTTGATTAAAGAATTCACGTGTTAATACTTATTTAGTTAGTTAAATGTGTTTAATGGAGGATTACCAAGTATTATATATAAATATAATTAAAAGTTTTTGTTAAGAGCAAAACCTTGGAATATCTAGGACAGTTAGTTAAAAACATAGAAATTGCAAGTTTTTTTTTTTTTTAATTCAAAATCAGACCTAGTTTCCTTCTTATTTTTCCTCACATTTTTTTTATGGTAGCTCTTTTTTTGTTTTTGCATGGATGTTGGGTTATGGGATGTTTTCAGCCCAAGTATAAAAAAGAAAAAAAAAAGGAATGGTATCATGTACAAAAATAATAACACAAAGAAATAAGAATGGATATTTCTCTCTCCTTTTTTCTCACGTTTAGGAAATATGAATTTTACATGAACACTTTTTAAGATCGGAATCTTCTGTTCAATTCAAATTCACTTAGTGGTATTGAGTAAACCTCTCTATGTTTTTGTTTTAGCTGATTATTAGTGAATTGATTTTTTGTTTAATTCATGATTGAAATTTTGTGAATATAATGAGAATTGAAAATAGTTGTATGTTTGGATGATTTTTTAATTTAAGATAATTAAATAAATTCTATTATATTATATAAAGTTTTTATATTATTATTATAAATTTATACAAGTAAAAACCTATGAGTGGATTAATGTATTTACACTATGCCCATGTACTAGTGTGATATTTTGTTATTTTTTATTGTTATTATTTATACAAGTAATAATGTGTTAAGATGCGGTGGTAAAAATTATTTTATTATTTTTTATTGATGATTTTTTTAAATATTATTATGTATATTTAATTAATTACATAAATAAATTATTTGATAAATTTAGAATATATAAAAAAGAGGTGGAAAATCAATTAGAAAATAAAAGTAAGACTTTTTTGTTCACATAAAGGTGAAGAATATATGTCTTTAGAAATGAGTGATTTTTTAAAATGTGTGATATTGTTCCTGAAGTAACATTTTTATATGTTCCTCAATTTAATGGTATAGGTGAAAGAAGGAAAAAAAAATAGAATCTTATTAAATATGATAAATGTTATGCATATAAGTTTTGGTTTGAGGGGAAAGTTTATATTCTACTTGTCATATTCTTAGTAGGTTCTTTATAATAACTGTCGGGAAATTCCTTGAGTTATGAAAGAAAAAAGAATCTCATTTAAAATATATTGAAGTGTGGGGATTAATATTCCTTTTAAAAGAATCTCATTTAAAATATATTGAAGTGTAGGGATTAATATTCTTCTTAATAAAAAGAGAAAAATAAGATCCAAACCAGTTAATTGTATTTTTACTTTAGGTGTAATTGCAGTGTCTTAAAAATATGTTAAACAAGTTATCATTTCACTATATACCATGAAAGTAAAAATTATTGTTTTAGATGAGGCTGAGTTTCTAAAAAACTTCCTATATGATTTGTCATTGTTAAATAAATCTTTACCTCCAATTTCAATGTAATGTGATAATAAGTTACTATATCCAAAGTTTTTAATAAAAAATTTAATGAAAAAAAGAAGACACGTGATAATAAGACATAAATCTATTAGAAATTGGATTTATCACGGTATTCTCTTGACTTTATCAAGTTACAAAGAAATATTGTCGATTCACTTACAAAATCAACAAATACTTAAATCATGAAAAAAAAATGAGATTGAAGTCCATCAACTAAGTTATAATGATGAAAACTCAACTCCAATTGAATGATGATCTCATAAATAAAGTTCAATGGATAATAATGAAGTTGTTGAGTAAAATACACCATCTAATTTGAATAAATTTTGTATCTCGTCTCTACGAGGAGGGGTAGTCTAAATTGTCGCTAATAAGGGTGAAGTATGTGTATCATTATATTTAAAATACATATTAATGAATTCAATGACATTTAAGGTAGGGATGTGAGTCACTAACCATCGTCTAAGGGTTCACCTAGTGAGTATAAAGGTGAGATCGCGGGTATTGCAAAACTTAGAACGTGTTCCCACAACTTGTATAGACGATTTCACATAAGGTGTTCTCATACATTGCGGAAGACCATTTTAGAGAACGTGTTATCACACGTTGCAGAAGACTATTTCAGAGAACGTTGCAGAAGATTGTTACAGACCCACTACCAAATCTTTTCATAACTGCTACAGACTTTCTCCTGTAAATAGAGACCACTTCACACTCTTCAGAAATACACCTCTCTTATCTTCTCTTCTCTAATCTTATTTATGTTATCTTGGGTTAATTTACTTTATTTGAGAATTTCTTGCTAGTTTCTGAGATTCTTGGATATTCTGATAAGTTCTTGTTGTATATTGGGACTTGCGCAATACATCGCAGATAAGTCCTTAAGGACATTGATTATACACGTCTCAGAAATAAAGTTTATTCGTGTCTTTGTCAGCTTTTACAACAACTTAAGACAAAAATAAATTTCTAATTCACACTCATAAAACATAAGACAAAATATACCGGTAAAGTACAACTATTAATTATAACCTAAGTAAATACTTATATTATGTGTTATATATTAAAATTAAGTTAAAAAAAATGTAGCTCAAGATTATTAATTCTCAACTCTCTTTTTTTTCTTGAATAAAAGTTCATGTTAGATATAAGGCTCAAATTCGAAAAGTTTTTTATATTGAAGTACAATATTATTTTATCTTTTATAAATTATATTTCATAAATATTTCATTTTAAATTACACGGGAAATATTGAAAATATATTTTTATAAATTTAAATAAATAAAAATTTATATTATAATATATAATATTTTTTATTATTATAAATTTATAGAAGTTAAAAAGTCAACACATATGCCAATGCCCATGTACATGCATTATGCCCTCATACTAGCTAGATATTTTGTTCACCGCATACAACTAATATTTTTAATGTTATTAATATTTTGTGTGCTTGCCTGGATTTGTGGCAAGAGACCTACAACTATTCTCTATAAAAAGAGAACACTTTTATGATAAAAACCAAAGAAATTTAGTTTTATATTCATAAAGTCTACTTTTATAATCATTCAAAATGAATGTTTTTTCAAAATATTTTTGTGAATATTTAGTTTTATATTCATAAAGTCTACTTTTACAATCATTCAAAATGAATATTTTTCAAAATGTTTTGGTACTCACAAAGTTTTGAACCCTCGCTATATTCTGTTTATCTCATAGGTGGTTGTTTATTGGGAGAGACACACGTACTGTTTTATCTATCATATAAATAGTTGTATTTTAGGTGAGGAGCGCATACTATTTTATTCTATAATGTAATAGGGGTGTTTTTTCTATAAGAAAAGAAACTCAACATAATATAAATTATTTATAATAACAATTATATATTTTTTTTGAACTATTATAAAAATAAATACAAAACTTTATAAAATCGAGTTTGTGCATTGTATTCTCTTTTAATAAGAGAATAATTCCATGTATTTTGTGTTGGGAAATAAGGTCGGATAAGATGGAATAATAATAATACACCAATGTGAGATCAATAAAAGACACGAATATTTGTTAACCCGGTTCGGATTAAATCCTACATCCTAGGGCGAACCAAGCCAGGAGAATGAACTAGAATAAGAGGATAAACCGAATGTTACAACTCACACAAGCCCGTATGAATACACTCTCTCTACTCTTTCTTCACACTTGGATTGGATACAAATGAGGTTACAAAATGAGGTATTTATAGCCAAACAAATCCTTCTTGAGAGGAAGCTCCCTTCCTTTGACCAGGAAGTTGCAAGGAAGCTCCCTTCCTTTGACCAGGAAGTTGCAAGGAAGTAGCCTTCCTTTGACCAGGAAGTTGCAAGGAAGTAGCCTTCCTTTGACCAGGAACTTACGAAGAAGTTCCCTATCTTTGACCGATCTTTACACCTCAACATTTTGGAGTTGGATTTCCATAAATCTAGACACTCACCAAAAATATTTATAGCATTAAAAGTAGTTATGCACCTTTAACAAAATATCCAACTACTACATGGACATAAAACAAGTAAATAGGCATACCCATAAATCTTTCACTTGTATAAATTTATAATTATAATAAAAAAAAACTGTATATAATATAATAAAATTTATTTATTTATTTTTAATTATAAAAATACTCTTTCAACAAAAAATATAAAAATAATATATATATATATATATATATTAATTTTCAATCATTTAATTTTGAATATATTATCTAATTTCAAATAAATTAAATATTTTATTTGAATAATCTTATAATCGTATTTACTAACATTTTCAATCTATATTAAATTAATTTAATAAAATATAAAACAATTTTAATAATTTAAATCTGATTTACTCAAGTATATATTTTTAAAAGTTAGATTATTAACATCTTATCTTATGTAGGCTTCATGTCATAGTTTTTGAGTGTTTTTATTTAAATTATAAAAATAGTTAAAATTTAAATAAATTACAAAGATAGATAAGCTGTGCTTTGAAACATACTTCTAATAAAAACATTGGATATTAAAAAATGATTTTATTTTCTATTTAAAAAAATAGTTTTTGTTGTAAACATAATATATAAATTGTTTATTTTAAAATATTAAAAGCTTATATAATTTCAACTCCTTTTTCAATCGAAACCGTATAATAAAATACGACTTCTTTCTTTAAATTATAATTTCTATTATTTTCTAAAAAACAAGGTTTACAAGTTTTTTAACTATACTTTTTGTAAAATTTACCTCCGAACAAAAAAAAAAACACGGTTAGTTACTGCAGAATCTAATGTTATTTGAATCATCACTTCTTAGTGTGTGAAATTGCAAAGTTTCTTTCCTTTCTTTTTACATGCTCTTCCTCTTGAAAACTCTTGAAGCACAAAACTGTGAAAATGGAACCCGATTCTAATGCCACCACCATAACCATAAACGTCAAGTTCAATGGTGAGACCATACCTATCTCAGTTTCACCCAACTCAACCATCAAAGACCTCAAGTCCCTTCTTCTAGTTTCCACCAATGTCCTCCCTAGGGGCCAGAAACTCATCTTCAAAGGTTTCACCTTTTGTGCCTTTCTCTTTTTCATTCAAAACCCTTATGAATGAAACCCCACTTTTTTAATTGGCGTGTGAATGAAATTAATGAATGATCTTACAGGTAAGGTTTTGGAAGACCCCGTGGCTTTGACTGCATCCAACTTGACTAATGGATCCAAAATCATGCTTGTGGCTTCTCAAGGTTTATATCAAGGGGTATTATATATGACTTTATTCGTCTCTTTTTTTTTTTTTAGATAGTGTTCAATAAAATTAGTTCCCCCCCATTAACGAGTTCAGAAAATTTATACATTTTAGATGAAAAATGTTAGCAACATAGTCTCTAACAAACGCTTTTGAAGAGACTCTTAGGAAAGTTATTACAACTCACAAAACTGTGTAGCTTTTACTTCTTATTTTAATGAGCCCCAGTTATATTTATTTTTTTAGTTCTAAATAAATTTTAACGAGTAGTGAGAGTGTGTTAGAGAATATTTCATGATGCATGCTAAGATTGTTGGTTTTTGCAATAACTATTTTGAAAGTTGTATATGTGGGGTGGTTTCTATTTCGCTAATTGTGTAAATCTTAACAGGATGCATGCAAACGACCTTTTTTTTAAGCATGATGAACTCAGCTGTATGGTACTATGATTTCATCATTGTTAATTTGTGGCTTTATGGTTATGGGGTAAACAAATGAAAAATGTATTAACAAATGCCTTGACAAGCTGATTATAGACAAACTAGATGGATCCTTTTATATGGAGCTACTTAGAATGGGAATTATACAATCAGACAAGTTTGATGAGGCTTATCATACTTCTCATTGAAAATAAAAATTATGTTTATAGATGTGTCTGTGTAGTTTGCTTTTGTTTCTGTGACGATCTGAAAATTGTAGCTTGAAGATTCAATTCTTTATCTAGGATGGCCCCATCTTGAAGAAAGCTCAGGTTGTTCCCAAATCGAGGAAAGATAGTCACTCTGGCTCTAGCAATGAGGTGAAGAAAATTCCTGCTAAGAACAGGATGGAACGATGGAAAGCAACAGGAGTTGTAGCACTGTCTGAAAGCAATTTGGAGGTAATAATATTTTGTTCATAGTTTGTCATATATCCAACTAGACGCTTACGTTTTGGTGTCAAGTGGTAATTTAGAGATGAGGAACATGCTAAATTTTACTTAATGGCATGGTTTTGAATATTTTTCATATTGAGATTTCTATAATGCAATTGCAAACAAAATGGTATTATTGGTATGGAACTATCCTCTTTTATCTTTCTTCATGCCATATACGCATCTGGAGTCTATTCTGTAGTTCACATGTTAGGTATGTCTAGGATTCACTTCAAATTATAGCATGACTGGAGGCAGACTATAACATCATTTACAAAACAATCCATCAAATAGTTCAGAACAGTATAAGAAAGTTTTTGGTGGAAGGGAAGTTGTCATTCCAAGGCTAAGGCATGTACAATGATAGTAAGGGATTGCAATGACACTTACACATTGATGCTGTTTGATCCTACCAATTTGGCTAACTACTATTGTCTATTTCTTGGTAGTTTATATGATTGTTTATTAGTAGATTTTTGGTGCGGTGCAAGATGGATCACTGATTATTAAGGTTAAAATTAAGATATTTTGTTGGTCTTTTTATCCCTATAATTGTTCGTTGTCCTTGACTTTGTCCTGACCAGAAGAACTCCATCCTGTTTTGGTCATCTGTTTGATCTCTTCTGTCGATTATTTAACCCTAAAATATCTTATTGAACAGCCACACATGATTTGATGGGTTATGCCACTAGCAAGTCATACAGGAAAAGGGAATTCCAGATGTTACCATCCTGAAGACAATATGGCATACTAAATCACGGATTTTCATGTTCACATCTTCTGATGTGACACTCAATCTTAAGTCAGTCAGATATTTGCTGAGATCAACATGCTTTATAAGCAAATAATTGGAGTTCCAACTCTAGTTAGTCATTTTGGATTAGGCATAGAGCTAGAGAGCTTCACAGAACTTGCTGGAAGCTAAATTTGCAACTTTGCATGTCATACATAATATATTGTTATTAGCTGTGTAAATACACTTGTTATAGTGAAGGATAGGTTCCAGTATCACTGTTCACTCTAGTCTTGCTATCAGTAAAACATAGCATAATCCTTGGCAACTTAGTCCTTTGGAGTTAACCATAGCTTACATTGGTTAGTCCTGAAGCTTGACTCCTGATAATATGCTCTATGCCTTAGTGAATCTAGAAAAAGAAAGTAAAACAGCCAACAAAGGAAAAAAAAAAAAAAAGTGAAAAATAAAACAGATTTTATACGATGTAATTCCATGTCAATTGTAAGAATTTTCTTCTCATTTTCCTAGAAATTTCTATTTAAATAGGCCATTCCTGAAGAAGTATGGGTTTGTGGATCTTCTACAAGAGTTCTAGATTGCAACAACAATTCAATTAAAAATGTCCCTGTTGAAATTGCACGCCTTACAGGTCTAGAGGTAATCTGAACGTCTCTCTCTCTTTTAAGCTTAGTTTCTGCTACATCCTGTTCTTTCTGTTGGTAGCAATAATTAACACTGCTTGCTATTTTCAAAATACTGCAGAAACTATTCATGAATTCAAATGAGATAGATGATCAATCAATTCGGTGGGAAGGACTAACAAATCTGAAGTATATAACTGTATTATCATTGAACCATAACAAGTGAGTAGATGTTATCATTTGCAATTTCAATGTGTGCCTGCTTGGATTTACTTGCATGAAACAACGAATAAATCTATACAAGTACTGCTTGCACTATGGATTTTTGGTAGTCCCTCTAAACCATCATAATTTGCAATAGTTGGTCCCCTGCCCTAAGATAACGGGGTGCAGTAAGCATATTTGTTGTTATGTTTCTAGCATATTGCTTTTGGAGTTTAACACAAAATGACGGAGATTAACTCTTAAACTAACACCAAGTACTACTAACCCTTATTTCAGTTATTCTAGTTTAATGTTAAATCTATTAAAAATTCTTAGCATATTTGAAAGAATGACTTCATATTTTATCTAACCTTGGCTAGTAGATCTTTATATTTCAATTTGATCGAGAATAGTATTTCTTCATGTAATTTGGTTGTTTAACATGATTTCTCTGCAGTTTAACCACTTTGCCATCTGCGCTTGGATCTCTTACCTCTTTGAAGGAGTTGCATCTTTCCAATAATAAATTGGGTGGCTTTCCAGATGAAATAGGGCATCTGACAAAATTAGAAGTTTTGCAAGCCAACAATAATAGGTATTATTTAAAATTCAGTACTTGATTAAGTATGGATATTTTGCTAACACATTGTAAGTTTGGTCGAATCTCTAAAACCCATTTTAATGATTGTCCAACACTTGAGTTGTTTATTTGGTCCATCTATTTGATTTATGGGTTCTTGTTTACATGTTGCGATTTTAAGAATTTACAAATATGCATTCTTATTTTCTGGGTTCATCTACCTCATGTAGTAAATACTATTATAATAACTCTATTAACAAATTACTAACTGATTTTTGAGTATAATGTTGTTATTTTGATTGATGTGTATCTTCTTCTCAGGATAAGTATCATCAGTGATTCTATTGGGAACTGCCATTCTCTTGTTGAGGTACAGTTTCTGGTCTTTCTATCCTTTTTTTCTCATCTTTGTATTCCTTTTTCAGAAGGGACTATCCAATTGATACAGCTTTAACAAGTTTAAAAATCACTGAAAATAATTATTTTTCTTTGATGATGTATAAACCCTTGATATACTTATCCATAGTTCTTGTGGCATAGGTTGATTTCTCGTCAAATTTTCTGTCAGAACTGCCAGAGACATTTAGTAGTTTGAGTAATTTGAAGGTAGCCTTTTCTGACCCATTTACCTATAACATGAAAAGAAAATTTAAGGCGGTTTTGTTTCCTACCACAAGCTGTTTATTAATTAACTATTTTGTATGTTATCTTTAGATAATTTTGAAGTTTAAAAACTGTAATTAACTTACTGCTGCAATTTCATTCCTCTGCCTTACTACTGCATGCTGACTACTTCACGTTGATGATCAAGTGAAGCTCTAGATCTCATGTTCTAAAAATTACATATAATAGGGGTTGGTTAACAATCCATAACTGACTTTAACCCACCTTTTTAGATTATAACAGTTACTTATCATGTACGATGTATCCCTTTCTTTTATAGATTTGCCTCGAGTTATAGTGAAATCATGTATAGGCCCCTCTTTTAGAAATAACGGATATTGTAATTTGTAAGACACCCTCCCATTAGAGATCTTTCCTTCTATGACGTTAGTGTAGTTATTCCAAAAAGACATCTCTCCTTCATCTGTATGTAATAAGTTGACTATTGTAGAGAATAAGAAAGAAAATATGCCTAAATTTGAGTCTATTTTGTAAGTACCTGGGAATTTACACGCACACAATAAGGTTTAGTGGGGTGTAAAGTCAAGTACAGAGTTACAGCCACACCATTTTCCAATTAGAAGGGAGTTGCATGTGATTTTGGCATAGCAACCATAGGGTTGTCTGTAATTTACTATGTGTAAAATTATGAATAGTACACAAACACTTTAACCCCTGAAAGTGGTATTAGTCTCTGAAACTAAAACAAATGTTAAAAAGTTCCTGGAATGCAAATAAGTTCATAAACTTAACTACTTCCTGTCATTTTAGCCTCTAAATATATTTTAATATTATCACTTTAATCATACATTTTTTTTTTAATGTTGGACTAATCTGATTGTCGAATTACACAGAGACTAACGTGACAGTTTCAAATTCAAGGACCAAAGTGACCATTTTTACTCAATACCTGTACTAACTTTTCCTACTTATTACTCCATCTGTGTGTCAACTATGCAGGCATTGCATCTTAGTAACAATGGGATGAAATCTCTCCCATCTAAACTATTCAAGACCTGTCTTCAGCTCTCCACACTGGATCTCCACAATACAGAAATAACAATGGATCTCCTTCGCCAGGTGTGAACATTTTTTTGCATTATAATTTGAACCAAAAAACAAATATTTTATTTCACCAGAAGGCTTATCATAGCTATGTCAGTTCAACTGAGCATGTAATGTCTAAGAAACAAACTGTTACATGACAGCAAAATATGCGTTGCTTTCTTGCAGATTGAAGGGTGGGTCAATTTTGACGAGCGACGCCGCTCAAAGCATCAAAAGCAAATCGATTTCCGGGTTGGAGTTTCTAGAGATTTTGATGAAGGTGCTGATAAAAACTAAGAAATGGTTTGTTATGAATAATGTAGTTCAGATAGTATTCATGAAGTTCATGTCCAAACATGATGGCAATTGCTTATCTTTCCTCTGGTGGCAGAATGCAAATAGGAATATAGGATGTTGTTTTATTGAGATTTCCTACAAGTGACTAATAAACAGTTAAATACTAAGGTTCCTGTGAAGAGAAAACAAAAAGCTTGAATACCCTTGAAAACTTGTTGTATTATTGTTTCTTCTAAGGATGTATTGGTCAAATTTTTAATCAAGTTTTTAGTGACTAAATGAAAATCTATCCATCTACCTTTAGAGTTCTTTTTACCATCTATTTTAAAAGAAGTATAAATGTAATATTCCCAGCTTTTATTCAACATGGGTGATTTGATCTTTTTAGTGAAAGAATGTTAATATAGTTCTTGATAACAAGTTATCATGTAGGTGGGTAAGGTATTTACTCTCAAATAATTTTTTTTTTGTTTCATTAGAGTCAAATTATTCGTGTTTGTTTCTTGAAGATTATATTGTTAAATTTTTCATAATATTTTTATTTTTTAAAATTGTTGTGTATAATTTTATATGCCACTTATGCTGTATTTATTTATTTATTTATTTTGATTTTTATATAATAAAATATAATGTGAATAGTTTTAAAGATAATTAATTATCCAAATAAATACTAGTTTCATAAATGATGATCTAAAATATGATTTTTTTTTCAAACTCAATCAATTTATTATTCCAAAATTAATCTATAACATAAAACATTGCATCTTCAATGTTTTTCACTCATCATTGCAAACCACATATATTCTGGATCGTAAATAAAAATTATTTATTTTTGTTTGTTTAAATCTTTCCTTTACACTTTATATTTGTAGATTTTGGAATGAATCTAAATTTAGCAAGATTAGAATTAATGAAAATGTGTTTCAAAGTAAGAAATTCGTTTGATTAAATTATAACACTTACAAATATTTTTCAAATTGAAAATAATTGAAATGAAAAGTATAACTGAAATAGAAAATAAGTTGTAATATAACTTTATCACCTTGATCATGAGAATAAAGAAGAAATAAATCACAATGTTAACTTACAGCAAATGAACGTTATCAGAAAATAATTTTCAAAATTCAGAACAAGCAATCGAATGTCAAATTCTCAAATTCATTCTCTTGAACTGAACTTTTAATCCATAAAATAAACACACTTTTGGAAAAAATGAAAATACACCAGACGTAGAATTGAAAAAACTAAGGACTAAATACAATTGTACCAAAATTTTACGGGACAAAGGCTCAATCACGTGATCACTCAATTGATTTTGTCATCCATTTAGATCTTTTGTGAATAATTTTTTCAATCCAACACAAGAAAAAAAAAATCTTACATAACACAAAAAATAATTGATGTACAAGTTTCAAAAATTAAATAATTTTTATAAAAAGTATGTGTACATTTATTTTAACTTAAAGAAAAATTATTTTATTCTAACTTTTCTTATCATTTCCTTTTACAAAGATTTATTAAGTTTGTGTTTAAAGTCATTTCAGTTAATTTTTAAATTCTTTTACTAGTTGAAATTTGAAAAATTCGTTTGATACTATTGATAGTATTTGGTAAATAGTTTTTTTTTTAAGTAAAATTGATGAACTATAAGGTATAAGCCTGATTGAGATCTCATAGTTTATGGTGATACTAAACATGCTTTTTTTTATTTTATAAAAAAAAAAAAAAAAAAACTTAACATTGTTTTGAAATATTAATTGAAGTAAAGATTTTCAAAACACCACTTTTTATATTTTCAATATATATTTCTATTGATTCTAAAAATACTTTATCTTTTTTACTTTTTTTAAACATAATTTCACACGGATATGTTGTTTTTTTTTTTTACATTGAAATTATTACTACTAATTAAAAATATGGTATCCACATTTATATTATTAAACTTTTTAATTTTATTTTTTTATAATATTTTCTCTCGTCTCTTTTTAAATTTATGATATTTTTTTCTCTCATTCAATATACAAATTCTTAAGGGTCAGATTTAAGAGTATAAGACAATAAAAACAATTTACTTTTACGTCAAATTATATATTTATACATTCTAAAATTACATATAAGTTTATTATAAAACGGTATAAAATTAAGAAGACAAAAATTTTAAATATTTAATAATTTTAATAAAATTAGGTGATACATTTATATACTGTGTATATATATATATATATATATATATATATATATATATATATTATTTTTATACATAATTTTATTATTATTATTATTATTTAGATATTTTTATGTTGTTTTATTTTAATATTACTCTACTATACAGATGGTATTTTTGTTTTAATTTTTTGAATTAGACGTCTAGATATTCTAATTATTGTATTAATTAACATGATGAAAGTATTATATTTATTTAAACATAGGTAACTTTTTATTTTAGTTTAAGTTTAAATAAAAATAATATAAGACATGTTATAAGACTAACAGTAATATAAAATATGAAAAATGTATTACTAGAAATAAAATAAATGTAATTAAAATAATTTATCTATGGATAAAATATCATAAGAATTGATAATTTCACTAAACAATATTTAATAAACTAACTTTCAATGACTCTTAACCATCAATAAACTAATTTATCAACTTTTCAATTCTTACTAACATTTTTTCAGCTTTGGACTTCCAGCCATATTTTTGGCATTGCCTAAAATTTTCATCTAAATCTTTAAGAAGGCAAGACCATTGATTCATGAAGGCTCGCCCCTCACTCTCTTAATTCAACTTTTTCTCCCAATTTTTTTTACGAAACCTGTAGCATCTTTCATTTCCAAGCTACTTGTGCATATTTTACCAGTAGTTTATGCAACACAGAATAAATGTTTATATGATATACTCTTTCAATTTATGTTAAATAAGTATTTTATAGTAAAACATTATTTTCGAAGTTTTCACAATATAATTTAAAAATAAAACCATGTACGTAAAAAATCAAATATACAAATATAATAAAAAACCATTACGACAAGGCAACACAAAATACATCAACCTACATGAGAAAGAAAGACATGCAGAAGTGACATAACAACATACGCTACCATCTCAAACAAAAGATGAACACCCCAAAAGCATAGGGAGAAAGAATAAGCCGAGGAACCAATGTTGTTTTATAAATTCACATGAAAAATGACATAATGTTTCTTTTGTGTATTAATTATGAATATGAAGCATGTCTGTCGTGTTCACCTAAGTCTCAAACACACACGCCTCTTTCGGATGAAAAGGCAATTTCTTACTAACGAAAATAAATGGATATTTGAGGGATGTCAATGTCATTATCCTCATCATCCTCACATGCCACAACAACGTCCAAATGACGACGGTATGAAGGAATGTCCAACTTGGCTACATCCCTTCCCAGATCTGCAACTTTTTTGTCCATTCGCTCTTTATGCTTAGGGAACATGCTATTATACAGGAGGCAACTTCCACATGAAATACTATAAGCATTCAAGCCCTTTGCCTTCAGCCAATCAAGAAGTTCCCTCAGGGTAGGATTATCTCCAACAATCCATCTATCCCAAACTGTCCAATTCATATCTTGATGCTTGACAATCTTCGGTGGAACTGGTTCAGCCATTGAAAAGAGAGGCAGTGCCAAATTAGCAAATGTGTTTCTGTAGTCTTCAACTTTGTGCCCTCCATCCAAAACTTTGTAGAGCTCCAGACAAACAAGACCAGTGGCCATGGCTGTCGATGTTGCAATTGCAGGAATGATCCGTCCAGCAATAAATTTGGCTTTGAGCTTGTCTACCTCAGGAATACTGTAATTCCGGGCCCGCATGTTGGCAAGCCCAGCAATCACATCCATATGGTAGTTTGTATCATCATCCTACAGTTAAATGGCATAATGATAAATAAACAATAGACGACAACTTAACTACTCAGAACAATATATACACATACAAAATGCAGAAGAGTTCATATCAAGTAAATATAAACTCATCAACCTCATCCAATCCACGATTATCGAATATAGCTACAAAATATATATAAATTGACTAGGAGCGTAAATAAATCAATTGAAGTGTAATAAAGGAAATGCGGACCTTCTCAAACTGAATTGGTTTCATCCTGAACTCTGGCGGCAAATTAGCCCGACACCTCTCTAACTTAATTATTAGATCATTAATAACTGCTGCATCGTCTATAGAAGCTGTAGAGAGACTGGTAGCCTTCTCATCTGTCACTATTTTCACATCTTTCTTGGGTTCAAAGTCAGGTACTATCACCCTATCAACAGCTTCAGCCACCTTCCTAGAGTTTTTAGCCCAGTCAGGGATTTGGATACCAAATGATTCTGCCCGTAAAATTGAAGCTGCCAACACAAAATTTAGATGACCTAAATCAGAGGCAGAGAACTGGAGTGGATGAGGGAATCTTTTTGGTGCAGACCAGAAAGGAGCTCCAGTACTAGTTGCAGCATCTTCAGGAAAAGTATATATCAACTGCTTCAAACGGTTGACAAAATAATCCTCAAACCTGTGGACAAATAAGTGTTTTATAAATAACTAATATGCTCACACAATATGAATATAAAAGTGAGCAGAGACTAACGTAAAGGAACATACTTTAGCCGAGCCCAAGTGATACAATCTTCAAAAGTTTCACACTTGTCCCGGTCCAGGCACTCAAGAACACGCTCCAAGTTATCCCTTGCTTGAGCATCACCAGCATTTCTCATTGAACTAGTATATTCAATTGGATTAGACAAATATGCATTAACTTCAGCTGGAGTTTTCTCAAGTAAACCCTCAAATTCAGATCGTGCCCATGTCAAGCAATGGTCAATGTTGTGAGGAAATGAGTGAACAGTGCACATTGGTGCCTGTTTCTCAGGTGGATCCCTTGATGCACCATAGTTTTCTGTCAGGTGAGGAATGACCATTTGAGTATTACATTTGGCTCCAAGAGTTCCAGACTCAAGAAGAGGCTTCTGGAAATACAAGCATCTCTGATCAACATATAATCTTGCATTAACATTGTCTAATGCATTTATAACAACATTCAAGTTTTCCCAGAAGGTATCATTAAACACGTTTTCAGTTTCTGTGCCAACTCTATTTTGTAGAGCTTCAATATTAAAACTAGGGTTTATGGATGAAGCAGCAGAAGCAGCAACTGTGGACTTAGCCTGTCCAATATTCCAATCACGAAAAAGAAACTGCCTGCTTAGGTTACTCTTCTCTATCACATCATCATCAGTAATAGTGAGCTTCCCCTGACTTCCACAAGAAACTCCCATGAGAGCAAGATTTTTTAAAAATTCGCAGCCCAAAGCACCAGATCCAACAACAAAAACTTTAGCATCCTCTAATTTTTTCTGTAATTTCTGTCCAAATACTGAAATCTGAGCATCATGACGACCATTTACTGGTCTGAAATCATCTGGGTCTACTGGTTCTGAAGGGAGTGATTCCACAGAGTCAAAGTAGAAGAACTGCAAAGAACAGAATAAAACCAAAAATAAATAGCAAAGAACAATATTACTAAGGGCTGCTTGTTTTCTATTCTTGGAAACTGTTTCAATTGATAAGATTAGTTTCTTAATACTGTTTTTAAAAGTAATACCTTTTTTCTTCAGTTTTTATTTAAAATAAAGAATCCAGAATAAGTTGTTTTGCTTTTCTATTGTTTTCTATCCACAAATTAGTTTCTGAAAACTATTTTTAAAATAATTTTTTAAAAACAATAAACTAAAAACACAATCAGACCCTCCTACACTAGAAAATGATTCTCATTGAAGAGGCAACTGACAAAACCTTATAAAACATCAGTTCCACAGAAAAAACCAACATTTTTACCAGTTGTCTATGATCATATAATATAAGTAAACCATGTATGATATTACCATTATATTGTGACTGTTGTGTATCATGTCACACCAGACACTACTTCAAAACAAAAGAAAATGTCATGTGTTTTCATTAAATCAGTACGTGTCTATCTCACTTTAGCCATATTCTCTAATATCTGCTACTGTGTATATAACTTAGCAACTTGGCTTGCATTTGCTTGGAATATAGTAATCAAATTACCATGTTTATATATTTGTCAAGGTGTATGGAGCGATTCTAGCCCCAAAACATTACCATGAGGTTGACTGCTCCATGTCACTAACTTAGTATTATCAAAGAGATGGAATTTTGGGGTAACTGCCTCACCACATGACATTAATAGTTAAATCAAGGAAAATCAATGGATGATCGCGTTCAAAACAAAAACACACGTACGCCAGGAAATGGTCAGCTATGCTATATATTATCATGTTTTAAAGGTTACACATGCCTCTAGGAATCGGTCACTCTCTGTCTTTTTACAGGAATTAAAGAGGGAGGATAGAATTCAATAAACAGGTCGCAATCCAGGGCTACAAAACTCCAACTGTAGCAGGGCACATTATGAGTCTTTTGTAGGCACCCTTCATTTGATTCCATGAATTGAACCTATGACCTGAATTCCATGAATTGAGCCCAAACCCACATAACATGACCTCCTGGTTGGTTGGGCCAAGGCGCCCCTTAAATAAGTCAATATTCAAATGGTAAATAAGTTGCACTAAAAAAAACCAGAACCAATACCAAATTATGGTCAAAATCATATTTCAATCATAAGAATAAAGTCCAATACAGATCTTTGTTCACCAGTGGGTAGGGTGTTAATCTTCTTCAGATACTACTAGATTGGATAAGTAACTAATACAATAAAAGAAACAACAAACTGAACACACACCATCAATCAGCTAACCACTTTGAAAGGGAAATCAATTTTATTAAAAGATATTCATCCAAGCTTTTCCCTTGCACAACACAACAATTCAAAACCCAGAAAATGACAAGCCACTAAAAATATTTACCTGAAATAGAGGATGAAACTTGCCAGAGCATGCTTTGACAACCTCTTGTCCAACAATTCCACCAAACATAGCAGCCATAGGATTCAATACTGCCCTAGCACCAAAAGCAAAGTTTCGTAAAAGTTTTGGATTTATGTCTTCTAATTTCCCATCAGATGTGTTGTCATTAATTTCACTGGCAACAGATATAAGCTTCTGTGCATCATCCTCTGAACCAGCAACAGGGAAGCGACCTAGCTCAGAAATGAATTTATCCAAAGCCTGGAATGCTAAGTGAAGAAGAGGTGGGCGGTCAAACTTAGAAAAATCACTCAGAAGAAAATCACCAGGATCAGTGAGTGCTTCCCTGAGCGACTTAAAGGTCAATACCTTTGATTGTTTGACCTGCGTAACAATACCACCTTTTTCATACATGCCATAACTTGTGGTGTCTTCTTCGAGAGTAAATGAATATGCTCTAGCATTTTTAATCCTTCTAGGCTTTCCATCGTTCAATTCTTTCATACCATGAATTTCAGAGAATACAACAAGATCTCCATCCTGAAACTCAAGCCTCTCATCATCAACACAGGATACTAGGGCAGGGTTGTCGTTGCTTATGGAGGCAATTATACCACTATGGGGTTCTTCTCCATCCACATCAACAACAGTAAACTCAGGCCCAAAATCACAGAAAACAGAACCGAAAAGGCCCCTAACTTCACTTTTAATAAAGGCAATGGGAGGCTGATGACTGCGACAATAATCATTGAATTCACAGGCTTTCTCAAGACTGATATCAGTAAAAACAACAGCCTACAAATAGTGAATAGAGTAAATATACTGTCAAATAAATTGGATACAAATGAAGTTATGGTTCGAAATGAGAAGACTACACATTTATTTACACCATTACAAAACAAACATGAAAAATCTCCGCGTTAAATTACTTAAAAATTATGCAGATCAAACAAGGGATTAATTTATGCTAAGGCACTAGAAGTAGGACATACAGAAAGGTGAATCTATCTCTGTGATTCATTTACTAGTATGAATTTATATGATAAATGCTATACAATAACAATAATCACTATTATTAGCAACTTCATTAGTAGCAGCTACATACCCATTTCAAAAGCTATGCATATAAGTATTAATTACCAAACAATATTCTGTTATGAAAGTGAAGTGACTGGAACTTACTAGTTATTAACAGAGCATGACATATCAACCATAAAAACAAATAGTTTGCAACAGAAAATAACATGAAATGCATTTTAAAAGGGAAGATTAGACAGCAGAAGTAGGTACCTGAAAATTAGAAAGGTGCTCTTTTGTCAACTGAGTGGTCAAGCTTTGGACGATCACTGCATTGTTGAGTTCCTGCAGCTTAATAACAGAAGATGCTGCCCTATTTTTACCAACATCACTCTCTGAAAACACAAAGTTACTGGACAGATCCCACAGCTCCACAATCCCCTCATCATGCAAGGTCACAGATTTGACACCAGCAAGAATGAGATTCTTCGCTGTAAGCAGTAAATTTCATTAGAACTCCAAAACATGGTTTAAATTTCAGAGCTGGGACTAACATTAAACCTAAATATCACTACCTACCATTAAATATAAAATCAAATCACACTACAAAAATTCAGGTTCAAATTACAAAAATAAATAATACAATTAATTAATCTGAAGTGTAGATCCATTAAAAAAATTGCAAGACTGATTCCAGCAGCTGAATATCAAAAGGTTCTTAACGATTGGTCGGTAACATCAAGGTTTTTGGCCATATCACTGGATGCAACAAAACCTCAACTGCAACGTTTTTGGCTGCGTAGGAGAATGCGACAAGCTCAACAGTAATTGCAATTTAAAGAATGCCAGTGATAATTTCCATGAGAAATCTATCATGAGTAACCCATCACTCTGCATACAGTTTTTCCAAATGGCAGAGTAGAGCTAATGATAAAATCACCAAATCTACTAACACAAATCCCGTTATATATCAACTTAACTATCTATTCTGCCAAAAACATCAATCATAAAGCTCAAATAAAACTAACATTAACAGAGTTTCACCATCAACTGAGGCATCACAAATCGGATCGAATCAAAATACAATTCAATTCACGAAACACCCAAACAGCAGAAAACATTAAACAAAAGTAAAGTGTTCAATGATTTTACCAATCTCGACGCCAAGGCCTTGCATCCCGGAGACAAGAACGCTGGAGCCAAACAACCTCCGCATGGTCTCTCGACCATACACGGCGAGCTGACGGCTGTGGAGATCCTCGTCTATGTCCGGCGGGTTAGATTCGCCCAAAGCCATGGCCGACACTCCCTCACCGGTGTTCCCGCTGTTGTTGTTGTTGAAGCTCCGGCCGGTGGTTTCGTCGCTCTTCACCGTGGAATCGGCGGTTCCGGCCACGATCCGATTCTTCTTAGGGAAACTGCTGCTGCTGATGTCGCTGTTGTCGGTCTCCTCTTCTGTTGCAACCAGTACTTCGCAAGGTCTCTTAGTTGGAAGCATATAGTGCAGTGGGCTGCTGAAAATGCGACGCAACGCGATCGTGAGGAAGGCGACAAGAAGAACAAAAGCAATCAAGAACAAGGGAGAATTAACAGCACGATGATCGAGAAGAGGATCGAAGTCAAAGGCTATATACACAAGCCGCGAAACCAGTAATGGAATCACAGCAAGGAAGAAAAACCCTAACCCTAGCTCACGCAACATGAGCACAATTAGTTTTATCGTAATTGTATCTGTAATTGTATTCGTAATTGTTCGTGTAGAAAAGATTCAATCGAAGGAGATTAACGAAAGAGAGTAACAACGTACCGATTGGGAACTTCGGTGCGAAGGAAGAAAGATAATGGACCTTGATTGGATGCAGAGATTCGAAGAGAAAGTGTTTCCTTTCCTTTGGTTTTGTTCTGTTTTGGTGGACTTGGGGTTTTTATCGCGGAGGTGCAGAGAAAGGGGTATTTATGGATTTGCAATAGGAGGTGAATGCGATGCTACTAATCTAGGGTTTCGCTTCGAGTGAGGACATGACAGGTGCTACTCCATTTTTTCCCTCTTCAGAGAGAGATGAGAGAGGAAAGAGAAGACAGTGAGAAGCGTGAAATGAAAGATAAAAGTCAGAGAGTTAAACAAAGAACTCTTCAGTGATTGACACGTGGTCATTTAGGCGTGTAGTTTGGTATCAACGGTGTTGGTATTGGGTTGTACCGTGCTCCAGCGGGCAGTGGATTTAGTGGAGGAAAAATCTAGAACAAGTTGAAAATAATGGAAAAGCAAAAAAGTTCTGGTTCTTTCTTACCTTTGTTGATTCTTCCACTTACCTCGCATGAGCATAATTAATATTTTTGGATAAAATTATTACATTACATATAATTAAAATCTCTAAGAGAAAACCATAATTATTCATAGAGAAGATAATAATAAATAACTAAACAACTGTATCTTTTTCTTAATTAGAAAAATTCAAATTTAAAAGTATAATATTTAATTTCATTTTTATCAAATTTTGGGGTTTATCAGAATCATGAGTTATCAGGTATACTATATTTTATATTTCCTATTTGTATATTTTTTTAAAATAAATAAATTATTTTAAATTATTATGCTTTAATTTAAATAATATAATAAAATTGAGAATTATATTACATTTTAAGTTAAATGTATTACATTTAATTATTAGGATAGTGGAAAAAAAAAAACTATCAAAATAATTTATAGAATGGGAGGACAGTGGGCTCTGTATTTTGGGCCCATAAAAAGAGTAATTGAGCTGACCTACGTAAAGAGATGGGCAATGGCTTCTTCGTCTACCTCCACTCCATTGCAATGAAGATGCTTTCATGGAGCACGATGGAGTCTATGTATGTGTCAACGTCACATACAAATATGCTAAAGCACCTTCTTTATTTGGTTTTTAATCATCATAGTGTAATTTAAGTACTCAGTTCCATCGTTCGATGACGTTCTCTCCATCACAGGAAACTCGTTCCAAAAACTAAAAATGAATACATTTTTTATATTACTCGAAAAATGTGATTTAAAATTTATTGATACATTTGGAATTGTATATTTGAAAATGTGAGGATTCTAAAACGTTGTTTTTATCATCTAGAAAGTCTAAGGCAAATAGTTGTGTCGATATTGCCTACATTTTGTTGTTCTACAAAATCAAGTCCATTTATGGTCTGGTTGTCTTTATTCCATGGGTTTTCATTTTAGAAGACTTTTTTTAGTGTCTGTGATAAATTTTGGATATGTAAATAATTTTAAAAAAATAGAAAAAGGACTTTAGTATAAACACGGTAAATTTTGAAACATTCTATATTTTAAGAGTTTTTTATAAGTTAGAAATGTTTAAATTTTAGATCAAATTTGATTTTTGATTGGTAAGTTTTGTGGGTGAGATAATTTAATTGAATTATTTTATAAAGATTGATAAAAAAGAGAATTTTAAGTATTAATTGTTGATAATTGGTTATTTTTTATTACTTAAGCCTTCATTTTTTTTAATTATATTTGTCAAATAATTTATCTAAACATTATTTAGGTTAATCATTGGTCTCAACTTTAAATATAGTACGAAGGGTTATTAATATAATAATGTTCAAACTCCTTACTTTTTATATTTATAATTATATTTTTTGCAAGATATTTATACTTGTATTAAAATATGTTTAAATATAATACTAAGTCATTAAATTCAATCATACATTTTATAATCATTTTATTATTTATTTTATATTAAATTATAGTTTTCTTAAAAATATTTTTTTATAAGATAATTTATAATTGAGTGACAATGTACTAATATATAGTACTTAAGTTATTTAATTTTTATAAAAATATTGTATATTTTAAAATATAAATTTATAATTTTTATAATTATATTTAAATTTTAATTAATATATTATTTTAAATAAATTTAAAAAGGTAAGTGTCAGTTTATTAAAATACATAATAAAGATAAATGTCACTTTAATAAAATTAGAAAGAAAAAGAATGTTGTTTAAAAACTAAAAGATTGTAATGGCTATTTTATTATAAATTTAAGGAAGATGGGTGTTTAATAAAGAAGAATAATGTCTTTTGAAAACTAAATATTATGATTATTATTTTATTATAAATTTAAGGAAGACGAGTGCTTATTTTAAAATTAAAACAATGCAAGTATTATTTAACATAACATCAAGCTGAAGATAAGTGTACTCTTTTTTCTAAATCAAACCATTAATCTCAAATTATTCTCTCCTAAATAATCCTTAAAAAAATCCCAAATAATCCTTAAAAAAAACAAATTAAATAAGGAATCTGAAAAATATTAAGAAACCATACTAAATGGTATCCAAATATTAAAACCATTTAAATTAACACCAGACCTTATTAAACTATATTAACATAGGAAATAATTTAATAAATCTTCTATCCATTATTTAATTTTTTTATATCATTTCATTATTTTGAAAACTATTGGAAATGATAATAATATTTAAGAGATAACATTGATAGTTTACTCTACCAACTAACATGAGATTTTAAAATCTGAAAATCTCAATTTTTTTCTGTCACTTTTATGTATAAAGAGATTTATTTACTTACGAATAAGAAATGTAGTTTTTACTTTTAACTTTTATTAATCTTTATTTTAGGGAATGGATTTTCATATATATAAAGAAAAAAACTTTGTTGATTCCTATACATGCAATGTTACTCCAGAAAATTAATGCTGGTTGACAACCTAAATAATGCCCCTTCTCATTATTTAAGTTGACATTGCTTCATCAACATCCCAACATTATGATAACTCATACTTCTGTCCAAATCGGATCCAAAGTGAAGTTTAGTTCTACTCTTAAAAAGCATACCAAAGTTGTTAAGGTTGTAAGTTGTCAGATTGTGAAAGCTAGTATTAGTTGGAGATTCACAAATAAATTGAGTTCTTTACAAATCTAATCCAAAGTGAATTTCAAACAAATGTTTGTGTTCTGTTTATGAGATCCCAGAATAACACAAGATGCCTTTAACCACATGACATGTGTCAGAAGTCATATGAATAGGATAATAACAGGGTCTATAAATTGATTTTAATAAATATTTTTGTTTTTCTGTGTTAAACCTGATTGTACAACAGTATTCGAGTTGCAACGAATTTTACAATATTCAAATAGTTGACAAAAAAAAATTCTAAATTTCAAGCAATACTCAAATATATATATTCTTTAAATTAAAACATGAGTGGTATCACTTTACTCATATATCAATATATTTATATGCGCAATTGTAAAAGGTTAATATTATAATATTTTCTTACTGGCCACCCAAAAGCTAGTAGTAAATAATAAATAAATAAAGGGGAAAAAAAAAAGAAAAGAATAAAGTGTTGTATTCCTGACATGAGTGTCAAATTCACATGCAGCATGTGCTTCCTCCAGAGCATAAGATTATATTATGTGTAGAACTATGATTTATTTATATCTTAATTATTTATTTTATTTAATTATGACTTCCATCAAAGTTTAAGTGTCAAGAAACACCAATTATAGGTAGACCCTCATTTTCTAACCATTATACATCAACAAGCAAGTTCAGTTCACCTATATGTTCGACTATCTTATCTATCAAGATTGAATTGTACAATGATATTACCAAACATCCTTGATGTGATCATTACTTTCTAAGGAAAGTGTTGTCTCCATTATTATATGTGAATTCAAATAAATGTGATATAAATATAGTTCCTCCATCTACATATGACTTGATATAAATAGTTCATGATGAGATGTGTGGTTGTTGCATGCTTGCATCACTGACTTCAATGTGATCATTGAATCAGATAAGCGTAAGATTCTATGTGCCCAGCACAGAGTGGGAATAGGTTATATCGATCTGATGCATAAAAGTTGAGAAGGTTGGATATATCAAGAAAAATGGGGACAAGGTGTTTCATAATTTCACAACTAAAGAAACATAAAAATAAATGGGGCCCTTGAGATAGCCATGAAAGGAACAAAAGATCCTAGTAGCCTACAAATGATGTAGTTCCCTAAAATTGATTTGTTTTTATTCCTAATAGAATAATCTTAGTTTTCATCAAGGAATGTGGTGCCACTCATAAGTCAGAGAAACGAATATTAATAATTCCATCATTCAGGTTGCCATCATACGAGGAAAAAAAAAAAGACAGTAGATTCATGATGGCAAACTCAACATAAAGAGGTGGTACAAATTTGTCAAAAAGATAAAGAAAAAAAAAAGGGAAACTTTACACCTTTCATTACTGATATAAAAGCGTGGAGGACTCATGTTTATGTATGATCTATGAAGATCCCTTGAGGATGGGATGTTACTATCAACATAAAATAAATTTACCTATTGTAGTTGTTTTGTCGCAGCAATATGGCCAAAATTTCAGAGAAGTTAGGGCGTTTTGAAGGGGTGTTGTTCCAACATTTTGTCATGAGAGACTTGAGAGTTTGAGGACAGTCCTTGGGGATTTCAGGTCTTAGGCCACAAGCAGCAATGCCAACTGCTGCTTGCACTGGTGAATATGCAGAATATGCTGCCTCACCAGTTACCATCTCCCAAATTATCATTCCAAAACTATAAACGTTACTCATCCATGTCTCTGTCACACTCTCTGGGTCACCAGCAATTATCTGTTTTCAACAAAAAAGATGCACAAAAACTCTTATGTTAACTCACATTTATACAAAATAATATAGTAAAACCCACACACTATCACAATCAGACGAAGCCAAGGTCCATGAACTTTATTTGTTTCTGATTGAAGCCTTTCCTTTATAGTGTTAGGGGAAATAAAAATATAAGGGTAATTAAATTGGTCCTAGTGAGTCGTGAGCAATTAATTTTGTTATCTACTTTTGTGTCCTTTAAACTGTTCTCTTTTTTCTCATTAAAAGGACAGTATAAACAATAGTTTTCATTCATTATTTCCGTCTGAACACAAGGTTTGAAAGGCCCCAAGCAGCCTTATCAATTGTAGAAATATAAGTACAATTGGGGGACAGATCATGCTTTCGGTTTAAGGTGTGTGGGCACCATTATTTGAAATCAATTAAGGTATAATTGGCATTACACAGCGAAATGCTGATTTGTCTAATGATATACAGTGGTATTTAAACAATGGCATACACTATAAAGTGAAAGTACACAACAATTATTAAGACATGTTAGGCATGCTCAAACAATGATGCAAAGACAAGTGACATGAAATCTGATTTTAGATGTGTAGTTCTGCATTGCATTTTACATACAATGGATCTAAACAACATTCTCCAAGCAATAAAGCTAACAGGTTGTTACTTCAAATTGCTCTGCAGTTGAACATCAGGCAAGTTATAAACGAACTCAAATACATTGATTTAGAACTTTAGTTTGAACAAGCTTCAATGGTAACAAACAAAAGAACCAGAGAGAGTGTTAAAAAGAGAAAAAAAAAAATCATATAACAATTTGATCCAACCTCAAATATGTAAAAGATGATACTTACATATTTTAAGAAATGTTGTTTTTAGAAATTGCAAGCATAAAAAGCATTTTTCTTTGCCATGCTGGCTATAATTGAATCTTCCAAGTAAATCTGATTTCTATACACAGTGCTAGAGTGAGTTATTGAGAACAAATAATTACATGTTAAAGCATGATCTGGAACAGCAGCTTAAAAGCCTAAAACACATTTTCTAGATGTGATGCAGAATATAGGTCTTAAAATTTGGCCTTTAATTTGAATCTTATTTTGAAATAATACTTGTGGAGAGATTTAGGCAATATGCATGGAATTAGACAACATCATGTAGCCTAATGACCTGACATTTTTTCTTTCATAATTTCAGTAATTACATTGCAAACTTGAAAAGAGTTTGATTAGGGGCAAACCTCTGGTGCTAGCCACCGATAACCATCAGTTTCATAATCCGTGGCCTCTCTAACACTCTTGCAGGCAGTGACAATACCCATATCACCCAAGCAAGCATTCCCATGCTTATCCAACAGAATCCTCTGCGTATTAAGGTCTCTGTATGCCACACCGTGATCATTCATAAACTGCATCCCTTCAGCCACATCAACTGCAATTCTTAAAATATCCTTGATCGGAAGCTTCTTGTTCTTTATCATTAAGTCATGAACAGATCCACCTTCCACAAGTTTTGTCAATACACATAAACCATAGTTGTCATCTACACAAACACCACAAAACTGCATAATATTTCTATGACCACAAGTCATCAGTGCCAGTAGGTCTTTCCTGAGCTCAAACTCATAAGAGTTCCCTTTCTCACACCCTCTAAGCTTCTCAATGCCAATTTTTTTCCCCATGTACATGCCCTTATACGAATTGGGCCCAACCTGTTCTGCAAACTCAAGACTATCTGAATTCAACAGCCATTTTTCAATCTCATCCCCACCAGATTGAATAGTCTGCCACTCATCTACCACTACGAGAAAAGATGAACTAGGCAATGGCACCTGAAGCTGAATCTTTTGGCTCAAATTCTCAAACCCATTTCCACAGTATGCATCACCACTATCTTCCTCAATCTCTCCAAGTCCTCTCTCCTTGGTGTTCTCCTCTTGACATCCACAGAGCCCAAAGGGAAGCTTCACACCGGCTTTGGGCCTCTTCATGGAAATCTTGAGAGCGCTTTCAACACGGGTCCTGACCAACTTATCTTGCCCACCACTAAACAGCACAAGAAGAAGCACAATACCGAGGGTGAATCCTATCTTCTCATAGATCTGAATCTTCTTGCAGCAAATGGAGTAACCATCCAATGCACCCGACATGGCGGGCCATGAAATTGGAGAGTTGCAAGCAAATGTCAACTTGAACAAAGACCCCTGGAGTTGAATCTCACTATCACCTTCCTCTTGAATCAAAATCGCAGCCTGTTCGTCCTCCAGAGCTTGCTCCATCAGTTTCATGTGAAGAAACAAATCTTTCACATCAAACCCCGCCTGAGAATAACTGCCAAAAACAAAAATATAAATAAACAACACAAATTCTAGAATTTCAGAACAAAAAAGGAGAAGAGAAAAATTCATCACTTGAAGCAAGTGATCGTCAAACAAAACCAAAACAATGCCACTAAATCTTCACATTCACATTCATGAAAATTATTGTATGATTTGAGACCAATAATATCAACTTTCAATGATGGTCGAGTAGTATTATTAAATTTGTTTTCATAAATAGAATAACATGGTTTGGCGAGACGTAAGATTGACCATACAATAATTTTCTGCATTCACATTAAGAATAGAACACAGCTTCTAACATGGCAGAAGCAAAATCCATTTCTCAAAGTAAAAAGAAGAAAAAAAAAAAAAAACCGTAGAGAGGGTATAACTGAAGCCACCTTAAGCACAATGAAACTAACAACAATACTCCTATTCAAACGAAATCACCGCCCAAGTTGAAAACTTAAAAGGTTCCAACATTAAAAGAAACAAATCCCATTTCCCAAAAGCATAAAAAGAACAAAATTTACAAACACTCCCTACATGCATTTGAAGTTATTCTCCCACCAGAATAAAAGTTTCACCCCGGTAATCTAAGTTTATCTTTAATACAACTAAAACCTTTAATACGAAATAAAACTCCAATTCGGATTGAAGAATAGCACCAAAAGCACTAATCGAATGCATGTCCAAAAAAATAGTCACGGAACTAAGTGACCTTAAACACACCGAAAAAACAAGTGCAGCTGAATCTTCACTCTTCACATTGACATTCATTCACTAACCAATTAGTCCCAACCCATCGCACCCGAAGCAAACGCACAAGCTAATGTTGGGATCCGAACCTGAGAGGCAGGGAGTCATAGTGCCTGCGAATGTTGCAGACAAGCTTCTCAGGAAGATGGGTTCCGGGGTAGAGGTGGGTGAGATTGCGCACAACGGTTGTCCACACGAGGTTGCGAGGCGTATCGGGTTTGGAAGAATCATTCATGGCGTTAAGGGAGTTTCTGAGGGAGGAGAGAGCCTCGGAGACGTTGCGCGTGAGTTTGAGGAGCTTCTTGTGGACGAGGGATGAAGAGGAAGAAGAAGAAGAGTCTCGGGGTTGTGAGGAATGCGTGGCTAGGAATGCGTCGTCCTCGTCGCCGGTGGCGCGGCGCGACCAGCACTCCAAAGCTGCGGCCATCGAAGTTCAGAGAAAAAATGACGAGAAAAAAATATTCAGAAGGTTTACGCTTTGGAGTATGTGAGAGTGGCCATGCTATTGTTCTGACAGAGTGGGAAAGAAGGGGATACCTGTGCTTTTTTTTTTTTTTTTTCTATTACAAGTCCACGTCGAGAGCCAGTTTTCTATTCAGTATTTGAAATTCCATCACTTTAAAAAAAATAAAAATAAAAGAATTTAATTTTTTTTGGTGAGTAATTAAATATTCTGATTTAAATTTATTATATTATATATGTTAATTATATTTTTCACATTTTCCGTCAAATTACAACATATTTTAATATTAGTTTGACAGTTTAATGTTCGAAAATTTTTCACAACTTGAAAAGTGTCGATAAATAAGTGTTTCTTTTATCTAATTAATAATAAAATATACTTTAATTGGACTAAAAATATATATGATATTCTAAGGCATTTTAAATAAAATACATAAAATAAAAAATTAATTAAATCATCTAGTTTTAATTAATTATTTTTTTACTTTTACTAATTATCATTAAATCAATTAATAGTAACACACAAAATTATGTCAGGACAGGTAAAAAATAAAAAAAATAGATTTATTGAAATTGTAAAATGTGTTATATTTTTTTCAAAGTTCTACTTTTATAATAAAAAACAAAGTATATGTTATCATATTCTGTTGTTTATAATATAACTATGAGTGCATATATTAAATTAAATACATAATATAAATAACCAAAACATAAAATAAGAATAATATTACGAGAAGTTAAAAAGGAAGTGGTCACGTATGAAAGAAAAAGTTATAAATTAAAATAATAACAATAATTATTATTATTATATACAATAAAACAGTCAAATTAGATGAAAAAAGAAAAAGGGTTTTACATAATTGTTGTAGAGTCATCATGCTAAACTTTGTAAATATATACAAACATAAAAGTTTGTAGGTAATATTTATTGATCAAATTCATATATAATGGAAGAATTTCTCAAACTCACTAGAGTATAAATATAGATAAACAACCTTGTGTTTAAATATTGGTGTAATTATGTTGTGAAATTTAAAGATAAATGCTTAGAAGTTGTTGGATTTTTTGAGAAAAAGTATCGTGAATATCATTTTATTATTATGAATCTGTAATTAATTAATATACAATATATTATATTTTAATTCAAACTTTTAAGATAATATATTTATGAAAATTTCTCTTTATGTATTGTTTTTGTCACTTCTTATATAATGTAAAACGTTTACTTATACTTGAATTATAATATAAATATTATTATTGAATGAGATTATTAAGTTCCACTTATTTTAATGCTGATAAGTTGGTCGGTTCAATCAACTAATGTTTTTATGGAATGAATTTTTTTAAGTTTCGCCCCATTTTACATAGATTCAACCAATCATATTGACTTTATTAAAAAGATATATTTTTTAAACTAAAATAAAATAAAATATGAGTTTTAAAAAAAAAAATTACATGAAAAAAATTAATTTTTATTTTTAAATGTAATGATTCAATATAATCATTTAAAAAAAACACTAACCTAAAAACTTACTCATGTGAAATGAATGTGTAAAGTATATTAATTGGAAAAATAATATATAAATAAATTTTTAAATTTTAAATAATTCATATGTAATTTATAATAAAATATATTTTTATTTTATTTTAAAACGACTTTTGCTATAAATTTTTTATATAAATTATCTGGTAAAAATAGTGAATTTTAACTGTATAACTTTATTTAAATTATTGAAATTTAATGATTGAATAATCAAAATTATAAACAGTTAGTTTTTTTTTAAATCTCTTTTTAGAAAACAAAAACAATATATATATATATTTTTTTTTCAAAACCTATTGAATGATACGTATGTGTGTGAAGACGAAAGGTGATATCTTGGAGTATTTTCAAAGAAATAGGGCCTAATGCTATTTATAAACGAAATCACTTGAAGGAAAAGCTTTCGACTTGAGTCGAATAATGTGCATTAATAATAATGGTTCCTTTTGTAATGGACCTAAAATTTTCAACCACACAAACCACTAAATAATGTAACATCGCCATGGATATCTGCCTCACGTCACCATGAAAAAGACCAAAACAATTAACCTCACAAATTGTAAATTTTCCTCCTTTAAAAAAAAATCATTTTTAACTATTTTTATTAAGATTAATTAATAAAATTTGGTAATTTTTAGTTAGTAACCTTAACTTTGTCTTTAATTTTATAAATTAATAAGATATAACTTTATTTTTTAAAAACATTTTTATAAGTTTTAATTATTTTTTATTTTCACCCACTTTCAATACATTTATTGTTTTTTTTTTATATATATATAAACTTGCATCTGAATGTTTAAAGTAATATTTTTTACTCAAGACAAAATTATACTTCCAAAATAACATTAAACTGTTATTACTATCTTTTATTCCTTGGTTAAGGCTTTTATACACAAACCAAAAAAATGCAATATCATAAAATGGTTTTGAAATTGTTAACATACTTTTTTTTTCATTTATACTCTACAATGAATACACACTAATGTATAGATTAATTAAAAATTAGGTTAAAAGTAAAGTTATAATTGACAAAAAAATACAAAAAAATAATAACAAATTTTCTAAGAAAATATTTATTTGTTGAACTAAAAAAGTTGATACTTACAAAGTTATAGAGGTAGTAATATATTTCATCAATTATGGTTTATTGAACTAAAAAAACCCACTCATAATTAAGTGTATTTTTCTAAAAGAATTATTAATAAAATGAATATAGTTTATTTTATTTTAAATAATCTGAACTTCTAATTTAATTATTGTATATATATATATATATAAAAAAAGAATAATGTTTTTTGGTAAAGATTGTACTTTTAGTGAAATTTACTGAGTTTGGTCTAATGAAGAATGTTGAATAATTTTCATGAAATGATATGAGTTAAAACTTTTTTATGGTTTTATATGTTTTTTTCTTTATTTATTGGAATTTAATGTATTTATAGCAACTCATGCAGTCTACTAAACCAACTGAATAAAACATACTTTTCACAACATGATCACTCAAGAGAAAAACATATTCCTTGCATGCTGGTTTGAGTGAGCTTGGAGCTCAAGATGTTTTGATTTTACACGCGAGTCCAAATCAGTGTCTTGGCACAACCCTAATACGATAGTGTTATGTAAAGTTCTATAATCATATTCTTTTTTTGTTGGCATATTTAATTACAAAATTGATGTTGCTCTCACCCTGTGTTAGGACACACGTTTTGCCAGCAACAAATAACATTCTCATATGGAAAACATAAAGACTAGAATTATAACATGTCAGGATATCGATATGGCGCTGTAACAATTAACTATCCTGATAATCACATCTGAGTGTATAAAAATCATATCTAAAGCGTGAAATAAATAAATGTCATTAGTAATTTTTGTTCGGATGTATTCCAATCACTAGCTCTTAATATTTCGCCAAACTGTGTGTGTGTTTTTTTTTTAAATGGATCAAACACATTTTCTGAAACTTTTAAGAAATTAAGCAACTTGTTTTTTATAAAAGAAGAGAAAAGAAAAAAAAAAAAGTAGGCTTTATTTAAAAAAAAAAAAAAGAGTTAAGAAGCTTTAAAAAACTGATTTTCTGTTCTTTCTCCCTCTTAACACTCTCTCCCATCTCTTTTTTTTTTCTCCCTCACGAATCATTTGTTTTGAGCTAAAAGAAATGAAAATTCTTGGCTTCTACTTTACTTTTAAAACTTTTGTTTCAAATTCAATGTTAAAATAATTTTTAAGACGGAAAAAATAAATTCAAGGATAACCTCAATCCTATACAATTGATTTTTCAATAATTTATTCGCAGATGTTAAGCAAATCAAAGAAAGTACAAAATGTTGGAGCACCTTTGTCTAGATAGAATGGAGAGTCTGATTGAATAAATATTTTGGTGAAAGCCCTACTGATATGACATCAGTGTTACATACAACTATTCGTGTCATATTTAAAGTATTTTGAACTCTCCCCTTCACTCCCCTGCTTGAGGATTTTACAGAAGTCTATGTCCAGTCAAATGAATGTTTGCCAGTGGTGTGAGTGGGTGAATTCATTATGTGTGTAGCTGTTAGTGTGCACATTTTAGTGTACACACTTTAGCAAAGGAGAGAAGAATATGGGCTTTCGTTTTCCATTTTCGTCTCCCTTATTTTCATTTATTAATTTGTTGTTTATCTCTTTAAACTTGTGCAATGAGGAAATTAAGTAAAATTATTTAGGGAAACCCAAATTGAGAAAAAAAAATGCTATCATAAAAATAAAAGCCTGGTAATGCAGGGTTGACTTGATTCATGTTCTATCAATAATTAAGAGTGTGCTTGCATATCAGCTCCATCCAACTAAATCCACATTCAATACAGACCAATCAACAGCGATCAAACCGATTTCTAAACGCACCCTTCCAAGAGAACATATAAACTTTCCTTAAATGGTGAAATCTGCTGCCATCCTTAAACTATTTGCATCTCTCTGTCTGTCAAACACATTGGAGTTTGGACACAATCTTGATCACTCGTGACAATCCTCTTAAACTGTAAAATTGTCCACAGTTCTGATGTAATCACCAAATACTGTTGACAAAAAGCCTAAAGTAATTCCTAACTTTTCAATGTGCTCTTGAATTGATTGTTCCTTACTTTTCTTCTCCTCCTACGTTATGCAGCACAGTTAAGCCGTTTCAGTGAGTAAACCGGCTTCAGTTATCTTCAGTCCGAGTTTTTCAAGCATTTTGTAAATATCTGAAGAGCATTCATGCTCTCTGTCCCCAGCAATAAAGCGGTGAAGTTTACCCTGCACTTCAATCAAACTCCAACCAGCAACTTTGCCGGCAATTCTCTCACTCATTAACTCCCGAATTCTAACTACATCTTCCCACTTTCTCACTTTCGCATATATTCCAGCTAACTGCACGTAATGCCCATCATGGGTTGGATCCAACTCTATCAACTTATTCCCAATCTTCTCCCCCATCTCCACAAAGCCATGAAGCCTGCATGCATCAAGCAGCGTCGCCCACATAACAGGATCTGGCGCAATTGCCATTTCCTCAATCAACTCAACTGCCTCATCAACTAAACCGGCATGAGCAAGGAGATCAACCATGCACCCATAGTGCTCCATGTCAGGTTGAATGCCATAACCATCTACCATCAACTTAAAGTATTGCTTCCCTTCACCAACCAAACCAGACCTACTACAAGCATTAAGCACACCCACAAATGTCACATTCACAGGACGAAAACCTTCATCAATGAACCTATGAAATAGTGCGAGTGCCTCCTTGGCGCAATCATGCGAAGCCAGACCGCAGATCATGACATTCCATGTCCACTCATCCTTCTTCACCATCCCATCAAACAAGATTCTGGCCTTTTCAATGCAACCACACTTTGCATACATGTCAACCAAAGCAGTCCCTATATGAACAGTTATTGGGAATCTCATGGCCTCAACGGTGGAATGAATGAATCTCCCGTAACAAAGCAAACCCAACTGAGCAGAAACCGAAAGCAAGGTAACCAATATAGCTTCATTGGGCCTCACCCTCTTCTCCCTCATGTTTCTAAAACACTCCAACCCATCTTCAAAAAGCCCATTTTGAACATACCCCATTATCATAGTGCTCCAAGACACAACATCCCTTGTAGGCATTTCAGCAAACATCTTCTCCGCAAACCGAACATCCCCATTTCTCACTGCACCAGCCAACATGGAGTTCCACGTGACCACGTCGCTACAAAGGGGGTCTTCCTCAAACACCCTTTTTGAAGAATCAGCATCACAACACTCGAAATACAAGTGAATCAGCGCATTTCGGACAAATACGTGGCAGGCATAACCGAGCTTGATCACGTGTGAATGAATTTGAACACCCAATTGGTTGTGTACGCTGGTTTTTGAGTTCTTGGAGCAGGCATGGAGCAGGAAGGTGAAGGTGTACTCGTTGGGGCTGAGAAAACGGCGTCGCAATGCGGAGTAGAGAGAAAGAGAGAGAGGGGGCGAAGAGTTGGCTTTGGCGTGGCAGCGGATGAGGGAGTTGAAGGCGAAGACGGTGGGGAAGGGGATTGAGTTGAAGAGAGAGAGTGAGTATCGAAGAGGGAAGGGAACGCGTGAGGTGAGAGAAAGTAGAGGAAGAAGGTGAACGGTGATGCGGGCATGGCCCGACACGACGATATGTGCATGGGTTTGCTTGATTTGGTGGAGGGAAGGTTGTGGCGGGAGAGAACGAAATACTGAAGGTGGAGAATTTGAAAGAAAGGGTTTGGTTTTTGTCGTGAACAACATAAAGAAAATGGCTGTTGCAATGCAACACTCTAATATTATGTATACACCCTCTCCCTTTCTTCAAAGTTAGCTTTTTTTTTTTAAATAATTTGGCCAATTTCCCTTTGTTTTGTTATTTTTAAATTGGATAATTTAAAAAAAAAAATTATGAGTAAATCATGCCTTTTGATACGACTTGACTTGGAAGAAGTTAGTGTCCTACTTTAGTTTTTTCAAACAAAAGTTATACATATATCAACGACTTCTTTGTATAATTTTCTTTTTTCTCATATTTTAATGTATTAATTTTAGTAATTTTTTTTCTTTTATTGAAATTATTTTTGATGATTTAAATTTATTTTATTTTATTTTATTAATATCACTAATTGATGGACGACTTTAATTAATTTCTAATAAATAGGGTGAAAATATGAATCAATGATCCATCAACCTACCAAAAATGTTAAAAACAGACTTCAAACCTTATTTAACTTGTCGAGGAATGGATTAGGAAGCTGGTGGACCAAATTCAAAAAATATATTTAAATGATTTATTTTATTAAATTAATTTATAAATGATCAAGTTTAATTAAAGGATATAAAATGCTTTAATAATTTGTAGCTTAAATTTTAATTGAACATTGATTTTTGTTAGTATTAAAGAAATTAAATTTATAAGATACTGCAACCATACTAACAAACATATATTTTAACTGTTGAATAATAATAAAAAACTAAAAAAAAAACAAGAACTTTAAATTTATTTTTTTATATTGAAAAAACTAACCCTAGATGACAAGACTGAATCGATTTTTTGACATTTAGGTTTTGTTGCAGGTAGCATCAATTGGTATCAGAGCCAAGGTCACGAGTTCGATTCCTGGTGGGCAATTGTTGAGGGGGAGATTGTTGCAGGTTGCACAATTGTCCCGTGGCAGAGGCCGGGTGGGCCAAGTCACAATCCAAGAGTGGGATACCTTGTAGGACAATTCGCTGAGGGGGAGATTGTTGCAGGTAACATCAATTGTCCTGTGGCAGAGACCGGGTGGGCCGAGTCACAATCGAATCGTGGCGCTTGGGCTGTTACTCTAAAGTAAAAAGAGTTGCGCTCTGACTAATGGCTATAGCTTTTGGCCTAGTGGTAAGCGCTCGATCCTAACAGGTTTTACATGTATTTTTGAGGAAATAGTGATTTACTTCAATCAACACTAAACTAGCTGGATCATCAAGTCTTATTCAATTAATGTGAAAGGGTTTGGATCATATTTGAAACATGCATGTTCTTCACAAACGTCCTAAACACAATCAACTCTTATATACCCATCATTTTCACCATCCACATCCATTTTTTCATTTAAATCAAATAATTATTTGATAATATAATATTTTAATAAAAAAAGGTGATACTATAAAGATATAAATTGAAAACAATTTCTTTTTCTAAGTTTAAATATCACACCCAATTCCACTCTTCAAGCAACAAACTCCGCATGAATTTGTTTTGACATATCCAAAAACGACAAACGATAAAGGAATTTTTATGATCGACAATTAGCTTTAATTATATAATATAATTGTCTTTTAGATTTTATCTTTAGTGAAAATGAAACATGAAATATTTTCTAATACATAAAAAACATACTTAAGATCATGTGACACATACAGTTATGAAACTCAAACATGACATTAATAAATTAAAGAGCAGGTGGAAGTACAAATATGTTCCCGTTAAGAATGATCTGAGATTAAGGTTTTGTAAAAGGTTAATGCAATTAATTAAATAGAGTAAGTTATTTGTTTAAGAACATTGCAGACATGATATCCATGTAGGGCAAACTATTTTTTTTTTTTGTTTGGCTGGACCTAGAGGGAATGTGTGGGCTGTTGGAGCACAGAATGCAGGGAAGAGTAGTCTAATAAACTCTATAGGGAAGTATGCCAGAGGGAAGATAACACATCTGACTGAAGCACCTGTGTCCCAGGGACTACACTAAGCATTAAATTAAAGTTGTTTAATCTAAAGTGCTTTTGTTTTGCAATTTTTTGTTCACTCAGAAATCATGCATTAGATAAGTTTAAAATTAAATCAATTCAAAAATAAAATTAATAAAAAGAATAAAAAGTTGATCAATTTTTTTAATTAACACAATTTTAAAAATATTTTATTAAATTTGATTTTCAATTTGATAATTAAAAATTAACTCAATTTAAATCAAACTAAATTTATATAAATAAGTCAATTATTTTTTTATAATTTATATATTATTATATTTAAATTAGATATAAAAATACGTAAAAATAGATTAAAACTATACATATTATATATAATATATATTTTTATATTAATTAATTATTTTATTATAAATATTAATTTTATTTCATTTTTTAAAATAAAATCGAATCTTATCTAAATTGTATGATTAATTTAAAAGTCGCGGCACAAACATCCAAATAAAACAAGTAATTTTTACATTGAGATTTACAAATATACTTATCTAAAAAGAAATACAAATTATTCCCTGCAAAAAGAAGATAACATAAGCAAATAATTATATATATATATATATATATATATATATATATATATATATATATATTACTTTTAACTATCATGTTATAAGATTATTAATAACATTGATTTTGATTAGCCATTTAGACTCTTTATACTCTCGTTAAAATACACGTGATTAAATACAATTTTTAAATATAGAGGACCAAACTAAATCTAATTAAAAATAAATTACTATTTTTTATTATTATAGTATTAATATGAAATCTTCCCCATTAAATATATAATTTAAAGGTTAGGGTTAATAATAAAAAAATAATATATGCTGACACCTGAGCTTACATTTACTGCACCATGTTGTCACAAGAAAAACAAATGTCTAGATGCATCCAGTCACATGGCCTTCCACATGTTTTTTGGAAAAAAAAAAAATATAGATCACAGTTATTTTTTAATAAGAAAAAAAATGTGTTTCTACCATTTTTTTTTGTATTGTTGTTTATTATTCTACTATTTTTGCTTAAATTATTCACTATTTTAAAAACAATTATTATTATTTTTTTCTCTCATATTTAATTACAATAGAAAAAATATGATTAATTTTTGTCTTGTCTCCACCTTTCTGTTACCTTCTACTGGCTTTCATGCAATGAACTGCAAGATAAGTATTTTGCTTGGTTTTGCACTTGGGCCCGTAAGCCCTATTGTTAAAACAAATTAAATATGTTTTTGAGTCAAATAAATTTTCGATTTTAATTTTTAATTTTATAATCATTTTTATTTTATTGTAATTTTTCATATATTTTTTAAATATTATTTTAATTCAATTAGAAAAGCGGATTAATTAAAGAAAAGTTAATTCATCTATTAAGAAAAATATGTATTTTATGATACATTTTTTTTTTCAGAACATAAGAATATTGAACCTTAGTTTGGTAAAGAATAGGGAAAGGACATACTTCATTTTGGTTGTAAACAAACGAGAATAATATATGAAAGGACATACTTCATTTTTCTTATTGAATAAAAAAACACTTTCTATTAGTTTTATATTTATATTTTTATTCCGAAAAGAAGAATATATATATATATATATATATATATATATATATATATATATAATTCATCTCGTCTCTAAAATAAATATAGGAATACTTTTATAATTTTATTTTAAAACTAATTATTTTAAAAATGAAAAATTTCTTTAATTTTTTTTCATAAACGAACATTTGCACGTTATTATTATTATTATTATTATTATTATTATTATTTTTTTTTTTTTCATTTTCCTTCAAAAGATTAAATGGGAAGAGAGGAAAAAACGATGGGATCCACTTTTAATTTCTCATTTATGTCTATTTATTTTTATTCTTATTTTCTGTCACAATATACAAATTTTAAATTATTTATTTTATCTATTCTTATTTATTTCCATTCACCAAAAATTTAAATATTTATTTATTTTTACCTATTTTGTAAATTATTTCTTTAATATTTCAATCAAAACTATTTTTTTCCACTAGGGCTTAAAAGAAGTCGGGGTATCACTTAAAAGGATAGAACATTACCTTTTCCATTTGCAGTTTGTACACGTCACACAAAAAGCTATTTTTTTTTTTTAATTTTATTATTATTATTATTATTATTTTATTATTATTATTATTATTATTATTATTATTATTATTATTATTATTATTATTATTATTATTATTATTATTATTATTATTATTATCATTATCAAAATTGAATTTTTGTTGTGATTGATTCACGTTAGATCTTAGGAATGGTTGCAATACTTTGATCTCGTCGGAGAAACACCAAATCGAATTGTTCAATTTTGGTGACGATGATTAGCATTGCGTGAACCTTGTGCTATTTTTTGGATTCGATGGCGTCCTCCAGTTCCGGCAAGAAGATCCACCTTGATACTACTGACGATGAACTCACCGAACAAGAAGAAGAGGAAGAAGTAAGTGTATATTTCCTACGCACAAAATTACTGAATCGAAATTGTTTTTGGTTCTACAAATTGCATCGGATTTGAGATGTGCTGATTCGTTTCCGTGTCGATGAATTCACAGCTCGAACACTTTGATGATTTCACTCTCGCTTCTTCGTGGGAACGGTGTGTCTCTGCGTATCACTGATAATTAATGCACATTGTTGTAGAAGATGTGATTAGTTTAACTTAAACGTAATTTAAGTTTTATTTGGTGTTTTTGTAGGTTTATTTCTGAAATAGAGGCAGTTTTACGGGTTTGGATGTCTAATGGACCGAATAATTTATTGGTAAGCGTTGGAAATAACAGAATCTGGCATAATTGGAATGCTGCTGGTGTCAAATGAATCTTGCTATACAAGTGTACATGCTTGATTGTGATATGATATGGTTTCTTCAATTATGTTCTTGCTATGGTGTTTTAGGAATGATATGGTGTTGGTGGAGGATCTGTGTTGTTTTTGAAGTTACACTTCTCTCTATTGGAAAATGAAAATTTATGCCATTTTTTTGGATAGGAGGAATGAACATCTTTTATTTATTTTTGTCCCTAGGAAAAAGGTGCAGTGCTTTTGGAGGATTCCGGTAATTTTTATAAGGTGAAATCTGAAATGAAGTATGCCATGAAAAGTTACTGCATGGAGTTCTATTTCAAGACTGACCCAGATGGTAATTTTTTCTGGGGCTGGGGTTGAGTAGCAATGTTTTAGTATGTTGATGTTTAGGCACAGGATAGCGTTTTTTTAATCCTTTTTTTTTTTTTTTTTATCTAGTTGATACAGGAAAACATGCTGACTGGAACTTTGATTTGCACGATCTGCAGTTATGTTTTGGCGTAAAGGAATTTTTGGTATGTTTAATGCTGCGTCTTGCCTTTCACTGGAGTTTTAATGGTTTTACTAAAGATAAGGAAACCCTACTTTACGTAAATATCACTAGGTAATTGCCCCTCAGAGTGCAAGTGGTGTGGTTCTTGATGCTCCGGAGGCTAGCAAGCTCTTGAGTGCTGTTGCAATTGCTTTGTCTAATTGTTCTAGGTAATTGTTGTTCATTGCTCTTTAACACCGAGTGATGTGAAAATTTAATAACTTATGTGCACGGCATATTTATATCACATTTTTATGTCCGTTAATTATAAGTGATAACTAGTTGCAGCTTGTTTCACACTAATAATTGGGTTTGTGTGTTGTTGTCTCTCATTTTTTAGTAGAGAAGTTACTTTGTTGTGGGATTAGAATCTGATGGTTTAGCGTTTAAATAGAAATTATCCATTTTAGTTTAGATATCCAAAGTGGAGATGTTCTTTCTCATAACATTGGGTTCATAGTTTATGGCCAGCATTCGTTCCAGTTCATGATCCATCTCGGAAAGCTTATATTGGAATTCAGAGCATGGGTACTGTATTTACTAGAAGGTTCGAAGCAGATCGAATTGGTAGCCAGGTTCCAATAAAGCTCATGCATTTGGAGGGTTTGTACGAGTTATTTGTATCTAAGTTTGTGAGTTCCTCTCCCATGTTGTTCAAATTTAATATCTATTTGATTTTTGGGTTGTTGGAATACGTCCATGTTTAATTTGGTATTCCCTTTTTGCTTTATGCTTCTATACTTTGCTCTCCTTTTTGAAACTGAAGCAGATGTATTTGGTGCCCTGGTACAAGTGGTTTACCTTTTAGTCTAATATCTTCCCCTGAGGGGATGGATATTGTGAGTTGAAATAAGTGAATAATCATTTAGTAAAAAGGATAAGAAAATGGACACAACTTAGGTGAAGTAACATAGCAGTTTAGTAACCTGTGCATTAAAGGTTGATGTGGCTACTGAGATGAAACTCTGATTTTGATTGGATAATAACATAAAAAGTACCTATGGTATTGCACCTAAGCTTTGTTCCTATGCAATAGTTTTCTAAATCTATGTCTTTCTTACATTATTTTCATGAGAATTACCAATTTTTTGTGAGCTCTCTAAGAAAATTATATGTATGAATTATTTTTGTCCTTTATATATTCTGGCTTAGTTTACAAAATATGTTGGTTGAACACTTGGCATACACTAACCTCCTCCAGTAATTTATCTTATAGCCAGCATTTCTATGTAAATTTTTTCATTTCATGTCTGCATTGTTCTTCTAACTTTCACTTGTAATATTATTTTCCATTTGATACCGAAGGCCTACTCCACATTGGATTTGTCTGTTCATAATTTCAAAGTCCGATTTGCAATGAAGCTAACATTCAGAACACTTCCCTATGATGATGACAATATGAAAGTTGCTGAAATTAGCAAATCTGGAGAAAATCCTACTGGTGAAATGTCCAACGGGATGCAGTGGGATGATGATTGTTCTTGGAGTGAGTGGTATTCTGCAGAAGACCTTGTTAAAGGTAAATTCTAGGATGTAGGGACTTATAGGTAGAAATAGCTATGGGTTATTGCTTAGATGCTTTAATAAGAGGTATCTAGTGAATTTTGATACCTACAATTTCACAAAAAGGGGTTTTCTGTACAATGATTCTTCCATATGCAAAGAGTTACATGAGACTTTAGAGCCTAAATACCTGGGGTTATTCAAAGATATAATATATACTAAAAACATGCCTTAAACAGAGTCTGTATCGATTGAAAATATGTCTTAAATGAGCTTATAAATTGGGTAATTCTTACCTTACAAATGGATTTTTGTGGTATTGAATTAGGTCCTAAAACCAAAACTCTAACAGTATCTTTAATAATATATATACTATAAAAAAGGATTTTTTTTTTCTTCTACCTACTTCAAAACTATAATATATTATCTGCTTTTGTACCATTCTTATTATCATTGTACTATAGCTGCCACTATTACTATATTATAATAATTATGAAGAGAGATTAATTTATTCACACCCTTTATTTTCTTTTAATCTAATGGTGCTAAAGAGTAGCTCATTTTTTACCATTAGAGAAAAAGAAAATAAAAGGTGAGAATAGAGAGTGATTCATTTAGATTTACTTTTAAAATAACTTATCTCTCCTCAATAATAAGAATAATAGTTATTATTATTATTATTATAATAATATATACACAATAATATACTCATATTATAATATAGACTTTATACAGTTAATATGATATAATTTATTCATATATTTAATAGTATATTTTAAAATTATATGTGAAAGTAATATATGACATAAATATAATAATTAATATTATATTATTTACAGTTTATGGAATAAAAAAAATTCTTATAGATTTTTATTATTGTCTATATGCTACATTCAGCATATACGTACTATAAAACAGTATTTTTTCTTTCAATTTTTTGTTTAACATTTTCACCTTTTTTACATGTTCTTTTTCGCACATTTTCCTGCCTATTTAAATATTTTTTGTACATTCATTTCTATGGTTGTTTCCTATCACATTTTACATATTTTTCCCTGTCTCTTTTTCCACCCATTGAATAAAATTTCTGTCTAAGCCTTTTGTCTTTTCTGCTTATTTAAAATTTTTTTCTCGCATCTTCTTTTTCTTATTTGCGTGGTTTTTTCCATCTATTTTTCTTGCCTGTACTCATTTAAATATTTTTCCTCTCCATTTTTTGGCCCATTGAACAGTATTTCTGTAAATTGTTTTTTGTCCATTTGCATGGGTTTTCCATGTCTGTTTTTCCTGCATATTTGAATAGTTTTTCCTACTCTTTTTTCTGTGTATTTGCATTTGTCCCTTGGGGTAGTTTGTTTGGTTAGTAAGGATTTTTTTCTGCGCTTTTAGTCTAGATTTTCTCTTTTTGAATAATAAACCTCTCCAAGTTTCATTATTTTCATGAAGCTCTCTGATTGATGTCAATGCCAGTTCCATTTTAATTTACTCTTAGGCTGCATGCAGGTTTTGAACTGATTGCAATATGGTCAGACAAGATGATTGAAAATTCTATGGAAATGGCTGAACTGGAAAATGTTTCTCCTCATGAAGCTGAGAAGTGGTTGATCTCTCTAAGGTTGCTCCAAATTTTAAGTTTTTTACCTGTTTAACAGAAACCAAATTTCTCATGACCAGTTGCTGCTTATGTTATTAATTAATATCTGTTGCTAAAAAGTGTTTAATAAATAATATTCAGGTCCAATGTGGTTCGAATCATTGGTCCATTTTCAACTGGCCAGAATTTTCATTTTCTTCAGTATGTTTATGAGTCTAGGCAAGAAAAAAATTATGTAACTAGGCCAGATTCATACTTTAATTTTTTAACGAAATCAGGCCTAGGCTCTTAAGCTTGACCTATTTCCACTTGTATTGACAATATTTAGATAAATTTAATTTGTTATTTATTTTAGGTCAATTACTTGTAAAACTCATAGTCAAAGTTTGACTTATTTTTTTAAATAATTAATAAAATTCAATTTTGTGGTATTATCTTTTACATATAGACTTGAAGGTTGCAGTGAGAATACGATTGGATTCGCATCCGAGTTGCGTCTTCTGGTTGATGCTTTGCAAATGTCATTTGAGGCACAATTTATGGAAGATTTTGTTTCAGGTTTGAATTTGTTTTGGTGCATTTTATGGTATAGTTCCCCTATTTCGTGGGGCTTATGTTTCATAGTTAGTAGTGAATTATTTTCCCTTCTTCTGGCCTGTTGCAGTTGAAAATCCAGGTTCTGATAACATAAAATCTGCAATGGTTATACCTTCACCAACAGTTAGAGACCGTGTGCTGAAAGAATTGTTTATTGAGGGTATGTAGCTTTCTCCTTTATTTGCCTTCCATTTTGGGTAAATTCTCAAGTACCTACACTGTTGTTATTTTATTAATTGTTAAAATATGACCAGCCTACTTCTTATAAGGCTTGGTCAGAGTTTTCTTTTGGGATTAATTTAGGCACAATCTTTTCTAATATGGTATCAAAACCTATTTTGTCGTGATGTGTGATTCTACAAACTTCACGCTACTGCTGTCTAGTCTTGGGCATGAGGGAGGGATGTATTAAGATGTCTCACAATAGTTAGGAATAAGATTATAGTAATACTCCTTACCAGAATTGATCAAGTCTCCCCCCTCTTAAGCTAGTTATTGGAATTGAGTTTGGCTCGGTCCATTAGATTTTGCATCTAAATCCAATCTAGCCACTTGGGGACACTTTGAATGGAAAAATGGCCTCCTATGTAGTGTTAAATTTGATGTTGATACTCTAAATTGTTTTACTATAATCAGTGATGTAATGTCCGCAGGTGTACAATTCTCAAACTTTGCTGATAATGGACATAAGAATTCTCGAGCTATAAAAGGCGCACCTCTTGGATCCCTCTTTGCACAATTTTGTTTACATTCTCTTTGGTTTGGCAACTGCAATATACGTGGTATTTACCAAAAGTAATTATGATTTGTTTGTAGTATAACTCTGGAAAATTAGATTAACTGAAATATGATTTTTTTTATTATATCAATACAAAGAGATGAAATAAGATATATACAAGAGACCTAAGCTATTTTAGGAAATATAATAACTCTATTTTATGCTAGGATCCCTTGATTTATGAGATTGTTCCTAATTATTCAAATCTGTATGGATTACAAGGAAATATACAAATTTCCTGATTTATTCTTTCCCAAAATACTATTTGATTTCCCACACTCCCCCTCAAGCTGGTGAATAGATGTTTTCCATTCCCAGTTTGGATACAATCTTCTCAAAATTATGGCAGCCCAGTCCCTTGGTAAGAATGTCTGCAATTTGGTCTTGAGAGGACACATATGGAGTGCATATCAAGCCACTATCAAGCTTTTCTTTGATGAAGTGTCTGTCTACTTCAATATGCTTTGTTCTATCATGCTGCATTGGGTTGTGGGCTATACTGATTGCTGACTTATTATCATAATAGAGCTTCATAGGTTCTTCCCACTTTATCCTCAAGTCTTCTAAGATGATTTTAAGCCATAGCAACTCACATATACCTTGTGCCATGGCTCGGAATTCTGCTTTAGCACTGGACCGAGCCACTACACCTTGCTTTTTGCTTCTCCAAGTCACGAGATTTCCTCCAAGAAAGGTGCAATATCCTGTAGTTGACCTCCTATCCACAATTGACCCCGCATAATCGGCATCGAGTATAGGCTTCAAGCTTCACATTACCATTTCTTTTGAATAGAATCCCTCATCCCGGAGTTCCTTTAAGGTACCGTAAAATTCGTGGGCAACTTGTAAATGGGTCTCCTTTGGGCTATGCATAAATTGGCTAATTAAACTCACTCGCATAGGCAATATCCGGCCCGATATGCGACAAATATATAAGTCTACCCATTAATCTTTGGTACATATCTTTTTCAACGACGAACATCTTCTTTTGCATTTCCAAGCTTTAGGTTTGGTTCTAATGGGGTACTAGCAGGTTTGCAAGTCTGCCTTGCCGCTTCCTTGAGCAAATCGGTGATGTATTTCTGCAGAGATATAAATATCCCTTTCTCGGAGTGGGCAACTTCAATTCCCAAAAAATATTTTAGTTTTCCCAAGGTCTTGATCTCAAATTCCTTGCCTAAGCATTGACTCAATAATTGTTGCTCTTCTTTATTATCTCCAGTTAATATTATGTCATCCACATACACCAATAATATTGTTACTCCCCCTGACTTGGAATGTTTAAAAAACAAAGTATGGTCCTCTTGGTTTTGTTTGTAACCCAGACCTGTCATAATTTTAGTAAACCTGCCAAACCTGGCATGCACGGGGGGACTGTTTTAACCCATATAATGCCTTTTTCAACTTGCAAACAGTGTTGGCAGCAACATCTTTACCATATCCCGGAGGTATCTCCATATAAATTTCTTCTTCAAGGTCTCCATGTAGGAAAACATTCTTAACATCAAATTGTTCCAAGTTCCAACCATAATTGGCAAGCAGCAAGGGACAATATTACCCTAACTGTGTTCATTTTGGCAACCGGAGCAAAGATCTCCAAATAATCAACTCCATAGGTTTGGGTGAACCCTTTGGCAATTAGTCTTGCCTTATATCTCTCAATTGATCCATCAATCTTGTATTTCACTGTATAGACCCATTTACATCCAACTGACCTCTTTCCTATTGGTAAGGTGACTAACTCCCAGGTGTTGTACTTCTCCAATGCCTCCATCTCTACATCCATGACTTGCCTCCATTTTCTGTCAGACAATGCCTTAGATAGGGTATTAGGTAGAAGTGCAGTGTTTAGGTTTACTAGGAAGGTTTTATGAGTAGGAGAAAAATTTTTAAAGGACAGGTAATTTGAGAGAGGGTAGAGTGGCTGTTTGGTGCATTTTCTTATTCCTTTTCTAATGGCAATTGGGAGGTCAGGATCATTTTGGGTTTCAATTTCAACCTGCACAGCTGGAGAAAAAATTGTTACCTCTTTTTGTGGAGTCGAGTTGGATTCTTGAACATGGCTTGATCCTTGAATGACCTTAGTCTTCCTTGAGTATACCAGCTTCTTACCAAATTTTCCAGCTTCAACATCTTCTTGATCAGCTTCACAATTAATTTCACTTTCTTGACCAACTTCCTTTTCTTGACCAATTCCTTGACTTGTTTCATTTGTTACAACTTCAATTTGATCTCGTTTAGGTTCAAATATCAATTTTGGAAGAATGGGAAAACCAGAATTACTACTTTCAATATGATTTCGTTTAGGTTCAAATGTCAAGTTTGGAAGAATGGGAAAACCAGAATTACTACTTTCCTTATCTTCCCAGAAACTCTCCCCCTGAAGATAAGGTTGATGGAAATAACCCTCTTGTTCATTGAAGGTAACATCCCTAGACACAAAAAATTTTTTGGATGGGGGGTGGTAGCATTTATACCCTTTTTGAGTGGGTGAGTAACCAACAAAGACACACTTTAAGGCTCTAGGATCAAGTTTCCCCGTCTCGTACTATGAATATGGACATATGAGATGCACCCAAAAACTCTTGGTTTAAGATTATTTGTAGTAGACAAGTTTGGATAGAAAGACGACAAAGCTTCCATAGGGCTTTTTGATCCTAAGACTCTAGAGGGTAGTCTATTGATAAGGTATGTTGCTCGTAAGGACAGACTTCCCCCGAAATTTTTTGGGACACTTTTTTGGAACAACAATACCCGAGTCCGATTTAATAGATGTCCATTTTTCCTCTCTCGCGACCCCATTCTGTTGTGGTGTTTTGACACAAGAGGACTCATGAATTATACATTCTTTTTGACAAAAAGAATTAAGGACATGATTGAAGTAATCTTTGGCATTATCTGACCTAAGCCTCTTAATATTAACACCAAACTGATTTTTTATCATGGAGTGGAAGTTTAGGAAGACAAAACTGACTTCTGATTTTTGTTTAAGTAGGAAAACCCAAGTGACCCTTGTACAGTCATCTATAAAGGTGACAAGCCATCGAGTACCAGACACATTTGGAATATTAAAAGGTCCCCATACATCAGTATGAACAAGATAAAAAGGGAAATTGCTAATTCTATTACTTATTGGAAAAGATATACGCTTGTGCTTAGCAAGTTCACACACCTCACAATGAAGACTCTCAACATCTAACTTGGTAAACAGAGAGGGAAACATAATTTTGATCACTCCAAAAGAGGGATGTCCTAACCGACAATGATAAAGCATGATTTTTTCTCTGTTGGTCATCAAGGAATCAGAAATGAAGGAGTGAGAGATTATATTCTTGCTGGGCAGACTTGGATCTTCGAGATAATAAAGACCATTCCATTTTCTAGCATGTCCAATCATCCTCCCCCGAATCCTTGTCCTGAAATACACAATGATCGTTGAAAAAAACAACTTTACATGACAAATTCTTTATAAGTTTTTGTATAGACACTAGGTTCGTGGATAGCTTTGGGACATGGAGAACATCTTTTAAGGTTATTAAAGGATTGATTTGGATATTTCCTTGACCAGCTGCAGTTATAAGGGTTCCATCTGCTGTGACAATTTTCTTGTTGCTGGGACATGGGGAATATGTGGAGAAGTGTTTGGCTAATGGTGTCATGTGATCTGTGGCTCCGAGTCCAATATCCAATAATGATTAAAAGGCGTATCCGAGACATTTAATCCAAAAGAAGGTGGAAACTTACCCGAGTATGCCAAAGAACACATACCTGTAGGTTTTTCCAGCTTACTAAGAACGGTTTTCACCCTTTCTATCTCCTCTTCCCTTGACATTATAGCAAAAAGGTGCGATGCAACAGCAATGCAGGCTGCCGTCTTAGGGTTAAGAAAAATGCAGCAGCAATGCAGGCTGCCGTCTTAGGGTTAAGAAATATGCAGCAGCAATGCATGCTACCGTCTTAGGGTTTATCGCGCGCAGACAGAGCTTCCTAGATCGGAAGCTCTGATACCATCTGGAAAATTAGATTAACTGGAATATGATTTTTTTTATTATATCAAAACAAAGAGATGATATAAGATATATACAGGAGACCTAAGCTATTTTAGGAAATATAATAACTCTATTTTATGCTAGGATCCCTTAATTTATGGGATTGTTCCTAATTATTCAAATTTGTACGGATTACAAGGAAATATACAAATTTCCTGATTTATTCTTTCCTAAAATACTATTTGATTTCCCACAATAACCTAAACCTAATTAAGAGAGTAGGAACAAATTGTTCATCTATGAAAAATTTATTCTCTGAAATATCTCGTTTGTACTTATAATTGTATTTATCTTATTCATATGTATTACTCAATTTTGGTCTCTATCAGCTATTGCTGTGCTATGGATAGAGTTTGTTCGGGAGGTTAGGTGGTGTTGGGAAGAGTCGCAACTATTGCCGAGGATGCCAGCTAACGGATCAATTGACCTGTCCACTTGTTTGATCAACCAGAAACTTCAGATGGTACTTTATTTTTATCTTTGAAGGATCTTTACTGAAATCTATCATTGTGTGCTTGTTTGCTTTGCATATTTAATATGCAATTTTATGTTAAAAATTAATTATTATTTTTGTTTTCTATAAAACATTCTTGCCTCAGTGATTTTTTTAATTCTGAATGATTTTTCTCTTATTTTTGTTACTGCATTTTTTACAGAAAAATAGTTGTTGATAATAATGTCATATGTACTATCACAAAATAGAAACAAAAATGAAAAATAGAAGTAGAGATAAGAAAGCTGCCGCTATTATCACAAAAATGCCACTGCCACTGCAGCACAGTGAAAATACAACTTCAGGATCTCTCAAAGAGAGTGGCCTCTCAACTCCTACTCACAGGACATGAAAATAACTACTTCCTCTTCTACATGTCTGCCACTTTTTTCAAAACACCCATTTTCCAAGACTCAGACATGACATTGATAACTACCTCCAAATATAGATTACCCTTTTCCCCTCCTCCTCTCATACACCCTCAACCCCTTGGTCATAGTTGGTGTCATGTGATTCATGTTACTGACCTCAACTAGTGAGATAAAGCTTTTGTTGTTGATGAGTTGTACCCCTAGATCAGTTATTATAAGTAAAGCTAGGAATATTTCAGTGAGCTCGGATGTTTTGGTCATTATACGTTATAAAGTACATAGTGATAAAATTGATATTTACTGCTTTGTTATTTAGCTTGCAATATGCATTGAGAGGAAGTGTCAGCTGAATGAAGACTATCAAGACTGTATTGGAAGCTTGGATCAAATGGATTCCATGAGTGAGGTCACAAACCATTTTTTTCCCTCTTGTTTTTGGTCGTTAGGTCAATTGTTGTATTACCGTTCTGTATTCTCTTTATAGTGTATATTTTCACTGGGTGTTAATAGGTTTTCATGCAGGACGAAAGTGTAGTTGGGGATGAATCCTTAAGTATACAGACATCCAGTGATGACTTTTCTGGGAAAGTTGACAGGTGAACTTAGCAAGTGAGAGCCTGCTCGGTTGTTATTGTCTGAATCTATCTTCTGACTGCTATTTAACAACTCTCTCCTATAGCCATTTCTTCCATTTATATATCACCACTTACTACTGGTCCTTACTTTCAAATTTTCTATATGTGGATATCATATGTGTTTATTTATAGGTAACTAGGGTATATTGATTATAAAAGGGGATGCTTTGTTCCTTTTCTTGTTTCATTTTAGAAGTTGATTTCTTTCTCAAAATTTTAACAGGGGGGATAGAGAGAGGTTTAGTTTTTTATTTGTTGGCCATAAAACATTCTCTGATCTTTTCAAATGGTAAGAAGCAAGTGGCTACCTGTAACTAATTTAGATATTTGTGCATTCTCTATTTTGTTGCCATAGATAGTTGAAAAACTCAGCAACCTTGATGTGCCCCCGCCCTAAAAGGAAGGAGGATCTCTTTGGCTTCAAAACCCAATGATTTTGAACTATCTTCATTTTTTTCAGCAGCACTTTCTGTAATCTGTGCTGGTGTAGGACTCGATTTAGGTTGACTGAAGAATGACACAATTGAGCATTTTCCTTTTATACTAATTTAGTTAGTTCACACTTAATTTTGTCTCTCTAAAGTGATCTTCGGGTTTTGGAATTGTTCACTCCAAGACCAGTTTGGCCTTGACTGGGGGGATCATATAGTCTATCCTTAGTTCTGCTATCTATCTCTTTTATGGGCTCCACTTCAGTTGTGTGTGCGAGTGTGGCCAACTGCATGGTACTGAAAATACAACTTAACTACTGCTTTTTGTGTGACAAATATCTGCTATTAAGAATAATAATGGATTTGTACACTTGTACTAGTTTCTTCAATTCATAATTGGGTTATACAATATCCTTGGAAATGTTTCAAGCATTTATCTAGCACACATGGTGTCTAATTCTGTGTTAATGTTGTATTTTTTCAACTACTAATGATTAGTGTGGTTGTGGGAAAAAATATAATGTTAGCAGAAAGCCTGAAGACATGAACCTGTCAAATGATAAAGAAACTTCAGACTTGACCTGGAGAGGTTCTGCTGGTATTGTTGATTCTATGATGCTTCTCAAGTCACATCAATGTATGCATGCCCCATATACACAGGTTGTTCCTGCATCCAGATAACATTTGACATTGTCATTATGTAATATAACCAAATTTTGACGAATATAATGTCTTTAATGTTGTTTTCTATGCTACAGGAAGCACCACTTATGACAGAAGACATGCATGAGGAGAGGCTTAAGGCTGTTGAAGCCTTTGGTGATTCATTTGTAAGAACACATGCAATGCATATAACAATAACAATCATGGGCTATAAAAGCTTAGAGCCTTGGACCACATAGATCTCATGTACATTTCACATAGGGGTAACGAAACAAGATACATTGAACAATTAATTCAGGTCATATGTAGGGAATTTGAATGGTGCAGCAGTATAGGCTTAAAAGTATAGCCTCTTAGTTGTCAACATTATTGCTAAAAATATAGTATTACTTTTCTTGAAGAAGGCTGATATCTATCCCTCCCCTATCTTGATCCTGATATGTTAGGTCGATCATGGATTAAAATTGTCCCACATAGTGACATGAGAAGTAGATAAATTCATTGGATAGTTGAATCCTGTTACAGGTGGTTGACAAAGAAAAATGAAAATACCAAGATGTGGAATTGGTTATGCACAGAAATTGATGTCTGTATAAAGTGTTGAGGGAAATAAGTTGTTTGAAATTAAAATGAGTTACAGAAACAATATTGTGACATGTGATGACAACTTTTGGGCTTGCGATTTTGATAAGCACTTAAATACTTGGGAAAACATCCTCAAAAGCTAACTATTAAGATGGGAGAACTAAACTTAAATACTCCACCCAACGTTCAATATTATTCATTTTGGGGCTTAGACATCCCATATTACCTAAGTCCCAATCAGATTACTTTCAAGGCTTTTCTTATTCTTTCCAAAGACGACTCAAAGATGCACATGAAAAATAAATATCCCAACACCAAATATTCATCTCCTTCCTTGAACTTTTTGAAGCTTCATTATCATTTGATTAATTCATGCATATCTCTGCTTGCTAATCTAGAACTAAAAAAAAAGGGATGCGACAGGATTGATGTATTTTCCATACTTTCACTTCATATATTATTATATCATTACTTAGCAAGTCCTTTTTATTTTCAGAATTTCTCTGCTCAGCTGGAAAGGGATATCTTAACATCAGGTAATAATAGCATGTATTTTTTTTGGTAATGGATAGGTACGTATATGCTTTGTAACAATACTGCGTAGTCATTGATCATGTCTCAAGTTCCTTTTTGTTTTCTAAAAGAATATAGTTAAATCTGATTTCTGAAACGGATGCATGTGATGTAAAAAAATAATTTAAATGTATAATCACACATTTACTAGAAGATCATATGCATAATGCTTTCTAATTTGATGTAGCTGCATCATCACTACAATGGAATGATGTTTTCATCGATTTAATTTCAGTCATGAGTGTTATGTTCACCATACCATACTCTTAGAATTTAGGTTTGGATCTAGTTCAATCCCACAAAATTGGCTCGAATGCTGCGTAATGCTAGTTCAGTTTACTCTGAACCAAATGAAACTATGTGCGTGTGTATATGTATATATAACAAGTTTTTTTCTTTTTTTTCAATATAACAACATAAGATGTGACAAACAAACAATGGCTTTGTTTTTAGACATGTCAGCATTTAAGGCAGCAAATCCAGATGCTATCTTCGAAGATTTTATTCGGTGGCATTCACCTGGGGATTGGGAAGAGTATGATGACCCTGAGGCATCATCATTCGGTGCTCTTGACATTAAAAAGACAAAAGATAGTTGGCCTCCACAAGGGAAGCTTTCTAAGAGAATGTCTGAGCATGGAAATTTATGGAGAAAGCTTTGGAATAGTGCACCTGCTCTTCCTGCTTCTGAACAAAAGCCTCTTCTTGATCCAAATAGGGAAGGAGAAAAAGTAAGTATTTTTCTGGAAGTTTAAATTTGTTTTGCTTTTGCTATTGTTGTAGAGACTTTTCCAGGTAATTTATACTGGAATAACATTATTTTTGTTACTTGGTTTCTCATGTTGATGGGACAGCTGAGTCAATTAAACTTGGAAGCCTTTTCTTTTTTCTCTCATTCTAGTGGATCTATCCGGAGGATCTTAATGATAATTGGAAACTGTGTTCTAATAATCTTATATATTCTTTTCTTGATTTAGAAGTAATCATCTCCCCTTTTTTTTGTTTTTTTATGTGAATTTAAAATGTGTTGTGTTTCTAATGACAACTAAATATGATGATCCGCTAAAGGGTGATTGAAGCTTGAAATGTAAATGAATTTATTGTAGCGATCATCTCAATCCTAAAGTCCAGGTTGATGAGAGGAATACTTCAGTTTTGGATAAGAGTGCCATGTCGGAATCCTAGTTGATTTGTGGGTCATGCTCCAGTGTCATTTCTGTCAGTGGGATTGTGCAGCCATCTCTGTCCAAAGGACAATCTGAGGTCTAATGCTGCCTTGATGTTGGGAGCCCACTCGTGAAAGTCAAGCTGATAAGATAGTAGAGAATGACCTTCAAGTAAAACAAAACCTTTTTGTTTTACCAGTTGATGGGGATTCATGCTCTTGTATTAACAATTTGATGTACCTCTATGGACATTGGTAGAAATGAATGGGCATAAATGATTATTACACAGCTGTAAGGGTGCTGGTCTTCTGGTTAGCAACCAGAAAATTTTCATTAGAAACTAAATATCCATAAAGAAAAGTCCATTTGTCCAAATCATCTTAATCATTTTCTATCATCTTTTTCTCTCTCTTCCTCCATGACTTCTTCCGTTGTCCCACAATTAGCTATTGTGGATCCTACGTCATCTTATATCGCAGACAAATTTGTAATTTTTAATGAATTTTTCAAATGGTATGAGGCTCGTCATAACTCTAGTTCCACTCCTTCTGCTGTACTCACAAGTACATCTTTTGTTATCGTAACTCAATCTCCTTCAATTGGACCTTGGATTCTTGACAGGCGCCATAGATCATATTACTGGGAACAAATCTTTGTTTTCTTCTTTATCCTCTCTGAATAATTTACCTTTGATTACAATGACTAATGGGTCTAGGGTTTTGTCTCATGGTATTGGTACTATTAAACTTTTTCCATCTTTATCCATTGATAATGTTCTTTATATCCCTGGGTTTCCCTTTAACTTATTATCCATTAATCGTCTAACTTGTTCTCTTGATTGTGTTATTTCTTTTACCAAAAATTCTATTTGCTTATAGGACCAGAGTTCGAGATAGATGATTGGCATCAGATGTGAGTCTTATGGTCTTTATCATCTTCGCCCTTCTAGACATGTTAGTATAGTTATGGAGTCTCTATCTTTCCTCCATGCTCAGTTAGATCACCCCAGTTTTGCCAAATTGCAACAACTTGTTCCCAGTTTGTCCAATTTATCTAGTTTATTATGTGAGTCATGTCAATTAGGGAAACATAGTCATAGTTCATTTCCTCGTAGTGTTTCACAACGTGCTTCATCACCTTTTGCATTAATTCACTCTAACATTTGGAGACCCAATCATGTTAAGTCTAATTTAGGTCTTCAGTATTTTGTTACCTTTATTAATGATTATTCTAGAAATACTTGGTTGTTTTTAATAAAAAATCATTCTGAGTTATTTTTTATATTCCAATCCTTTTTTAATGAAATTAAAACTCAGTTTGGGATTTCTATTTGAATTTTGCACAGTGATAATGACTGTGAATACCTTTCTCATTCTTTTAAAAATTTTATGGCTTCTCATGGCATTTTTCATCAAATTTGATGTGTTTATACACCTCAACAAAGGGTGACTGAGTGCAAGAATAGACATCTTGTTAAAATAACTCGCACTTTTTTAATTCATAGTAAGGTTCTTAAACATTTTTGGGGTGATGTTCTTACTACATGTTATCTTATCAATCGCATACTATCTTCGGTTCTAAATAACAAAATTCTTCATTCTCTTTTATTTCCTCATGAACCTCTACATCCCTTACCTCTTAAAATTTTTTGGTCTACATGTTTTATTCATAATTTTAGTCCTGATTTTGATAAGTTATTTCCTAAACACAGATGCCTTTTTTTTAGGATTTACTCGATCACAAAAAGGATATAAGTGTTTTTCTCCTTCTCTTAACTGTTATTTTATTTTTAAAGATGTCACATTTAAGTGTTTTTCTCAAGGTTATCGGAATCGAGAGTCTACGTTGACTCGCGAGAGCTTCGTAGACTCGACTCAGTAAACTCGACTCGTAGACTCGTAAGAGTCTACTTCATATGAAAAATTCTATATAATAATATAAATTCAGAATTTCATCATCAAAATTAATGAAAATAAAAAACAATAGTTCAATAATTCTAAAATAACTTGGTTCAACACACATGATTGTTATATAAGTTCAAATTACACCAAATACATAAGTTAATACAAATCACCAAAACATAAATAACTTCAACTTTCTAGCTCCAATCCTCTAATTATATCATCTCCAACATCATCATCTTTTTCATCTTCATCATCATCTTCTCCATCACCATCAACCTCTTCCTCGGATGATAAGAGTGCATCATCAACATTGGCATCAAACACTATATTATCAAGATCAATTGGTTCTAAAGTAGGATCAATTGAACTTATTTCAGCTATGTCAACATTTTCCTCATCACCTTCACCTTGAGCTGGCTCAATCCCAACATTATCACCATCTTCTGTTATCCATTCATCATCGGACTCAATATCATCAAATGGGAGAGCAAGCTGTTTTCCTATTTTGTTTATTTTTGAGCTTCAAGTTGTACATGACATAAACCAAGTCATTCATCTTTTTCTGGTGCAAACGGTTTCTTCTTTTTGTGTGAACCTATAAATAAATATGAATGTTTAAATACAAAAAATTAAAAACAAATAATAACTTAACAAATTTGACTTACCATTTCAAATGAGCTCCAATTACGCTCACACCCGGAAGAACTACAAGTTAAGTTCAAAACTCGAATAGCAAATCGCTTCAACTCCGGAGTTCCATCTCCAAACATTTCCCACCATTCTCCAGGAAGCATAACTTTCCTACAATCTTTTGCATTTTCCATTGAGAAAAGTCCTTTTGCAAAATGAAACTCTAGAAGTTGTAAATTAATTTTTTTCCTTTCTGCAACATCCTTGACCAATCTTTTCATGCATTCATACAACCCTTCTTTTACCTCCACATCATCATTTCTAAAATTAGGTTCATAGTGCATGTGAGGGTTAAGGTAATATGCAGCCGCATGCAAAGGTCTATGAAGTTGATTATTCCACCTCTCATCAATTATGTTCCAAACAGGTTCATAACTACAATGATGCAATCATGCAATGTTAGAAATAATTACACAAAATAAAGAATGAAAATCTGAAAAAGAGAAAGTTTATAAATTTTACCTTTTCTTAATATTATTAAAGTTAAATTTGATCTTCTCTTTGGCATAATCCATTTCTTCATAAATGAAACCCATTGCGGGTTTTATATCTGAATCCACTAATCGAAGGACCACCATCAAAGGGGCAGCAACTTTGAGACAAGTGGTTGCATTCTTCCAGAACCAACTATCTAATACCACATGCTCAATTTTTCTCCCTTCCATTGAAGTTCCAAATTTGCTTGATTTCCACTCATTAGAGCTAAAGAAGCTCATCAATGATGCTTTCAATTCATGAAGACATGCAAGAGTTAGATAAGATGTGGCAAATCTAGTCATACCTGGCCTTATCAAGTCTCTACCTTTGGTAAACTTCTTTAACATGCTAATTAGCATTGCTCTACCATAAATGTAGGTAGTGATTCTTCTTCCCTTCTTGATAGTAGTTTGATGGACCTTCAAATGTTTTTCAAAATCTTCAAAAATCAAATCAATGCAATGGGCAGCACATGGGGTCCAATACAAATGCTCTCGTTTTTGCATCAATAACTCTCCAATTGCCTTGAAATTTGCGAGCATTATCGGTAACCACTTGAACCACATTCTCCTCTCCAACAAATTCCACTACATCATCCAACATCTTAAACACTTTATCTGCAGTTTTTGAGATATTTGATGTATCCAATGAGTAAAGAAACACAGTCCCTTTAGGACTATTGACTAGAAAGTTACAAATAGAACGTCTTTTTTGTCGGTCCATCCATCGGACATGATTGTGCAACCTTGTTCTTTTCCACTCCTCCTTATATTCTTCAAGGATTACATCGGTTTTTGCACTCGCTTGTTTCAAAAGTTTTTCTCTAATATCATGATATGATGGGGGTTTGTAACCAACTCCATATCTTCCAATCATCTCACACATTTTTGCAAAAGCGGGATTTCTAATAACATTGAATGGAATGGCACTTGTGTAAAAAAATTCCGCCACTTGAGCATCAACTTTTTCTTTATCCCCTTTCTTATACAATTGATTTAAAGTAGATTGAACACCTTGACTCGAATTTGTCCTTTCCTTTATTTTTGAACATCATACTACTACTACTTTGAGTGGTATCCACCTCTTGAATGTGCTCATCATCATACTCATCAATTATATTCCGTCTCCTTTTCTTTTCGAAACATCTTTAGCCTCTGCCACGACTTTCATCATTACAACTTTCACTTCTTCTGGAACTCGAGGCACATGGTTCAAAATCATATCTAGTACCAGCAAGATGATGTTTGAATCGAAAACTCCTCCATTGATTATTTTTGAGCAATAATTACATTTAACTTTTTTCCATTACCCGAAACATCTGTTCCATGTTTCCATCCAATGTCGGTCCGGTTTCCTAAAGCATTTTTACTTCTAGGTCTAGGAGGTCTAGGTAGTGAAGATACATTAACATTGGAATCACAAGAATTTGAAGCAGTCCCACTTCCGGACATTGCAAATCGGTCTCAATTAACTAAAAATAAAATAATTTATTTTTTTAGAACATCTATAAAAAACAACTAAAATAAAAGATAAAATATGCAACAAAAAATAAATTCAATAAATAAAACAAAGAATAAATTATATAAATACTACCTATTCAATAAATAAATAAATAAATAAATAATATAAAAAAATTTAACGACTAATGAATAAAAAAAAAAGTTTCGGAATGCATTTCATTTTACGTAAATGCAACGCACACACATCCTCCTCACACTCACTTACGCAGTACTCGCGACGCGAGGAGGCGACCGGAGCTGCGACTGCGACGCGGGGGGGAGGGGACGCGACGCGGAGCTGCGGGGGCGAAACGCGACGCGGAGCTGCGAGGGCTGAGCTGCAGGGCTACGCGACCAAAACTCAACGCGCGACACCACTGCGGGGACGAGGGAGGTCAGATCTGTTCGATTTTCTCTTCTTCTTTTGGGTTTCAATCGTTTAGGTTTTCGATTTGGGTGGTTAGGGCTTTTGTTTGGGTTTAAAATCAAAATGGTAACGACATTTTTGTTTGTCGTTTCGTCATCCCTACGAACTCGGTGACTCGCTCTCAAACTCGCGAGTCTATTCCGAGTTCACTCCGAGTCAAACAAAAAACGAGTTTACATGCGAGTTCACCCGTAAACAACAGCTTGACTCGCTGACTCGTACGGGTGTACGAGTCAACCCGCGAGTTCGATAACCATGGTTTTTCTTCTCCATGTGTGTCTTCATCTGTTACTGTCAATATTTCTATCGTGTGTGATTCTCATGTTAGTCCACCTTTGGATTCTCCTCCGCCACCACTACTTCAGGTTTATAATCAAAGACAACAATCCCAACAACCACCAAATGATTCACGTCTAGTGCCAACTCGTTTGTCTCCTTCGGCTCCGACAATTGAGTTTAACCTTCCAATTGCCCTCCGTAAAGGTATATGTTCTACTCGTAATCTCTCTTCTCATTATACTATTTTGAGTTACCATAGATTATCTTCACCTTTTTATACCTGTCTTTTGTCCATCTCTTTTGTGTCAATTCCCAAATCCGTTGGTGATGCCTTTGCCCATCCTGGTTGGCATCAAACCGTGCTTGATGAAATGAATGCTCTTCAGAATAATGGAACTTGGGAACTTGTCCCATTACTGTCTGGGAATCTGTAATTGGTTGCAAATTTGTGTTTGCAATCAAAGTTGGTCCTGATAGTATTATTGACCGTCTCAAAACTCGTTTTGTGGCTAAAGGTAACACACAAGTTTTTGGTTTGGACTATGGTCTCACCTTTTCTCCAGTGCTAAAGATGACTTTTGTTCACTTATTCATAGCCATTGTTGCGTTTCAACAATGACCTCTTTACCAACTGGATGTCAAAAATGTTTTTCTTAACGGAGATTTGTAGGAAGAAATTTATATGGAGCAACCTCCAAGCTTTGTTGTTCAGGAGGAGTCTTTTGGATTGGTATGTCGTCTTCACAAAATCTTTATATGGCCTAAGACAATCTCTTAGAGCCTAGTTTGGAAAATTTAACAGTGTTGTTCAGCAGTTTGGTATGACTCGTAATGAGACAGATTATTGAGTATTTTACCGTCACTCAGGTGTTAGGTGTATCGATTTAATAGTATATATTGATGATATTGTTCTTATAGGGAGTGATCATCATGATATCTCCTAGATGAAACAACACCTTTGTCACCACTTCAGAACAAAGATCTTGACAAACTTAGATATCTCTTGGGGATTGAGGTAGTACAGTCCAATAATGACATTGTTATATCTCAAAGAAAGTATGCATTGGATATTTTAGAAGAAACTAGGTTGATAAACTCAAAATCTGTTGACATACCCATGGATCCCAATACCAAACTCCTACCTAATTAAGGGGAGCCTCTCTCAGATCCTGAGAGAGAAGTACAAAAGATTAGTTGGAAAATTAAACTATCTTACTATTACTCGTCCTGACATTTCCTTTGCAGTTAGTGTGGTGAATCAATTTCTTAATTTCCCATGTGCAGATCATTGAAGTGAAATCATTTGTATATTAAAGTATATTAAATGATCTCCTGGAAAAGATTTGTTATATGATCACAATAAGCAAGCTAAAGTTGTCTGTTATTCAGATGCTGACTGGGCAGGATCTCCTTCTGATAGAAGATCTACTTCCAGATACTGTTTCTATTGGAGGTAACTTGATCTCTTAGAAGAACAAGAAACAAAGTATTGTAGTAATATCTAGTGCAAAAGCAGAATATATTAAAGAATTGCAATTTAAAAATATCACTCAAATGACACTTATATATAACAATCAGACTGCTTTTCGTATTAATTCTAATTCTGTCTTTTATGAAAAGACTAAACACATTGAAATTGATTGTCATTTTATTCGAGAAAAAATTGTATTTGGAGACATTAAGACCATGTTTGTTAACTCAAGTGAACAGTTAGCAGATATTTTACGGGTACTTAAAATTGATTATATTTGTAACAAGCTTGATACATATGATTTACATGCATCTGTTTTAGATATTATAGATATTATTAGTCATAATATATGTATTTATCATATTTACTTGTATGACTCTTAATTATAAATATATTATCTTATGTGTATTTTAGACACAAGGGAATTAACCTTATATTTAATTTTTCACTATATTCGACAATATTCAAAGTGCAAGTTGAGTTAACTTCCTTTGATTCCTTATTCAAAACTATATCTTCCTCAAAAGCATGTCCCTGGTAAACACATCCAAAACTACTTTGAAGAAGCAAGGATTTAAGATTGAGCCTTGATGTAAGCATATCCTTGCCGAAAAAGTCTAGCCTTGCTTCTTGAATTCTCATAATAGTAATTACTTAAACATACATGCTTTGTATATTCTAAAAATAAGCCACATGAACTCTTTTCTTTTCTAATGTCTACCACAACACTTCTCATACCCTTATCACTCAGTCATAAGTTTTATCCAAGTTAATAAAATCCAAATGTAGGTCTCTTACTTTGTTTGAGATATTCCACGTACCCTCGTAGGTAAATGCCTTTTGTTATACACCTTTCCATCAATGCATGTCAGAAATATGCTCCAAACATTTATGTTCGAAAGGTCTTCGTATTCGTATTTAGCTTCTCTTTGAGTTCTTAAAGGTCAGAACAAAAAACAACATGCAACAAATTTTCTTTTCTATCTTTTTTCTTTTGGAATTGGATATTACTTTACTATGGTCTTTTGGGTAGCGGGCAACGAGTCAATGGGATTAGAATGCTTTCTTTGTGTACTCGCACATTAACTTTTTCTTGTGATTTGCATAGGATAGATGTTTATTTTTGTGTAATTAAAATATATTACAAATATATGGCTTGGAATAGACACATTTTATTTTAAATTTATAATAAAAGTTATGTTACATGGCATGCATCTTTATCTGATTTTGTGGGTCATTGTAATCAAAGTTGATGAGTTTCATCCATATTTATACAAGATTTACCTGATCCTACTGGGTTAACTGGATGCCGTTGACCATAGATAAGTGATTAGAAGTATCAAGGAATGCAAAGCAAATGTGTGGTTACATGGGAAAAGTGTTCACATAGGCTATAAGGTCTTGAAGTAGGGTTATTTGGTGAATTGGGCCGTGCATGAAAGACAGATGAAAGTTTAAATTATTATTGTTCACTTATAACATTTTCTTATGATTAAATAATCAAGTAGGTATTTTTATCTAATGAAATTGCTGCTGTATATTTATGTAAAGCGAAATAGATTACTACATAACAAATTTATGGATTGCTTGAGATATCCTGTTCACTGTGTATCTTGCAAGCTATAATTTTCATATTCTCCATTTTTCAGGTGCTTCATTATCTTGAAACTCTACAACCACATGAATTGCTTGAGCAAATGGTGTGTACTGCCTTCAGAGCAGCTGCCGACACACTGAGTCAGACTAGTTATGGAGAACTGGAACAGATGGGGACTGAGATGCAGCAACTTTATCTTACAATGGCATCTGCTTTGAGACCTTTGCAAGGTATTTATTTATTTTTCTCTTCATTGGAAAAGAATAAATTTTAATACATTTACATGTTGCAGTTAATCGCTTGTCTGGAGACAGTGAGACAATTGAAGACTTAAGACGACTAACTGGTACTTTTGAACGAGTTGAGAAGTTATTGACTCTTGCAGCTTCCCTTCATCGCAAGCTTATAAAAGCACCACGCCTCTCCAGAGAAATTTTCAGCGATTACTACAAATTTTATATTCAAACAACGGCAAAGGGTTTCACGGAGGACATAATTGAAAAGGTGAGATGCTTGCGATGTATGCCCTGATTTGGGTAACATTCCATTCTTTCTTAGCATTTACCTGACATGCATTGCCACTATCTTTTGTGCATTTTTTGCGTAGGAGTTTGACAAGAAACAAGAAGTAAGGGACCTTGAGAGGGAAGTGCTGTCAGATATGTTTGTTCCTCCTACCGCTAACCAATCTTGGAGAAAAGTTTTGAGCATGGGAAATCTTCTCAATGGACATGAACCAATCATCAGGGAGATTATTTTTTCGCTGCGTGATAAAGTTACTGGTAATCACTATGCAGCTCGTAGTGGTAGTGTTTCTCAGCAAGAAATTCAAACTTACAGAATGTATATATGTGGGACGTCTAATGACCTACGCGTAGCACTTTCTGTTGTCTCGTGTGATTAATTTTATGGTGTTTATTTATTACAATTTTGATTTTTAGGAATTAGTCACATGTGGCATCTGGTCTTACTGTCGTTGCTAAACCTCCTCTCAAAAATTGAATCCAACCCTAAATTGGAAAGAGGTTCTTGGTTGCATTCTAAGAGGGATCAACATGTGAAACTTTAAACACACTGTATTTTTGTACCTAAACTGGAAGCCCTTAACTAGGGTTTCACCATACTATTATTTCTGTTAAAAAAATTGATTTAGGAACATTCACAGATATTTAATGCTATTTTCCTGAAAACTGGATTTAAAACTGATTTTGATTAAAGAATGACTATATATAACATTTAATGAAAAACACAGTTATAAAATTCTGTCAAATTAGAAATACATTTGACTCGGGTTGACCTGTTTGATTCAGTAAGGTTATTTGAAAACCTGATTGGTTATTATTTTTTAATATATATATAATTTGTTTATCGAGTTGTGTTATTCAATCTTTGTTTATAAATTTGTCTTAACTTTATTTTCGGAATTAATTATTTATTAATGGCAATAATATTTTGAATTTTGAATTATGAAATGTTACTGTCTTGAATTGTATTTATGATTTTATATATTAATGCTTTATTTTAATTAAAAAATTGAAATTAAATATGTCAAATTATATTATATTATATATATATATATATATATATATATATATATACTATTTTTTAATGTAAATCAGGTCAATTAACAATCCAATGATTAGACTATTAACTTATTATGTGTTTTGATCAAGTGTCACGATATAAAACTAAACAAAATTGAAACAAATCAAATGTCAAAATTTAAGTATGGCTTTTAATCCGACGTTGGTTTATTTTAGGTTAGGTTAACTGTACACATATTTATGCAAAAGATGAATTAGTTTTTTTAATAAATTTACTACAGTCATGTTTTAAGTTGTGATTTTACAAATTTTATGCTCAAATTTATTATATGAGTACTTAACGTGATAAGAAACAAAAAATTGGATAAATACTTCATGAAAATATTATCGTTTGGGGTAATGGTATTTTGAATTTGATAATGTTTTTGCATAACCTGAGTAGTTCAAATTCATTTGGACTCCCTATTAATTATAAACTATTTATTTAATCAGGTTTTACTAAAAAGTACAATCCATTTTACTAAAAATTTAAAATTAAGTGAAATAGAAATGTTTATAAATAATATTTAGACAAAAATATAAAAAATAAACTATTCTAATAATAATAATAATAATAATAATAATAATAATAATAATAATAATAATAATAATAATAATAATAATAATTTACTATGATACTTTGCATTTACTGGTCAGCGGGGGCGGATCTTCCATAGGCTATGGAATGTGATTGAAATGAATAATAGTTGTCACATTAGACCTCAATTATAACAAAGTGGGATTCACATTCAATGTATATCCATTTGGGAAAATGCCAAAACACAACAAATAAACACTCTTTATTTGCTTAATATGTTATTCAATTGCTTTAAAACTTTATTTTATTGTAATAATATTATTTAATAAAATAGCATCATTTTACATTAAATTTAATTCAATTATTTATTTCACCATTTTTTAATATTAAATAACTCATGTTAAAAAATTCTTTACACTCTCTTACTTTCATCGAATATTTTTTTGTGATAAAAAATCATCAAACTATTAAATTTTTATTTCATTGCTCTAACTTTTAAGATGGTAGTTATTTGAGAGTATATATAAATCCTAATTAAATTGTAAACAAATAATTACTTTTTTATGACTTTTAACTGGCTAAGAGATTATTTTTATTACTAAACTTTTCAGTTCATTTTGACTTTTAACACTGTTTAGAAAATCAAATTGCATTTATTGAACCAACAAATATTAATGAATCGATCAAGTTTCTATTGTAAATAAATCATAAAATTAGTTTGAAACAAAAACCATCAAAACAACAAAAATTCAATAGCATTGGTCAATAACTGGCAAAATATATTATTCACAACAGGCCAATAAATTTTGTTTAACATAAAGTTACTCTGTATTAAACAAATAATAATAAAAAAACTATAGAGTTCATTTTTTTTTTAATTCTACGCATAATTTTGTTATTCTTAATGTATATTGTTATTTATTGTTGAAATTTAATATATTATTATTATTAACATCGTTATTATTATTTCTACGATTTTTCTCTCTGACTCTGAAGACCAAAAAAGCCATTAATTGCTCCCTTTCTTTCTTCTTTTCTTCCTCTCTCTCTCTCTCCTACTCATGAAAAAGAAAACAAAAGCCAGAAATCCTTTCCCATGAAAACATCCATTTCAAGCCCTCGTCACACTCTCATTCATTCACACTCACCAAAAACAATCCTCCTATCTTTCACTTCCCTACACCCCAAAACAAAACCAAAAACCACACTAACCTAGACCTCACTTCCCCAATCCATCACAAAACCAAACAAATTCAACACTCTTCACTCAGATCACACCACAAATTTAACCTACCTCAGAGACTCAGAGTGTTCCGCAAGCTCTTGATCATGGACTCGTTGTCAGGGGGAGCACCACCCTCTTCCTCACAACCTCCTCCACCATCATCACAACCTGAAGGATCATCACCTGCACCACCACCACCACCACCACCACCACCAAGCCGATACGAATCACAGAAGCGTCGAGACTGGAACACGTTCTATCAGTACTTGCAGAACCACAAGCCCCCATTGACGTTAGCACGGTGCAGTGGAGCTCACGTCATTGAATTCTTGAAGTACTTGGACCAGTTTGGCAAAACCAAGGTCCACATAGCCGGGTGTCCCCACTTCGGACACCCGAACCCTCCTGCACCCTGCGCTTGTCCTTTGAAGCAAGCTTGGGGCAGCCTTGACGCGCTCATCGGCCGGCTTAGGGCCGCCTATGAAGAAAACGGTGGTCGCCCTGAATCCAATCCGTTCGGCGCCAAGGCTGTCCGGATTTACCTCAGAGAGGTGAAGGAGGGTCAGGGCAAGGCTAGAGGGATCCCTTATGAGAAGAAGAAACGAAAGAGGACCACCACGAAAATTTCTTCTGTGAGTAACACTGGTGATGAAAATAACACTCTAATTGTTTCTCTCACCACCAACAACGATGGTGGTTTTGATGGTAGTGCTGGTTTTAGTAATTTAACTCCTTCAACAACTAGCACAACGAATGTTACCACCACCACAATATAATTTTATAATTATTTATTGATTTTTACTAATTTTTGTTACAATATTACTAATTACTATATCTATTTTTCTATGGAAATTGATTGTGATTATGTAGGTGTAACTATTGTTTAGTTGTTTGTCTCATGCCCAATCATTCTAGTCTCTGTCAACTATTGAGCTACCATTATTAGTTCTGTCATTTGAGATTTGCTTTGTTCATCTTTTTAAAATTTTGTATTGTGTTTGGGAGGAGGATGAGGAGGTGATTGATGCTTATGTTAAGATTTAAGAACTCAAAAATCCACTATATAGTGGAGCCATAGGAGTGAACTTGCAGCTAGAATAGACAACTCTTAAGAGTTTTCACTTTCATGAATTTACACTCACAATTCCTTGTGTTTCAGTGGTGTGTGCATACATAACAGCTTGCCGATATTATGAACAATGGAAAAGAAAAAATTGATCACAATGATGTCTTAACCCATGATTGTCAAAGATAGATGGGAGGGCTATTTCATAGGAATTGACCCTCCCATTATGATATTAATCATAGTTGTTGCAGGTTGAAGGTGGATAACGATTAGAATTTTATTTTTTTTCCCCTAGTCATTGTCTTGTTTAGAGGTAAACAACACACAGAATATGAGTCAATTAGAAGGTCTAATCCTTCTTTATCCTACTCCATGCAACATTCAATGGTCCCCAGGTTCATCACCAGTGATACACACATGTGCTTATCATTGATTTCAAAACTTTTTTTTGCACTTCTGTCTCAGGTGCATGCCCCTTTTGCAACTTGATCTAAGATATTTTGTTTTCCGGGTTTATAATTTTGGCTTATTTTTTCTCTTTGGTTTCTGGCCTAGCTATTTCACCATGCAATTCCCACCTCCAATGTCTTACCCTATCTCTCTCTCTCACTCATATGATATCTGTAATTGGCAAATCTTTCTGTGAAAACAACACCTAACAAAGACATGGAATGCAACCATCAATGAAAAAAAAAGTAATGCCTTGTGATTGCTGCTAATATTTTATTTTGGTAACCACCACCTAAGTCTGAAAGGGACCATTAGCCAAACCGTCCTTTGCATTCTATATTTATGATTATCATACTATTTCACTCATTCATTTCTATTATCATAAATTCTATCATCACAATATTGAATTTCATCTATCTAAGCAAAATCTCATAAATAATTTGATTGAAAACGACACATCACTAAATATAACTAATACATTTCTCCACACATTATTGACTAAATTAATAAATATTCTTTTAAATAAAATCAATAAATACTTTATATATTAATAAAAAAAGAAGAAGTAACAAATCCATGCCTCTAAAGCAAATCCACGTTTTTTAATGTTAATTTGAAATTTGGACCCATATATCCACTAAAATCATGATCCAACTTCTCACGATAATGTTTCGAAATTATTTCTTTGTGTTTCATTTTTGTTTGTTCTTCTTTTTCTGGCATTTTTTTAATCCTTCTCTCCCCATAAAGAAATATTTCACATACTTTTGAATTTAACAAGAACTTTCGCTTTCTACCCTTTTGTTGAACCACAGAATTTCTTGCAGGGAACTTTATTTCTCACTCTCTTTTGTTTTTTCTTTATTATTATTATTATTATGTGCGGTGGCCACTTTTTTAACATTGCAATTTCTGAAAAGTAAAAAATAAATCAGGATATGTCCCCCCTCTTTTCAAAATAATAAATAATTTCCTTTTTTTTTTCTTCTTTCTTCTTAATTCACTCGTTACACTCCTCAGTCTCTCCTCTAGTTTCTTCATTCCATCTATTATACGTCTCATCCCAGTTTTACCCTCAAAACACCCATTAGGTGATGAAATATGAATTGTTGCATTTTGATGTTTATTTATTATGTTACAGTAACCAGTAACCAATATCACAAGGTTCATCATGACAAAGTGAATCCCATTTTAGGTTGTGAATTTTTTGTTCTTTTGTAAAAGAGATTTTTTTTTTATAGTTTAATATTTTATTTATCCTAATCTTTTATCTTCTTTATCCTATAATTATATATTTCTTTTATTTTTTTTAATTTTTCTTTCTCACCTTAAATTACAAATAAAAACACTATTTTATAAAAATGATAATAAAAAAAATATGAAAAACGTATTTGTTTCCACTAATCAGCGTATAAATATATATATATATATATATATATATATATATATATATATATATATATATGCGCATGCTTCATTTATGAGAGAGAGAGATGAGGAGATAAGGAATTTTCTGAAGGGTGCGATTTGATTAGATTTAGGGCTTGTTTTTTTCCTTGTTCTTAAGGCACCTGCTTGTTGTGATTGCCCCAGAGAATGACCGTTTCAAAGGGACCATTATTGAGCTTTTATTATGGATTGAAAAACCAAACAGTACTTCAAATATCTTACTATATATTACTTTATCCTTATCAGTGGGTGATTCATTGTTGTGACCCTAAATAAATTAACCCCATCTGTAACATGAATTAGGAGTATAAAGCTTAAAACCCTCATCATTTAGTCTCATAGCATAGAAATTAATCCACTTCTATTTAAATTTATATAACTTATTACTCATTTGATGTGAGGAAATAATTTGTATGTAAACTGTGTAATTTCTTTTACATAAGCATAAAAAAATTACACTATTAACCAATATAACTTTTAAAAAAATATTATAAAAATCAACCAAGTTACAAGATGCGGCTATCATTAATATTGCAAAAAATGATGAGAACATGTGGCCTTAACTAGAATTATTATGATGAGCAGAAAAACCTTTACCTTATAAGTGTTGCTAACTGAAATTTAGAACCATATTGTCTATTATTGAACAACAATGAAAAAAAGGTAATTTAGATTATTACAGTGCATCAGAATATATCTACCATCAAAGAAAACTGAAAGAAGATAGAAGGGTATAGTTATATAGCCAATAAGGAGGTGACAGCCACATGACATTGTTTATAGTTTACAGAAAATGAACATAGAATAGAGAGTAACAAGTGGGGCATAGTGTCCCCAACATGCAGAAATTAGAGCCATATATTTACGTGCACATTTTGGTAACAGATAGGTGCATTAACTTGTTGACAATTAATAGAGTTGTACCAAAATGGACGGAGATGGGTCCTTATTGGCCAAAATTTGGAGGGGGTCCTGGCAGTGGTACGATGGAGGATCATCAATCCTTTATGCTAATGTAATCAGTCTTTTGATGATTTTAAAACTTGGGAAGGGTCACTGAGTTGTGGTGCCCTCTTCATTTTGCACACTGTGTGTGCATGACAGTATGTCTCAGGTATCTTTTGCTTGCACAACACTGTCTGCATATACTCAAACCCTGTCCCTTTTCCCAGCAATTTGTGGATTTTTTTTTCTCCCTCTGGTCCAGTCTTTTGCATGTTTGCTTTGATGAATTATTTTGAGATATTCCTAGGCTCACATTGTCTACATTACTCTACTTTTACTTATTTATATATCAACTTGTCATCAGAAATTCAAACAGCAACATATCTACTCTCTCTCTCACACGAAGCCTCGCCCCGTACTGTATTTGATAAATTTCATCACAAAACATAATTCGTATTTTATTTTATTATAATTTTTTCTAATCAAAATACACATCCAATTTATTATGTAGAAATATATTTAAAATAATTATATTTTAGTTTAAAATTTCTTATAAAATATTATAATCTTTTTAAATAACTACATTATATTAAATTATAATTTATTTTAATTAATATTTAATTATCATTTCTTTAAATTAGGATGATACAAAAATTTGTTCTTAAAATTTTTTAACAAAAATTATTTAAAAATAAAATAAATATTTATTATAAATTTTATATATTTTTTAAAAATTGACCGTGACCAATTTTCTTTCTATATCTAGTCATTTAGATATCGAACTTATAATAAAATATTAATTTTTATTATTTAAAAAATATAAATAAAATATCATATTTAATAAAAATAAAAAAATTAATAACTTATAAATATAAAAATAAATAATATTAAAATTAGTATTATTATTACTTATATTAAAATATTATGGGAATATTTTTTTATATCCAACAACAATAAATAAATTGATTATGGTTTATAACCTTTTAATAATTTGTGTCCTTTTACGTTTTTTAATTAATTAACAAAAAAGTTCTTAAGCTTTATTTTTATCAACATATATCACAATAATGAACAAAAAAAACGATCATGTTAAAATAAAAATATGACTGATAAATTAATTTTATTTTTCTTATATATATGATTGAAGGTTAACTCTCAAAATTATACTATAAAAAATATTTATTAATAAATAGTCATCTCTTATGTAAATCAATATATATTAAGAAATTAATAATTAACTCTTGACTAAAAAGTACCCGAGTTCACTAAAAAGAACAAAAAAATCAAATGATTAATGTAAATATAATTGAAATGAAAGAGAATATGGTGAAATAAAAATAAAATAAAAGAGAAAGTAATAAAATAAAATAGAAAATGTAATTGAAATGAAAGAGAAAATGGTGAAAAAAACAGAAAGAGAAAGTAATAAAAAAATAAAATAAAAGAGAAAATAAATGTACAAATATTATTTGCTTCTATAGAATGACTGTAGCAGTAAAAACATAATTAGTGGAACAATTTTTGTAATATGTGATTTCCAAATCAATTGGGCTGTAAAAAACCTCCAAATAGCCCATTAATCTATTTGGGCTGTAAACCAACTTAAAATAAAATCAGAAGCAGAAATATTAAACAAAACACCGTCGACAGCAGGATTCGAACCTGCGCAGGCAAAGCCCAACAGATTTCGAGTCTGTCTCCTTAACCACTCGGACATATCGACTTTCTTGTCCAGAATATTTTATAATAAATTTTAATATCTTATAAAGTTGCACAAAGATAACAAAAAGTAAGAAATAAATTCATCATAATAGAAACTTGATGATTACACGTTTCCATTATAACATACGCAATTTGATGTATGAAAAAAATTTAAAGTTTTTCAAAATTCTTACATTATGTTTTTAGTTTTCTCAGTTACAAGTTTTAATCGTTCTTGATATATTCTTAAATTAATTATTGTATAACTTTTACATTAGTCTTTAGTTTGGATGATTTTCTTAACAAATAAAATATAAATAAGGTATAATTTTTTTAAGTTAACTTTATTTATTTATTTAAAATATGTTAAATTAAAAATATTTAAAAATAAAAGGCTCGTATTAAATAGAAACATTTATAATTATGACATACGTGAATAATCATTAAATTTAGATGCTATACAATCAAGCTTGAGAAAAAAAAGTATTTGTAAAAATATAGAAATATTTTTAAAAACATTAAAAAATATATTAAGGAAGATCACCCTCACTGACACTCTCTTTAGTTAGTTTACATAAAACAAAATAATGCATTACTACTCTTACTTGTACTAACAAAAATGTATATAAAACTTATGCCGTAGAAAAAAATGTTTTTTTTGTGTGGTGTTTTACATTTTGTCTTCATATTGAATAAAATCAGGCTCATTAGTGGAAAAAAAGTTTAACAGATGATATTTTAACCAACACAATCAAATTATAAGTAAAAGTAAATGTTATAGTTATAACCTCTTTCTCATTATTATTATTATTATTATTATTATTATTATTATTATTATTATTATTATTATTATTATTATTATTATTATTATTATTATTATTATTATTATAAGATAATACTTGACTAAATTTTATCCTTCTATTTCAATACAAATAATTAAGCATCTTATTACTTGTAGTCGCCATTTTGAGTCAATTGTTTTAAATTTTATTTCAGTATATTTTATATTTTTATTTTAATGTCAAAGTTATATTTAAAATAATAATAGTTTTTCTCTCTTTTGTTAAGATATTCTTAATATATCGAAACTATAATAAGGTGTTAAATACTAAAACAGACTATTGTTCTAAAATATAGAATTATTATACTTACATAACCACGCGAAGTACACCTACACAACATGGGTTTTGTTTGAATAAGTTATAATTTGCACTTCTTAAACATACTGCTCTTTGCATTCTCACATCTAAATTGCATCACCAAGGTTCATCTGGTGCAACCATGATGCAATGGTTGAACTCACTTTTCCCCATCTTCCCATCCCTCCTTCCTTGTCGCAAACTGAATGCTTAGTTGCTTTCACTTCTGTAATGTATGATGCTTGGGTGCAACTTCGGGGTGTATGAGTGCCTTTATAAGCCTTGCAAATATAGCTTAAGAAGTTTTCATAATCCTGCAACACAAAATTTTGCAAGCTCTGTTGAATTTCCTTCACATTTATAATTTCATTCAATAAATTTATGTAAAGCGCAAATTTCATTGTCATAAATTATTTGTTAATTAGCAGTATATGTTGGTGAAGTGTTCAGAAACTTAGAATGATGTGTTTCAGCCGATAAAAAACTGAAAAACTGACCTCATAGAGTGGTTCTCCATCTACAACTACCCATGGAACATACTTGTGAGGAGGCTGCAGAGCATTTGTTTCAGCTGCATATTGTAGCTCGAGCTGCATATAAAGATGGAAATGTTACCCGAGACAAAAATTTCATCCAAACAACGTTGTTACAAAACTCAAAGCTCATCTGTCATGTATTTTTTTTTTTTCAGAGAGATATAGTCTTCATATTCGGCAAGTTTGGCAAAACATTGAGAAAGGAGTTCTAAAAATTATCTTGAGAGTTGAAGAAAGATTAATGTTCAGATGCTACAAATTGTCAGTTCTATTATATCTTCTGGTAGTTGCTGCAGAAAATAACTATTAATCATCTATGACAGTAAGGTATGTATATCACTCGTTTCTTTAACTGGAAGGTATGTGGATCATATTAGACAGCTTCAGAGGTTAGTAAAAATCAAAACCATGATCAATTTTAGAAGTAATTGTTAGAATAGGTTAAAACAACTTGTTAGCTATTTCATTTTGCAGTTTTGAAGAATAAAAACACGTAGTAGTCGAGCACATACCAAATACCAGATCTTACAATCCGAACTACACATAACAAAACCATAGAACTAGTTGACATAGATTATCTCACCTTGAGATGAGATTCAATTATCTATCACTCTCAAGATTAGTTTAAATAAAAAATTGAAAAGTCTCTGCCAACTCTGCATTTCTATAACTGTTCAATTATTTTAATTACCTACTTTCCACAAGTTTGTTTCATTTAGCAAAGTCAGTAAAATTTTCGGGCTCCTTGAAAATAATAATAGAAGAGAAAGGTCGATTAAAAACATTAAGCTCCTATTAGGATGAATCTCCCCATATTAAACTCATACACATTAGTAACACTATCTCAGTGACTACGTCGTAGCCCAAGAACAAGACGTCAATCAGAGAAAAACACCAACCTGTTTTCCCTGCTCACCATTATAACACTGCTTAATAGGTTCGGAATCCAGATGCAATTTCTCAAAGCAAGATTCCCACTCGTCACGCTTTCGCTGATACACCAGATCCTCGACACAGTAGATGAACAGAAAATGCTTGCTCTGTGAAAAAAAAAGAAGAAGCTCAAGTTACATCAATAAAAATACTCACAAAATAGATACAACTGCAAAGCAAATCACTGTTACACTGAAACAACACAACAACAGTACTGCTTTTGTTTTTCAACTAATCCTTGTCAAAGTAATACTAATCCCAATTAAAGAAATAATCTCCTATAATTAAGCCTGATTCAATTTCACAAAACTCACCGGTAAGACTATGCGTGCATCTCATTTATATCCTATATTTTGGTCATTTCAATCATGTCAATCTCCAACACACCTCTTGCATGGTACATATAGAGTATGAAATTTACAACACTAGATATCTACGACCAGTTTGATAGCTATGCATTAAGATAAACTCTAACTCGATCATATAACTGTAAGACTTAATAAAAGAAAAAAGGAAAGGGACAAAATAACTGTTACCAGTTTAGGCCAGGTGTTAATTGCACAGGCTTCAACGGTGTTCAGCAAGCACTCGTACGGTCCATGCTGCAATCAGATAAGTAAATTTACAATTAAGTGAATAAATAAATTAACAATTAAATGAATAAATAAATAAAATTAGGTGAAAAGGGTAGTACCTGGCAATCGAAGGTGGCGTTGGGTCGCAGTTTTGCATTGCCCCAAGGAACGAGTTTGAGGTCAACGACGGGGGCGAGGTCGCCGGTGAAGATTTTAGGAAGGAAATTGACGATGAAGTTGGCGCTGTAGGGGCACAAGCTTTCATAGTACAATTCTAAGGAAACTTTGGGTGTGTGAGATTCAGATTTAGATTCAGACCGAGAGAAGAAGGCGAAGAAAGATAGGTACATGAGGAGATAAAGAGAGAGGGTGGTGGAACGAGAAACCATGGATGAAACTCAAACTGACGCTGAAACTGAAATTGGGTTGAACGGTAAACCAGGGTCGAAAATCGGAGAAAGTGTGTGTGAAATGAAGAAGATATTTATTTTAGAGTTAAGTTACGACAAATTCTTAATTGTTCATAGGGTTCATTTCTCGTTCATTTTCATTTAGTTGCATGTTTTCCACCTGTCAAAATCAATTCAACACCTAAGGTACAACACAATTCAAACTATTGTTCATACGATCACAAAGTTGCCACGAGTTCATATGTTTTCCAATATCTGTAATCTTTTTCCCATTCAACAAAAAAAAAATTCACATCAGGATGATAAACTGTTTTTGTATTCGTACAATTTTATCTTTACTATTTAATATGTAATAAAGTTATATATATATATATATATATGAAATTTATTTGTTTTATGATTTTTATATATTATTTCAAGAATTTTAAAAATAATCTTTTAGTATATTATTATTATTATTTTCATAGTATTTCTATTAAAGATGATAAAGCATGAATGGGAAGATAATTTTTTAATAATTTAATATAAAATAGTTTAATAAAAACAATATTTTCTACAAATGATATTATTTAGTGGTATGTTTTTATTATTGTACAGAAACCTCAAATAAATAAATATTTTAAAATGAAAATTAATAATTTTTACGTAAATTAAACTGATCTATAAATAATTATATCCATCTTTGCAATATAAATTCAAGAATAAACACTTATTTAATAACAATTTCAGTGAATATTAAATTTTATAAATATATATATATATATATATATATATATATATATATATATATATATATATATATATATACCCAGTTCAACCCATAAATAAGGTGCAATTGATATTTTGAAATTTAGGAATGAAAAATTGAATCAATTTGGTCTAATATTATTAATTATTTTAATTTTAATTTATAAAAAACACAAACTAATGTAACTCAAAAAGTTCAAACTAATTTAATTCAAACAGACTCACAAATCAACAACTCAGAAAATTAAGTTCGATCCGACACATTTTCTCACTCCAGTCCAATTTGGCACCTCTAAGTATTATATTGAAACAAATAATTGCTTAACCAATAATTATAAACTCCACATTGTATAAAACCTAGGAGGATCTTTTACTCTGGAGAATATTTATGCATAGTTAGACCTAAGGAAGCTGCAATATTGAATGGTGCCCTATTAGATTTAGAACTATTATTTTGTCAAAGAATCATATAGCACAATCTACTACTAATATTATTATAATTATTTCGTAAAAGAAATCAGCCATCACATATATCTTGTTCCACTTTCCATTGCCGCCATTTGTAGGGGGAATTCATCAAGCTTTGATTCATTTGGAGTTTGGCTTCCATCGTGGGAAGTAGATTCTTGTTCTCCCATCATTTGAAAAAATGCATGAGGAGCCCAACCTACACATTTGGAAGAAAAATCAAAGTCAAGAAACCAAATGATTCTTCATTCTTGCTGTCATACTTCATTCACATGATCAACTCTAAACATTAAAATTCAGCATGTGACTGCCATGAATTCGTGTATTACATGCAAGTAACAGAATGAAAATGCAAGTGGAGGCCTAAATAGAAACTCAAAGATGAAATAATCAACAACAAGAATATGTACCATGTGGTTGAGTAGGCAGGGGAAAGAGTAGCAAATAGCAGATTGTAGACACTGTAAGTCCTGATTCAAAGGGAATTATCAGGCATTATTTACAGAAAATGAAGTTCAAATAAAAAAATAATTAATGTTTTAAATTAGTATGATAACAACTGTAACTAGGAAGCAACCTATGATGCCTCCAGCAAACACATCAGTCCAATGATGCCAGTAATCATCAACTCGAGTAATTCCCACAAGAGCAGCAATGAGCAAAGGAAGCAAGACTAGGCATAGTTTCCCAATATGGCCTCTTCGATCAAACACTCTAATTTTCCCTGATAAATACCATGAAAGGAAACCAAGACCAGCAAAGGACCCTGCATTTATTGATTACCAAATTAAAACACCAAATCGTTCACTGACAAATTTACTCTATCTGACCAATATGTTTGAAATAGATATTCTACTGCTTACATGAAGTATGCCCACTTGGAAAACTTTTGTATCCTTCCTTTATAACTGCCTTAATCCCAGTACAAAGAACATCACCAGTGTCTTTGTCATACACCTGCATGAACCAATTCAAAAAGCATCCCTAAGGAATTAGTATCAGACAGAAAATGTCAGAGACAAGAATATAGGAAGGATTGAAGGAATCACCAAGAGTTTACTTGGTCTGAGAGAAAATTTCTTTGTTTTTATTTCCTGTTTTCACAGACAATTACAAAAGTGCACAATGGCTTTTCTTTGTTTATAGGAAACATTGAAAACAACAAAAATCTTATTCTCACTATTACAACATACATATCTTTTGAAAATTCAAAACAATGTGATAGTACTTCATAAGTATATAAATGACATTGACTCAAAAAGGACCTTTAAGTTTACCAAATACTGACAACAAGAAGGATAACAAACACACAGGTATTTTGTCAGGGAAACACCGTTGAAAGAAGTTTGGTCGTGGTCTACCAACAGCATCTTTAATGCAATCTGTGATAACTCCAGTGATTAAGCTAGAAAACAAGAGACCTAAGATCCAAATCAAAGAAGTCATTCCAGTGAGATACTAGGGAATGAAGGGGCAAAAGGCATAAATGTCAAAGTCATAATACAGAAGTAGACTAAAAGAATACGAGAATACCTAATGTTGCATGGTGTAAATCATACATATCCCTTCTGGCAAAGTAAAACGCAATAAAGATAAAAATGGGGATGAAAATAGAGTAGATCTGTTTCAGGAATGAATCATCAGGTAAGTTTATGCTGTAAGATATAAATAGGATGTACCTTCATACATAGAAATGCTAGGAACACACCCTTTTGAGCATACATTTTTTTTTTTGTAGTTGTCAATAAATTTATTGAACCTCTCTCCTCATTTTAGGAGTTTTCACTTAATTTTAACCAAAAAAGATAGTGTGTACTAAAAAATTTGATAAAGATTGTGTTTCTATGTTCCTAGCACTCCTCTTTAATGGTTTATTGTTAGCAGGTACGTACAGGAACACCCCACATGGGTATGGTATCTTTTTTGAATGGGAACATAAGATTTGTCATCATGTTTTCCCCAACATAGCGATGGAATGGTTCTATCAAATTCAAGAGTCCGTCAATAACAGCAAGAAGCAGAAGAATCAGCCAATCATGTTTATGACTTAGTGCCAACTTGCTTCCTGGAGATTGAAAAGTCATTTTTTTCCAAGTATGGCTACAAAAGAAAAAAGCTCGGTCACTTTTGTATTCATTTATTTTGGCCTAATAGCAGTTGTGGTTTATCAGAAATGTTTAATATGTGATCTTAGTCCTCTACCAGCAATCAGTAATCAGATATTTATCACTAGGCTTAAGAACCATTGAAACTTTGAGAAACTGTCACTACCTGCAATTGATATTTCAGAATAACCATGCCAATGTAGAAAATGTCTTGACACATGGCAGGGTAACAAACTGGAAACTGAAGGATTTACAAGATTATAAAATAAAACAAAACTTAAAATACAGTTCCTTCAATGATTTTAGAGATTTTTGTTTAGAAATGAAATTTCACTTCATGAATTCATTTAACAAAGTTTTGTATTAAAAGTCAGAATAATCTCATCAGATAAAACTCTAATTCTGATCAAATATCAGTACTAAAAGGACAAATATAACTACGTCTATGTTTATTTTCATAAAATACACTTTTAATTGAATGTTTCAATATTTGGAACCAGACATTATATAATTAGAAAATACATTCATCCCTAGCTGTATTATTCATCTTATTTCAATCTTAGTTTGATAACATGTGTTCCTATAAGGATCTTGAACTCTTGCCAAGTATGGGTTATCTAAAGCTTATTCATGGAAATTCATTATCATTCTGGCCGTTAAATATTTTATCAGTTTTTAATTTGATCATCTTGTGCAAAGTTGATGCCTACTGAACCTAAACAGTTCTTCTCATGAAAGCAGTGTGATGATATTTTTCTGCATATTTTATCACACTATAACATATTGGAATAAGAAATCTGCTTATTACATGTTCCAACCTAAACATCTAGGAAAACAGATACCAATTCAATAAAATGACAGAAAGAATTATAAAGAAACAAGGTACTAACCGCTAACATGGAAATATATCATACTAGAGAAGAGAACAAACATAAATAACACAAACACTGGTGACATTAAAGTTCTAAACAGAATAAGAATTCAAATTCATTAAGGGAAGGGGCATGACGAGGATAAACATTCATTCCTCCTTTGACAAAATCAAGTAATATCCAAGGTATAGAAAACAGATATATGTAAAATATACGCCACATGTGTATGATAAAAGAAGGAATGCAACAACAATAAAACTGGAACCAGGAAATTGTTCTGTAGATATTAAAAACTGAGACATACCTTGAAGAGAAAAAACAAAGGAATTTAATTTCAAATAGGAAATGGAAAATGAACCTTCAGCTTTAAACATAAATATTTGGAGAAAGAGATAGAGAAAGACGAGAACGTGCGTTATGCCAACCGCACGTCCCAGTATCCAACGTAAAAGCTATTAGTCGTGAGAAAATTTTCAGACAAATATCAGAGTTTGATGAATGATTTGAGGAAGAATTGCATCTTAAGATCTAAAATTAGTGTCTACATGTTTTCGTTACTTGTTAGTAATCTTTTATATTGCTTCAAGAATTTTCGGACCAAATGATACAAATTAATTTCTTTTGAGTTATAAAGATCAATAACTAACATCAATTTTGTATCTGCTAATTAAATTTTCGCATAAAAACCCAAGATTCAAATCCAAGATAGTAAGCTTAAAGAAACCAACTATTATTAAGAAAAAAAACATGAAATTTGACTTAGCTGGTTATGAATTTTAGTTATTTTTTCTTAAATTTCTGCTAATTATATTGTATACACAAATTCACATTTAAAATATGGAAAAATTTAATTATACTTTGATTAAAGTGGACATAAATAAAATTACATCCTATAATCCAGCGAAATGTTTTGTCAGAATAAAATATCGTAATAGAATCCAGTTGAAATTCTACAATGAACAATACTTTTTATCTTGGTACATTTTTCAACATATCTCTTATAATTAAAACATAAATAATTTAATTATGAGTCAAAGAAATTTTATTCTATTAATCTCACTATGATGAGTCTAATAATGGAATAATCTCATGATCCATTTAATAATAAAATGCTTGAGTAGATGGTATGATATTTAAGTTTGATTTATTATTATTGTTATAATAAAAATTAAAAATAATATTTTAAGGGTTTTTTATGTGGATTATAATGTATTTAATTTACACTGTTAGGAAAGTAATTAATATTTTGGGTATGAGTTTTGAATGGTTAATTTATTTAAAGGATACACACACACACACACACACACATATATATATATATATATATATATATATATATATATATATAATATGATGCGATAAATTTTGACTTTTTGTACATTCCATTAACTCTATTTATTAAAATAGTCTATTAAGTTTTTATTTATATGGAAATCAATTATTGTATCTCAAAAATAATTTATAAAAAACAATTAATTTATTCAATATGGTTATTTACTACTCTAACGCCATTTGAAACGCCAAACAACACAGCCACATTGTTGTCACAATTTGTCGTTGTTGAATCTTAACACTAAGCCTCAAGATATGACCTTAATTCACCAGTTCTTTAAAAAAAGATAAAATAAAATTATTCAATCATTAAATTTTATTTTCACGCAGTCATCTAAAAGCATTGTTTTTCCTCTATTTTTGTTGGAAAATTTTCAAAGTCCTCTTTTTTAATGGTCAACTTAACCTTACTTTTATTTTTTTAATTCTTATAAGAAATCTACATTTTTAACTGATTTTTTTTTTTACGTTTTAGTCAGTGTTATTAGTTTTTTAACATTGTTGAATTGAATTAAAATAGATAGAACAAAATTAAAATATAAAAATATATTTGTGAAAATGATAAAATATAAAAGTTTTAAATATATTAACTAAAACAAAAAATTAACACAAATATATAAATTAAATATTTAATTTAACCTTTATTTATTTTGATCAGTTGTATATTGGGCCTCAATCAGCCTTGCCCATTAGCAGCAATTGTCTCAACCCAGATGTTTTTTTATTATTTCTTTTTACACGTCCCAATACAGATGGTTAAAAATACAAAATCAGACAACATAGTGATATAAACTAATGAAAAACATCGACAGAAGCATGAGCATGTATGTTCCACTGTCCTGTACTTTCATCCCAGAATAACTATGGGCCTCAGACTAGTCCACACCACACATTAAATAAATGCAGCCTTCACCGCTTCACTCAGCACCCACTCTCACCAATCACCATTCACACCCGGATACTAGCCCCCAATTTTTTTTTATTTTTTATTTTAACTAAACCCAAATAAATAAATAAATAATCATCAAAACAAGGGAAAGACTTTCACTAGAAAGGTTGAAGTTTGAAACCCCCAACCAAAGTTGCTACTCACAGTGATCAAGATTGCATTTTTACTCTTTTTTCCAGCTTCATCAAACATCACAACTTAGACCCACCCAAATGCCTCCCATTTCTTGCTTCCTCCTATTGACCTTCCTCATCATCACTTCTTCCATGGCCTCTGTGGTTGGAGCTGTCGGGGTGAACTGGGGCACCATGGCTTCTCATCCCCTTCCACCCCACAAGGTGGTGAAGCTCTTGAAGTCCAACAACATTAATAAAGTTAAGCTCTTTGATGCCAACTCTGATGTTCTTCAGGCTCTTTCTGGCTCCAACATTGCTGTGACTGTGGGCATTCCCAACACTATGCTCAGAAGCTTGAACTCTTCGAAGAAAGCTGCAGACAGTTGGGTCCATGATAACGTTACGCGGTACATGCCTAATGGGGGCAGTGTGACTCGAATTGAGTGAGTTAGATTATTTCTTGGTTCTTTTTGTTGCCCCTTTTCTTGTGATTTGTCGTGTTATGCTTCTTACTGTTTATTTTCCATTTTTGTAAAGTAATTTAATTTATACTTTGATTTTTTTTTTTTTTTTTACTTTTTAATTGATTGATGATCAAAAGGGGGGGTTTTCAATTCCGTGTTTGTTATTCTGCCCTTTGATGAGATATCCTAAGAGTGAAACAAGCATTAGTTAGTGTATGCATAAGATATATAGGTTCTTATATTATAGAACAATTTCATAGGTGACAAGGTGCAGTTTTTTTCTATGACCATATGAGGATTGTCATAGGCTCATTGCTTAAAGGAAATGAAAATAAGTAACTACAGATTGCCAGAATGTGTACTTGGACCATTGCGACTATATATACATGGAAGAAATCAGAATATACCAATTTTAGTGAATTTGCTTCTTGTGTAAATGCCACTTTTCTTGGTTCACTACACATTTGCCCTTCATTTCCAGATATTATCCACTTCAAGTATAGCTGGGTTTACCTTGAACCAAACTGCCAATAGTGTTTTGCTAGTCCATATAATCAAATAATAACAGGTGAATAACTTATGATATGTTGCACTGCTTTGTTTGTGTGCAGAAGACATTACTATAGTCCTAACACCCACTCCACATATGCCTGCCAAACCAATTGCCTCTGTCTAATGGATATATAAATCGTACTCTAATAATTGAGGCAGTTGATGTCTTCTTAACATCCTCCTCCGTAGATGCTTGGTAAACCAGGTGAGCCTACTAGAATAGGCAGGCGATATGGGACTAGATAAGAAGAGAAGTATATTTTGAATAAAATACCTTCTTACTCTTCCAACGATTCTTTACCTTTACAAAATAATAAATATATTTTTTTAAAATTAAATTGTATGATACTTGTAGCATGTTATGTATGGATATGATACCAGCCACGATAAACTTATTCTAGAAACAAAATGATACGCAAGATACATATTTAAAAATGTATAAGAATTCATAAAAAATAATAAATATATAATTGCAATTATGCAAACCCATATTAAAATCACATTTCTTAAATGTTGTGAAATAAAATATTATAAATCATTGCCACCATAAATTATATTATTTACAAGTAGGAATAGAACTATCTATCTCATTACATTTATAAAATAATTCATAGAGAACAATTTCCTTTTTTGGGTTAATGAAGAAACAATATTCATGTTTCTATATTATACATACTTATACGTTTCTTGAAGATTAATGGGATATAAATAATTTAAAAGCTTGAACACTTCAATAGATATCGGTGATGTATCCAAAAGTATCTATATCATATATGTGAAACAAATAATAATATTGGTGTTTTATAAGTTTGGATATTTCATCAATAAGTATAGGCGAAGTATTCTAGAATATCAAACATAGACATTAAGCAAATTGTAGTTCGGTGTTTCATAGGTTTTAGCATAACTCTTGACATAACAGATGTACAAACATAATCCATTACGTTTAACATAACATAATCAGTTATGTTTGATATCATACAGATTATTCTTGTAAGCGTAGTCAAATTATGCCAACAAACATAATCAGTTTGCACACAAGAAAATCACTGGATCAAATGTTGGAGTAGTCATTTTACCAGTTGCACGAGTAGCATACGAGGTTAGATGGGATAATAATGCAAAATCATAATTTTGTCTAATTTCCTTGTATTTGAGAGAGGAATTTATTATCTGTGGGGCCCACCTTTTTATTTAATTTTCCTGTGTCGTTTCTTTTCTACCAAACCACACTCTTTTTTTCATTCTGCTTCATTTAACAAACACAGTCCAAGGTTTGGTTTATGAGAAACATTTATATTTTCTCAGTATTGCTAGGAGAATGAAAATCTAGTTTGCAAACATGCCCAGTGCTGTATCCCTGTGAATGCTGTAGGTACCTAGTTCCTTGTATGTCTTAATAATTTAATAATACATGAGTTCGAATTAACAAATACTTATTTAAGAATAACTAAAATGAAGAAAGTTCTGTTATGCATGTTAAATTAACTCATGCATCTCAACCTTTTCATAAGTTCCGTCACAGAAGTTGACCTGACTCCAGTTGTTCACCATGATTTTGTGAAACACTTGATGTAATGTTGTGCTTTCCTATTGTCCTTCAAGCTTTTGTGAAACACTTTGACGGGCAGTGCTTTGTTTTGGAGGGTGCAATTCAAGATGACATTCTATTATCCATGCTTCTTCCCCTGTAGTTGTTGAACAAGCATATTCTCCCTCTCATTGAGCACAATAATATTAGTGGAATGTTTTAAAAGGTAAAAATGGAATCACATTCTTGATAAAACATATGCATTGGTTAAAAACCAAGCCCCATTCTTATTCTAAGGAACAATGTAGATTAAGAAATTCACTTTTGGGAAGATGAAATGACAATCTTGTCTCATCTTATCTTGGTTAGGATTTAATCAGCTAACAGAAATGAGAACTAGCTATTAAAGAAATTCATCTGAGTTATGCTCTGGCAGTCAAGTAAGTAGGGCCACTGAGCTGCAATTTTGGATCTTTTTTTTTTTTTTTTTAATTGAACTCAAGGTTGAAATAAAATGAGTTATGCATATGGTTCCCTCTTCACATGGTTCTAAATATGACTTTTGCAGATATGTTGCAGTTGGTGATGAGCCTTTTCATAAAAGCTATGGCGAACAATTTCATCCCTTTTTAATTGGAGCTGCTATGAACATTCAAGCAGCTTTAAATAAAGCAAAATTGGACAGCAAAGTGAAAGTTGTGGTTCCATGCAGCTTTGACAGTTTTGAGTCAGGATTTAACATGTCCTCGGAAGTGCATTTCAGGCCTGATATCAACAAAACCATGACTGAGGTTCTCGGGTTTCTTGGTAAGCATGGATCACCTTTCTTTGTGAGCATTTCTCCGTTCATAACCCACCTTGAAACAAAAAATATTTCACTTGATTTTTCCCTCTTCAAAGAAACTTCCCGCCCTCATAATTTTATCCATAAAACTTACAAAAACAGCTTTGACTTGAGCTATGATACAGTGGTTACTGTATTATCATCAGTAGGATATCCTAATATGGACATTGTTGTGGCAAAGATTGGTTGGCCAACAGATGGAGCTGCCAATGCAAGTTCATACCTTGCTGAAACCTTCATTGGAGGCCTCATAAACCACATTCATGGTAACTTGGGGACCCCACTTAGGCCTCATAGGCCACCACTTGAAACGTATATTTTGAGCCTTCTTGATGAAGATCAAAGGAGCATTGCTTCTGGAAACTTTGAAAGGCATTGGGGTTTGTTCACTTTTGACGGCCAAGCAAAGTACCATGTGGATTTTGGCCAAGGTTCAAGCAGCCTAATGAATGCTCAAAATGTTGAGTATCTCTCTTCCAAGTGGTGTGTTGTGAACAACAATAAAGACTTGTCAAATGCAACTGCCAGTGCTTTAGAGGCTTGTTCAAATGCTGATTGTACTGCACTATCTCCTGGTGGATCCTGCTTTAATATCAGTTGGCCTAGTAACATATCATATGCTTTCAATAGTTACTATCAGCAGCATGATCAGAGAGCTGAAAGCTGTGACTTTGGAGGCCTAGGTTTGATCACAACTGTTGATCCATCCATGGATCATTGCAGGTTTCCTATTGAGATTCGTGTTTCTCATGCAGAATTTCACAGGCTGTGTAATTTCCAGTGGTTGATTTTACTTGTTACAGCCCTCTTGGCAGCATCTTTGGCTGTTTGACATAGGTAAAGATGGGGATTATTTTTGCATCCCCTGTCCTGCGGTAATTTTGTTTTAGATGTATATTGCTGAATTAAAATGGTTAGATGGTTAGCACAATTTCTTTAATATACACATGCAGGTTAAATATGAAGGATGCCATCATGCCACTTTTCTGTTTTACCTCATTGCATACATTTCTGATCAATCAATTGCATGTAGCTGATATGAGATTACTATTTCCGAAAAGTGAGTGAAAGAATTATCACTAGTCTTTATGATTTACAATACATATACAATTATGTTCATACAATACGGTAGAACTTAGAAGCAGCATGAACGAGGTGTCCATGATCAATATGCATAAAGTGATATCGAATGCATTCAATGCACACAATAGTTAGGGATGCATTACATATATGTTTTTTACTAACAAGTTCATTCAAAAAAATGTTTTATTCAGCTTCTGATCTCATACTATGTGCATGTTTGGTTTAAAGTTTGTTAATTTATTAAGTTTTCGTTAAAATTAAGTTTATAAACTGAGTTTACGATTACAATTCAAGTCTTGTTTTATCAAAATTGAGTTTCCAAACAAAATTTTAATTTGCAAACGTATTTTAAAGATTATCTTAACATGTTACGAATTGAGTTTACATTCTAAACATGTTATGAAATTGAAAACTTTAGAGTTTTTTATAATAATTATTTTACAGGTTGTTTTCGATATAATTCAATTTTGTTTTTAAATAAATATTTTATATGGGTAGTATATCAAAAGTAAATTCTTCATAAATTTACAATAATATATATGTTAATTTCATTCTGCAATTTTTATACGTAAATAATAGTTATAAGAAAAATAAAATGATAATAATAATTTGAGGACAGCGTTTCATCTTGTTTTACAAGACAGAACTAATAAGAAGCATCACTTAACGAAGGGATGAGTTCAGGTTGACTTTTAATTAAATTGATTTTGGATCACAATATTTTTTAAACGATGTTATTATGGTTTTTTTTTTTACTATTATTATTATTAAGGAAATTGGTTGTAGGATTCTGTGTAACATTCCTATTTAACAAAAAAGTTACTTAAGATTATTTCATCAAAATTCGTTATAGGCCTATAATAATTTTTTAAAATGTAAAAAAAAAAAAAACTAAATAACTTACACGATATTTTAACGTGATTTATTAGTCTATTAGTTACACGTGTACATTTTCCATTTGTTAGTATTGTTTTATGCAGGTTTGACTAACTGCATATTTGACTTTTTTCCTTTTTATATTTAACCTTCTTTTCTTCCTCAAACATATTGGATTTTCCTTTTGTATTCGATCAGTATATGAATTAGATCAGTTTTTTCTTCTCTGCTATTTTCTCCCAAATTCTCAATGGGATCCATATTTTTACGTTATGGTATAACACCCGCTCTGCCTCCGCTGCATCTTTTCTGTTTCTCTTTTCTATCTTTCTCTGTTTCTTGATGGCTTCTGTCAATTCTTCAACTGCTAATAGCAATACAGAAACGCAAACTGTGATTGACGAATCTTTGAATCCTTCAAGCCCGTATTATTTGCACCCAGGTGAGAATCCTGGAATGATTCTTGTTTCAAAGCAATTGAATGGTACGAATTACCATTCTTGGAGTAGGAGTATGCGCAGAGCTCTTCTTTCAAAAAACAAATTAAAATTCATCACTGGAGCCATCAAGATTCCCCAAGAAGACGATCCTCTTCATGACTCATGGGAGAGATGCAATGTCATGGTACTCTCTTGGATAACTCGAACTTTAAGTGATCAAATTGCTCAAAGTACTGTATATATTGATAATGCAAGAGATCTTTGGGAAGATCTCAAGGAACGATTCTCAAAAGGAGACCATTTTAGGACTTCTGATCTGCTACAGGAATTGCACTCCATTAAGCAAGGAGAAAGAAGCGTTTCTGAATTCCATACAGATTTCAAAACTCTTTGGGAAGAGTTGGAATCCTTGCGTCCCATTCCTAGTTGTACCTGCAATCCGCAATGTTCTTGTGAAGCCTTCAAAATCATTACTCGTTATCGTGAATCCGAACATGTAATATGTTTTCTGAAGGGATTAAATGACGTCTTCACCACTGCAAAATCTCAAATTCTTTTAATGGAGCCTCTCCCGAGAATCAATCGTGTTTTTCGTTAATTCTCGCAACAAGAACGACAATTGGCAGGAGTGAGTCACGTTGATGCCAAAACTCTTTTGACAACTGCTAATCAAGGACCTATTGTGAATTTTAACAATCAAGGAAATTGGAAAACTCAAGGACGTGGATCTTGGAAGAACCAAGGACGTGGACGTGGGAGGAATTCCAACTATGGTAAACAAGTGTACTTTTTGCAATAAATTGCACCATACCTGTTGATGAATGTTATGCCAAACACGGATTCCCTCCATGGTTTAAAAATAACGAAATGATTCTGTTGTCAACACCGTTATGACTGACAACGTTTTGAAAGAAGAAGAATCAAAAAATCAAGTGCACATTGTTCGAATAGTCAGCTGACAGGTGAACAAGTTCAACAACTATTAAAACTTCTGCAAGAAAAGAATCAAGACACTACTCATAGGGTCAATCAGTTTAAAAATAATAATGGTGATCAACAAGACTCCAAAGGTATTCTCTGTTCATCTTGGATTATAGACACTAGGCTACTGATCATGTAGCTTACAATAAAAATCATTTTTTAACTTTTACTAAAATCAGACACTATGCATGTGAAATTACCTAATGGTAATCATGTCACTGCTGAATATGTCTGGTACTGGTTTGTATTTCAAATAGCCTTACACTCTATAATGTTCTTCATATTCCCAATTTTGAATTTAATATAATTTCTGCTCAAAAACTGATTATTGATTCCAATTGTAAATTGATTTTTTCTTCTAACCATTGCAGATTCAGGATGTTCTTACATTGAAGATGATTGGGCATGCTGATCTGAAAGATGGCTTGTATTGTTTACGTAAACAAGATACTGTTTTTTCTTGGTCTCATATTAATAACATCAGTAATAATAGTTCAATTGTGCCTACTCGATGACAACACCAAGTATTAATACTCGCAGCTGAAATTATTCCACTTCCAATCTTTGGCACAACAGATTGGGACATCCTTCTAGCAAGATAATTGAAAATATGATTAAAGATTTTCCTTACATTCATAATAGCACTGAAAAAATTTGTGATGTATGTCATTCGGCCAAGCAACATAAACTTCCCTTTAATAACAGGTATTCATGTTTCCAGTACAATTTTTGAAATGATTCATATAGATATATGGGGTCCCATTGGTATTTCTTCTATACATGGTCATAGATATTTTCTTACTATTGTTGATGATTTCTCTAGACACACATGGCTTTTTCTTATGAAGAATAAACATGAGACTAGGAGTCTATTGAACAATTTTATTATCCTTGTTAAAAACCAATTTGGTCGTAATATTAAAATTTTCAGAACCGACAATGGGAAAGAGTTTTCTTATCCCGAATTCTATGATAAAAATGGTATTATTCATCAAACTTCTTGTGTAGAGACACCTCAACAAAATGGAAGGGTAGAGAGGAAACATCAACACATAATGAATGTCACACGTAGCTTGTTATTTCAAGCCAATCTTCCAAAATGTTTTTGGTCCTATGTTGTTGTTCATGCTATCTACCTAATCAACAAGTCGCCAAGTAAAACCATAAGGAACCAATCTCCATTCCAAATTCTCGCATAATCAACTTCCTATTCTTAATGATTTAAAAGTGTTTGGTTGTCTTTGTTTCACATCTACAATTCATAACAACCGTACGAAGCTAGATCCTAGAGCCAGAAAAAGTGTTTTCCTTGGATATAAACCTGGCACCAAAGGTTATGTGACTCTTGATTTACATTCTAGAGAAATTTCTATATCCGTAAATGTGATATTCTATGAAAATGAATTTCCCTATGTTAAAACTAATATTGTTGATGACACTGATCTTTTCACATTGATTGATTTTCAATTCTTTTTTGATTCTAACAATCTCATGCATAAGAAAGTCGGTCTAATCATGTGCATCTCGTTTTCAAATCCTCAAGATATTTCCTTCCAAGTGACGAAGAAGATATTTCCAATCGAACACCTAACCAGCCTGCTCCTCGAAGATCTACTAGAATGAGAAAGGCATCATATTATCTGCAGGATTTCCATTGCAATTCCTTAAGTACTGACAACTCCAACAATTCAGATTCTTATTGCAATCCTCCAAGAGATGACAACACCAACAAATCTAAAAATAGTATCATTTCTTATCCTCTATCTTCTGTTCTCTCTTATAAAAAAATATCTTCAAAACATTTGAAATACATTCTTGCTATTTCTAACAATTTTGAACCTACTACTTATAAACAAGCAACTTGTTACCTTGAATGGATTGATGTTATGCGTAAAGAAATAAAAGCCTTAGAAGAAAATAAGACTTGGTATTTCACTAATCTTCCCCCGGAAAGAGAACTATAGGTTGTAAATGGGTTTATAAAACCAAATATAAAGCCGATGGTTCTATTGAAAGACATAAGGCTAGACTAGTGGCTAAGGGTTTCACTCAATTAGAAGGAGTAGATTTCTTAGACACTTTTTCTCCTGTTGTTAAAATTACCATCTGTTAGACTCATGCTTGCTATTGCAGCTGTTAAGAATTGGCATCTTGTTCAACTAGATGTCAATAATGCCTTCCTTCATGGAGACCTCAATGAGGAAGTGTACATGGATCCCCCCCTGGCGTGATACCTCCTCAAGCAAATCAGGTCTGCCGCTTAACCAAATCCCTCTATGGATTAAAACAGGCTAGTAGGCAGTGGTTTGCCAAATTATCTACTTCTCTTCTTTCAATTGGTTTTATACAATCTCAATCTGATCATTCTCTTTTTACAAAGAAAAATGTTTCTTCCTTCATCGCTTTACTCATTTATGTAGATTATATAATTCTTGGAGGTGATTCAATTGATGAAATCAACACCGTCAAGCAATTTCTTAATCAACAATTTCAGATTAAAGATTTGGGACAACTCGAAATATTTCCTTGGCCTAGAAGTTGCTCGTACTACACAAGGCATTCACATTTGTCAACGCAAATACACTCTTGATATCCTTGCTGACAGTGGTCATCTAGCTGCTCGACCATGTTCTACTCCTATTATCAAGGACACCAAATTGTTTTTCGATGATAATGCTGATCTTTGTGATGCAGATGCTTATCGCCGCCTTATTGGACGACTTTTGTATCTTACAAATACGCGACCAGATATAAGTTTCGCTGTTAATTTTCTAAGTCAGTTTAATCAAAAGCCCACTGTCTTCCATCAAGCTGCTGCCAATCGTATACTTCGTTATTTAAAAGCTAATCCTGGTCAAGGTTTGTTTTTCTCTTCCAATTCCAACATTCAATTGAAAGGATTTAGTGATTCAGATTGGGCTTCATGTTTGACAACTCGTCGCTCTACCACTGGATTCTGTATCTTTTTGGGTAATTCGTTGATTTCTTGGCGATCAAAAAAACAACACACTGTTTCTCGTTCCTCAACAGAAGCAGAATACAGGGCTCTTGCTATCACCAGCTGCGAGCTTCAATGGCTCAATTACTTGCTTCATGATTTCAACATCTTCAAGCCCAATCAAGCTGTCATCTATTGTGATAACCAAGCTGCTCGTCACATTGCTACTCATTCTAGCTTTCATGAACGCACCAAACACATTGACATTGATTGTCATGTGGTCAGAGATCGTGTGCAGGCCAACCTCTTCCATCTTCTTCCCATTTCCTCTACAAATCAACTTGCAGATGTTTTCACCAAAGCTCTCGATCCTTCACCTTTTCTTAACAATATTTCCAAGCTGGGTGTTCTTAATATTCACTCTCCAGCTTGAGGGGAGGCTATTAGTCTATTAGTTACACGTGTACCTTTTCCATTTGTTAGTATTGTTTTATGCAGGTTTGACTAACTGCATATTTGACTTTTTTCCTTTTTATATTTAACCTTCTTTTCTTCCTCAAACATATTGGATTTTCCTTTTGTATTCGATCAGTATATGAATTAGATCAGTTTTTTCTTCTCTGCTATTTTCTCCCAAATTCTCAATGGGATCCATATTTTTACGTTATGATTGATAAGAATCTAACACAAGCAAACACACATGGATCCATTCCTTGATAGGTTTTAATTCTGTTAATAATGAATATAAATAGTATCTTAAATTTCATATATATATATATATATATATATATATATATATATAATTTCCTAACATATTCTATGGATTTCTAATTAAATTACTAATTTTTTTACTATACAATGCGTCTATTTAAGGATAATATTTTTCTTCAAATAAAAAGGTTAATGTTAGAAAAATATTTAATATACTGTTTTTGTGTTTTGCAAAAGATAATTATTATTTTTTACAGAAAAAACATAACTATTTTAAAATACTTTATTTCTTCTCTAAGTGGCCTTGCAAAGAAATTGATAAAATAACGTGGGCCTGTACTTTCTGAAGGAGGAGTAAGGCCTTCGGTGCTTGGCCCATTTGATATCACAGTGCTTTCTTTACATCACTTCACAAGCTCGTGTGCCAAAAAATCTTACTGATTTTTCTCCTTTCGCAGTCCCAAGGAACCCTAGATCCGATCATGTCTGGAGCGTACGGTCAAGACGGCGGCGGTTCTGCGCCACCGTCCTATGGAGCCAGCGGCGGATACGGTGCCGGTGGTGGTAGTTATGGAGGCGGAGCCTATGGAGGAGGCGGTGCCGCTGGTGGATATGGTGGTACTGATGGCGGTGGAGGGTACGGAGCGAAAAACAGCGGAAACGGCGGCGGATATGGGGGTAACGATGGTGGAGGTTATGGAGGAAGGAGCGGCTATGGTGGAAACGATGGCGGAGGCTATGGAGGAAGAGGCGGTGGTCAAGGTGGACGGGGAGGTGGAGGTTTCGGTGGTGGATATGGCGGTCGAGGTCTACTTTTGTTGCTTTTTTTATCGTTTTAACTCTGGTTTATTTTCATCATGTCATGTTCATATTTGATGTGAATTCCTGCAGGTGGAGGTGGCGGTGGCGGTGGCGGATATCAAGGTGGGGATCGAGGTGGTCGAGGTGGTGGTCGCGGGGGTGGCGGCCGTGGAGGGGGCGGTAGCGGTAGAGATGGAGACTGGCGTTGCCCTAACCAAAGGTATTTAGTTTTTTTGTTTTAAAAATTTGCTCGAGACCATTTATCATTTTAATTAGATAAAGCCTTGAGATTTTACTGCTGTTTATCCCTTTATTTCTTTATTTGATTTGAAATTGCTACTATGTACAGTTGTGGGAATTTGAACTTTGCCAGAAGGGTTGAATGTAACAAATGCGGTGCTCCTTGTCCTAATCCGAATAATTCTAATGAACGTGGTGGAGGTGGTGGTGGTGGTTACAGTAGAGGAGGTGGTGGGGGGTATGGTAACAACCGTGGGGGAAGATCTGGGAACTACGATGGAGGAAGAGGTAATGACTATAACAGTGGAGGGGGTCGATCTGGTAACTACGATGGTGGGAGAGGTAACGACTATAATAGTGGAAGAGGTGGTAGTAATGATGGTAGAGGTGGTTCATATAGAGGTAATCAAGGTAGAGAAGATGGTAGCTATGGTCAAGCTCCAGCTCCTAATGCCCAATCTTACGGTGGAGCTGGTGGAAGCCTCCCACCCACGTACAATTCTTATGGTGGGAATTCAAATTATGGAACTGATGCAGTTCCTCCACCTGCAAGTTATACTGGCGGACCTAATTCCCATCCTCCATCCTATGGAGGCAATGCGGGTGGTTACGGGGGAGACAATCAAGGGGATGGACGTAGTGGTGGTAGATCTGGGCCTCCGTCTGGGTATGACAATAGTTTTGGTGCTGGTAATCGAGGTGGATTTGGTGGGTCTCCTGCTGAGCCCCCGGCTGCAGTGAAGCAGTGTGATGAGAATTGTGATGACACGTGTGACAATTCTAGAATCTACATCTCAAACCTTCCTCCAGATGTGACCATTGAAGAATTGAGGGAACTTTTTGGAGGCATTGGACAAGTAATACTCGTGTCTTTTTTACATTAGAGTTTTGCACTATCTTTGGAGGGTATTGTGAATTTTGTTTGATGAATCTTTTACATAAATGAATGGAATGCCACTTTCAGCGTAAACTCACATGTCTATTATATCATCTATTCTATTCTATACAGGAAATATGTACTTGTGGTGGGGAAATATGATTATTTTGCCCTTCTCTTCCTTGTAAGAGGCTTGGTGTGTCAGTAATTTTGTTCATGTTTTAACGCTTTAGGTTGGAAGGATAAAACAGAAGAGGGGCTACAAAGATCAGTGGCCTTGGAACATTAAGATTTACACTGATGAGAATGGAAATAACAAGGGAGATGCTTGCCTAGCTTATGAAGACCCTTCTGCAGCACATTCTGCTGGCGGTTTTTACAATAGTACTTCATCGAACATTTTCCTCACTTTAAATGACTATCTAGCTTATATATATGTATATATATTTGTTTCTTATATAAAGGGACATTAATAATGAATAATGCATTTCAGATTATGATTTGAGGGGATACAAAATCAGTGTTGCGATGGCAGAAAAATCTGCGCCAAGAGCTCCACCTGCGTATAACCAAGGGTATCCATTTCAGACTGGATTATTTCTCGCTTATACAAGAATATTTCTCAATTATTTGCAATGTATATGGTTTGGTTTATCAATTGTATTGGGAATTGTTCTGTACGTTTAGCAATTATTTGCTATGTATATTTATTTTACAAATTGCTCATTTTGTTTGGATGTTTCGCTCACAAAAATTGATTTCTCTTCTGACACTAAATATTGACTAATTAATTGTTGTTCTATAGGGGCAATAGGGGTGGCTATGGTGGAGATAGACGCAGAGACAACTATAGAGATGGAGGTGGCTCTGGGCCTGATAGGCGAGATCATTATGGAAATCGTTCACGTCCGTACTAGGAGCTTGGACTTTGAACGTTTTATGTACTACTATGAATTGTGGGCTGAGGGTTTAATTATTTCAGTTGGCTGGTTTCTTGAACTGGAAGCAAAGAGGTAGGTTGTTCACTTACTTTGAGCAATACCTCTTCCGCTCCTTTTTGTTTCAATTGTCTAGCTGGTGGGTTTTGAATTTAGCCAGGGATTAATTTAATCATGTGAATGTTTTTATAGAGGCAAGTGGATAGTCTCCCAATTGCTTGCTGCTAAGGTAGGTGTTGAATATTTCAGGTGAGTGCCGCTTTCACAAAAATGTGCCTAATACTTGCTTGGAAATTCCTTGTGTCATTATGTGGATAAACGCTTGCAGTCCTAGCTCATCCCATGTGGCATCTGGTGCAAGCAGGTGTTGGCATTAATTAATAGAATGTTTTATGTTACTCATGGTTCCATAAATCAATAAATCTTAGTTACAATTTTTGTAAGGAAAGAAGTAAATCAGGCTGCTATCTGCTTTAAATTAAAGTTTTTTGTAATCAATCAATCATGAGTGATACTAACGTGCTCTGTTTGATAGTGAGGCTTTATGTAGTATTGTAATTTTCTTTGTTTACATGCAACTCCTGAGATGTTTTGATTTAACTGTTTCAATTGACATCCAAACAACTCGTAAAGATAAGCCTTTGAGCTAATTTTTTAACACTGATAATTTACTCTGAATTGTTGTCATTTGAAGTGTTAACCACTACTTTAGTCAGAAATTAGGGGTATAGCAGCAAGAATGCTATATGATAGCTCCCTAATTGAAGTTTCAGATTTTGATGGCATTTTTCTGTTTTATGGCGTAAAGTAGCAACGCTGCTACTTTTTCATGGATAGGGCTGAATTAGTGAAAACATTGCAATATTATTGTTTATATATATATATATATATATATATATATATATATATATTTGAAGATTAACGAGATAAAGTAGTTCCAGATATTCTTTATGACAAGTAGATCTTAAGTATTAAAAGCTTATATATGTGAAAATGGACTGTTGCATATATTTGTTTTGATGTAATGCAGAAGTTTAGGCTTAAAATCTGTTTAGCTTTCGTATGATCTGCATTCTTCTTTATTTTATATTTATTGGCACTTTGCCCTGGATTTGATCCGTTTGTAAAGGAAATATACCGTTGTAATAGGGAAGTCAAGTATCTTTTTGACTTTATAATCAGCAATGTTTTGCTTTTACCAAGCTATTGGAGTTCGCACTTCACAGTAGTTCCCTCCTGTTTATTCTCCGCTTTACATGATAAAAGTAGTTGAGTTGCACTGCTAGTTTGTTTTGAGGTTCATGCATCCTTGCATATTCGGTACTTGCAAGCAGAACTTTCTTCGTTGGGCTGTTCGGGGTGACATTTATCTCCTTGTCCAGAGGGTATATGATTCATATGTACTTCCACCAGTGTAGATTGTGTTTCTAGATGGTTTAACGGGATGAAAGTTAATTTCGCCATTTATTAAAATCCCACTGTCTTTCTCACATTTTCTTCGAAGTTCAGCTTCTCTACTTTTTGATCTTTCATAGGCGTTGTAATATTTAATTGATCATTTCATCGACATAGAGATTGTGCAAAATGGTAATTTATTCTATCTAATTTCCTGTATAAAATGAGTTGGAACGTACGAATTTGTTTCCGCTAAATTTGTCATTAACTATACTTTCGGAATTAAATCAAATCTCAAAAGATGCTTGAGAGAATGAAATATCTAAACAATTTTATGCGTCAATATCACTCCTGCTTCGTTACAAAATGTAGAAGTTGTCTTTAGAGACTCGATCATAGCGTTTATGCCCTAATCTCGGTGTTGGTGCAAAATCTTTAAGTTTTAAAATGTAAGTTTTTCCAAACTAAATATTGATGCTTTTTGTTAGTTATTTATTAATCTTTAATAATAATTTTAATTATTTATTATTATAATATCTTTTTTAAATAATACATCTTCAATAAAGTCTGTATTATAATCGATTGTGTATGTTATTACATATAAATGTCAAGTTGATGGACAGTAAGAGCAGTATTTGTTAAAATAAAAAAACTTTTGAGCAAGTAAAATAACTTTTTATAATAAAAGCAGGATTTGTTAAAAAAGAAACCTTTTGCAGCAAGTAAAATAGCTTTTAAAACCCTGTATTTGTTATCACGAGTCTCTTATGTGTACTACTTTTTTCATTTACTTATAATGCATTGAAATTCGAAAAATAATTTATTTGATTTTATCATCAATTGTCTAAAATATTTTTGAACTCTTCAGGGTTGAAAAATAATCCTGCGACACTCACAAAGACATTAAATTCTTGTTTTTCTTTAAGGACTTGTTATTTTGTAAAATGAGAAGGGACTTTTATATAAAATACTAAAGAAAAGAAATGGAAAGACTCTCGCTTGTGTCTTAATAATGATGTTACATAGTTTATCTAAGTTTTTGTCTAACTAACAAGGAATTATTTAGAGTTAAGGCACAAGAAGGGCTACATGATTTTAATATTATTCAAACCCACGGGACTGGGTGCTAATAGGCGATGTTATTAGTAATATGGTTTCAATATTACTAATTGGTGTACACAATTAAAATAGAGTTGGATATTATGGCATTGAGCTGGACAGCTCTGAGTACGTATATGAATCCCATTCCTTGATAAACTAAAAAATTATGTAGTTAGGTTTTAATGGGAGTCAAATATTTAGTTAAATTTATTATTATTATTAAATTCAATTCTTATAATGAAAACAAAAAGATACGAAACTTTTAATAACTATGGTCAGAAATATTTTTTTTAAAACTTGTATCATACGAACATTTCACATTCTTAAAATAATTTTTTTAACCTTTAAACAAATACACTCTATGAGCTATGAAAATAATTAATCTTCTAACCATTCTGTTAGTTTTCTTCACCTCCTAGGCTATATTTAATGATTCTTCCCCTCCATTGCATATAATTTTTTAACTCAAAATCTAAATTAGTAAAACATTAATTTAAAAAATAATTTATTGTTTTTGGAATAAAGGCACTAACTCATCAGCATTGTTGCGTCCTAGGTGTAGTCAATACATCCTCATCTACACCAAATAACTTCAAAGGAGCTAAACACATAAAATGAAATGTTACAACATTCTCTACAAGAAGCTGGCCGAGAATCACAAAATTGCATGAATTTTACTAATTATTAAATAAAGTCTACTCTTAACCTTTTGTAAAAAAATTTAATTAAAAAAAAGAAGAACGTTAACTACATTTTTTCTTCATATTTAAACTTAGAGCGTTTTAAAATTTCAAAGTTGGATCTAGTTCTGAAAGACGTTACCTTAGCCGCCGAATCTCTCGACCTCCCGCGCAATGTCACACTCCGCAGATGAACAGTTCTCCTTTCTTCGCTCTCTAATCCAGGGCAGAAGGTTCTCTCGCGATCGCTCGCTCTCTTTCTCTGTATCTATCTATTTATCCAACATTTCAATTTCATTTGTCGCAGTTTCTGCGACACAACCATCCGATTTTTGGAATCTCTTTTGGTATCGAAGGACGTGAAATCGCTCATCGAAGTTCGCTCCAGATTGACGCACCTCCTCAGAACTGAATCTCTCTCCATTATTCGCTCCATTGCCGCCAAATCCGTCCGCGAGAAGCTTCTCGTTCTCGAATTTTTCGTCCGCGCTTTCGCTCTCGTCGGAGATCAACAGGTATTCTTATCGCTTCTCAGTTTCACAATGTTCTATTCGGAAATAAAAACGCCGTCTCGTTCCATTCTCGTGTATTTTGTCTACTAAATATCAAAACGTCAGAGAACAACAACGTAAACTCTGCAACGATGTGCCGATTGAATTAGTTGCTGTAACAAAACACCATCGTGCTAAGTTTTTTTTCTCTCTTTTGCATTTTTGATTTCATTTTTTCAAGAGTTGTTTGGCGTTGAGATACGAGGCTTTAGTAATGCGAGAACTCAAGTCCTCCAGTTGTCAATGGCTACGAGTTTTGCCTGTGGAATGGTTAAGATTTGTGGAGGATGCGATGCGCAACGGTTTTCACGCCGTTGCAGCGAAGGTACGAGTGGTACATGTTTGTTATATATAGTTTATATTATAGTTTGGGACATGATACCTAATTCTTTTTCTTCTTCTTTTATTTTTTAAGAAAAAAAGATTAGTATAGTTTTTGATTGCATGATATAAAACTGTATTTCTGCGTTTTTGTTATTGAACCATGACTGAGGGTTTGTTCTGTAAATAGTTAGGATTTCATGAAGATGATCTAGGTTCTATTTGGATAATTTTTTCTGCAATCAATTATAAGTTTCCAAAAGTACATATGATAAAATTTATCTGAACAAAAGTTAGGATAGTTTAGTTGTGTAGGTATGCTTAATGTCTGTTTGGCGATTAGGCATGTGAAAATGCATTGTCGTGCCTTGGCAATAACGATGATCAGAGGCCTGGAAGAGACATGATTTCTAAAAACTTGAAAAGTATTATCAGTGAGATTACAAGGCTCAGGAACTGTGCAATAACATCGGCTGCTTCACGATCTGGTACCACCTCACTCATCCATTAATTGATTGAATTGAACATTGTGTAATTAATGTTCTTAAAGTATCTGCCAATCTTTTAAGCAAATTTGATTGATGAATTAATTTCAGAATTTTAACAGCAAATTGTTTGGTCCTATTTATGTGTCCATCCCTTATTTTGCAATTTTGCCTCTTTGGCACAGTTTCTCATTATTTGAACTAAAGATTTTGGTTGCAATAAGTAACCAAAATTCTGTAGAATTGTGCAGCATATTCTGTTCTTTGTACTGATATTTGGTTAGAGAAGAAGGCTTGGATCTTTAAAGGTATCTCTTATTCCGTGATTTGCTTTGTGATAGGAGTTTGCTATTTGGTTCACTCGTTTACATTATTGATAATTTGACATCATACCCTCTTAAGAGTTCCTTGTTTTGTAGGCTATCTTATCATGTTCCCAAATCTCTCACATTTTTTTGTATCATTTAATTTTAATCTTGGTTTCTCTGATGTCATTTACCTGTTTGTATTCTGTTGATAACTAGAAGTTGGTGCTTTTTTATTCCTTCTCGTATATATTTGTGTTTGTGAAAACTGAGAACCTGATAATGTAATGGCAAAAACTTCTTATTTAGATGGGTATATGGGGGCATTGTATTTGTTATTCCTAGGGACATTGATATGTAAAGTGGATTTTCATATATTGTTCCCTCATCAGTTCAGGTGCAGACGGCAGAGTACCTGAAAAGGAAAATAACAGAGCGGCAAAAGTCGGACTTACACTACAAAGAAAAACGCTGTCTAGCAAGCACTTCTTTCAGAAATGGAATTAAGAGACAGAATAGACGAAAGTTAAATGAACACCAAAGTCTCCTACAGATCAGTGATGAATCAGATGGACGACATCTAAATTTGAGGTCAAATGATCAATTTAATTATGACTTCTTTTCAGTGAATTTATTCCCTGTTTTTTTTTTAATTTCAGTCCCTCTATTTAAGTACTAAAAGTCATATAATATTTGACAAGTTAAACAAGACAGTACTACTAAATGATTATGTACCTTTTGTGGACACTTTTTTTAATTGCAAATCTAAGTATCTTTTACCAAAACTAACCATTTTTTTGTGATCAGTTGAAGCCATGTTGCAGATCTCTAGCTCCGCTTCAAAGCTTTGTGATCGATATTTAGTTGTACTTTGTTCATACCCTATCCCCGCTCTGACAAGTATACTCATGTCTGCTTGGCTAGTAATATCTACGTGCACTCGCATGTATCCATCTTTCGAAGTTGCTGTTTGACGGATGACCATGCTAGAAATTATCCCCTACTGATAATCGACCAATGGTGGGAAAGGGTTGGGGTTAAGCTAAATGTTATCAGGTAGGAAACCTGCATTATAAACCGAAGGTGTTAGAATTGATTATACCTTATCTAAAGTTTGACATGGTTAAAAAGTAAATAAATCTTGAACATACCTCTAAATAAATATAAATTGATCTTTTATGCAGGTCTTTTTAAAATAAAGTAATGCTTTTGAAAATATCACTCAACATTTTTAGAGGATAAATGTGAGTATAAAATTCCAAACTGAGTGAAAATACACATTTTGATTATATTTATGAGATAACAATATTTATGACTATTAAGAGATATTATGATGTTAAATGGTAAGGAATTATTATTTATCCTTTTAAAAGAGATTCTACGGAAAAATTTATATTAAAAACACAAGTACTAAGGTATTTTTAATATTTATTATTAAAAATATATTTCAAGAACTAAAAGGAATTTTATTGATTAAATGTATTACAGAAATTATTAATCTATACTTAACCATTTTATTTAATATGGTACAATATTATACTGAATTTTTAATTTGCTTTGTTTACTAACATATGTAAAATTAATTTACAGATATATTTCTCCCTCCCAAATTCCGAAAATTATAGAGGTCTAAAAAGGTGAGTGACATTGATCAGTAGCCGCCATTATTCCAAGACATATTTCACGTGCCTTGCATGTCCTAATTGAAAATAAATAAAAGAATTGACTGGAATTTCCAATGTTTTAACACTTCGGGCCCGTCCACGAAGTTCACGGTTCGGTTGATTTTTGTTAAATTCTAATCCAATAGTTTATAGATTAGATTGAGTTATATCTATGTCATTTTGTTTATATTAAATTTAAACCTTAATAGTAGACTTGATTAATAAATATTAGAAGATATAAATTATTTTTTATATTGAAGCTTTATATAATCTTTGAATATTTATATTATATTTATATTGATTAAGTTAGATTTTAGAATAAATTAAATTAAATTAAATTTTAATTTTAAAAAAATGAGAAATCGATGTAAAAGTGATAAGAGTTCAAAATTTAGTCCGTAAGATTTGGGCTTGTTCTTATTACTTTTGTTTTGGAGTTTGACAATTTTAAAAATATATTCTTGCAAATAAAAACTACTTTTTTATTTTTATGTAAACCAAAAAATTAGGAGTTCAGGTGAGTTTTTTATTAAATGTTATAAAAAATGTTTGAACAAAGGCGATGGAGATAAAAAAATTATAATAACAAAAATATTAAATATTTGTGATTTTTTTAAACTTTTATTTTTTTATACAAATAATAAAATATATTATATAACGGGTGGATTGGATTAAATATGCACTCTAATGAAGAATAAATTTGATTAGATTGAGTTGAATTTAACCTAAATACTCAAAATACATAATTAAAATATTTGAATGAGATTATATTAATTTGAATTCATAAATATCTAGTGAATAACACTACCAGGAACATCGTATTTTTTAACTTAATGTTGAAATTTTATAATTAAAATATATATATATATATATATATATATATATATATATATATATATTAAATTCATCTCAGAATAATTTATACCCAAATAGTTTTATCGTGAAACTGTATAAAGGCCCTATGTATACTTGAACAGAAGTTATCTTACTGGTGCTGAAAAATTGTTCACCATGAATGAATCTCACAAAAGTTACACTCATGGAAGCCTTTTAGCCGTACAAATTTTCAATCTGGATTTTCTCATTTCTTATTTTCTTTCTATTTCGTATTATCTAAACCTATTCAAAATGGGATACAAGTTTATAATTATTCGTATTGAGGCTACCTTGCAGGTAACAGATCATGATCATGTGCTTCGTAATTATTATTATAAATTATGAACACATGCTTTGCGTAGCGTTGGTCATAGAAACCAAGCATGTTCAAATTTGACGATGATCTCATAGGGAACCGAACTCCATCTGGTCCTGCAGACGAATTCAAATTCAGATCAGTTTGCTACTCATAATCCCACAGCTAGCAAATCTCCTGTCTTGCTTCATTTGTCAAACCCTATACTTCCAATTTCTTGGCTGGTGCCTAAATCTGGTCTGATTTACAAGACTATGATTAAACAATGTTTAATATTCTTTCCACTGTAGTTAAAATCAAGATAAATCATTTTTTCTTTGATAAATTTTTAAAATTTTGTCTTATATTATATATTTAAATATAAATTCAACTCTTTCAAATACTTATTTTTTGTTAGCCTCTACATTCTGTGAAATCAAAGTTTAGATTTGGACAATACTCACCTGTGTGCATGAGGTTAGAAAATATCATCAACTTCAACCAAATTAGATATACGTTTTATTGTCTTAGGAATCAATCACAAATTTTGACTTTACCAGAGCTAAAGGCTTTCTAGCTGGGTGGAGAAAAAGGACTTATCATTATCAACTTTGGAAAATAAAAATAATAAGTTTAAATTAAGATTTAGGGTGAATAATAAGAATATTAAAACGTTACTTTATCTTTTAAATGTTATAATTTGATAGTAGGATACTTAAAATTATTTTTTAATAATAGGAGTGGTAGATAAAAAGTAGTTAGTTTATATTAGAAATAAAGTATAAACACATTTATTTCTAAGAGGGGTTTGTGTGTTTTATCTTTTAAATTGATGTGTATGAGTCAGTTTCGGGTAATTTATAGCTTGTACCTAAAAGTAATATTAATGTTATTCCTTCTAAAAATTATCCCGAAAAATGACCAATTTATTACTAGTTAATTCTTCCAAACTTTCTTTTAATACTTGTAATTTAATAAGAAGATTTACCTAAAACGTGAAGTATCCACGTAAAAGATTAATAATATGTATATGATTTCGAACTTATTGGTTAAAAATATTTGATTTTTTTATTTTTATAACAAAATTATTTCTCTATAATGATTGTTTTAATGTATATAAATATTTATTTTTGTATTATTTAAGTAAAATAATGTGTTATGTGACACCGGGAAAACTAACATCCACCTAGCTATTCTGATTGCTACTTCCACTGTTCTAGATTTTGAAGACCACGCTGGTTTCAGGAATCGAATCTTCAATATCACCAAGGAAACCATTAATTGCTCTGCTTTGGAGCTTGCATGTCCCATTTTTTCTTCAAGAATAGTGAGAGATGTTTGTTTTTCTTCTATTCATTAATAACATTAACTTACGCAACAATTAAAATAAACTATATAGCTTCAGTTCAGACTACATGTTTTTCTTTTTCTTGTTGCCCCTTTTTCACAACTTTCAAGAGTTTCATTAGCTGTTTTGAAGTTGAAAAACAGTAAGAGAAGAGAGGGAATTTACCATTAAGAAATTCAACACACTTGGCCCCATCATGTCTATTATTTTACCCTATCTATATATATTAATTACAATCATTCCAAAGAACAAAACATAAACTTGATCTATAAGACAAACCCATATGCAAATATTGACTGAAAAGTAGGAACTTGAGTTTGCTCCTCGGAACACAAGATTTATGATAGGAATCATGTGGAGGGCATTTAATGCAAAGAGAAGGAATAGGTCTTAGGGTTTCACAGCTAGGTACAGTTTTAATTTCAACATCTCTTGAAATGGGTTTTTCCTCTTTAAAAATCCACAAGGCCTTCGTCTATGTCAGATCAACGCCATTAATTAATTAATTAATTTAATCAAATATATGTTGTTTACATCTTTCGATTATCAATTCTTTTGCCATAATAACTACGTTCTGATATATAGATGAGTAACGCAACATGGCCACGCATGCATGGTTTGCAACAATTAATTTTGTGTTTCTGATATTCAGAATATACAACTCATCCACCTTATTCATAATCATATATCGTGTGCTACAATTAAACATGAGTTGGTCTCAGTTGAAGAGGTTTTGTGGTCATGAATTTGATCAGGAGATATTCATATTTATAGATTGGAAGGGTTTATTGTTTTAATGCATAGATACCTATTGATACTCAAGAAAACAAAATAAAAGATAAATAAAATGTGGATAATCAACTAATAATCTCACAATAAGTCTATCACTACAACTTCATAAGTAATTTTATGTTACAAACATTTTGCATAAAAATCCTCTATTCATGGAGCCTTTTGTCTTTACTCTATGCACTATCTAAATTTGGAAAACAATTTTTTTTAATAACCACCTTCTTTCAGTGAGATTCTGAGGTTTCATTCAGTTCTTATTAGTTATAACACTACTTATCTAAAATTTATAACTCTTTACTAAAAGTACGTTTTGCAATAATAAAAACTTAAATGCTATTTCACAAATTCATTATGAATTGTAATAAAGTCACACGTATATTAGATCAGAGAACAATTTTTTATAGTTTTATGTATAATTATTAATTTCGTTTAATATTATTTTAAGTTACTACACCTAGACTAAAAATTACAAATAGTTTTTTATTTAAAATAAAATAATTGATATTTACTTCTTAATATATGTAAAAGTAATAAAACGGTATAATTAAAAAGTTATAACCACTCTACTACTTATTAAAAATGAGAAATATTTAAAAAAAATCAATACATGTTTAACTTCTCATAATAATAATAATAATAATAATAATAATAATAATAATAATAATAATAATAATAATAATAATAATCTACATAAAAATGTATTAATATCATATACCTAACAATAACAATAAAGATTAAACCCCCTAATTACCGTCACTAATCCACTAGATGAAACAAAAACAAAATTATTATGCCCCCGACAAATAATGTCTTTGTCAATGTTTCTAGAGTCCCATGTGCATGTGCGAATCTTTTATCGCTTAATTCTTAATTACAATCATTTAATCTTAAAACTTCTATTGCCTAACTTTTTATATTTGTAAAGTTATTGGAAGAATAATTTGATTTCTTCTTTTCATACTAGAACATTTCTAGCATATTTTCACTCGATAAAGAAAAAAAGGAGAAACAGAAAAAAATAAATTACAAGAAATATTATGAGTTTAGTATAAATAGCGTCACTCTTGTCCGAACATTAATTCGATTATTAAGATTATCTTTATGTTGTAAGAGATAAAATAAATTATTTCTAACACTATTTTGATTTTCTTTTTCAATCTATATAAATATGAAAAATTACAAGAGATTTGCATTATACACGATGTAATTTTTTTCTACATAATTAAAAGAGAGTTGTTGAGGTTGAATTATGATCTCACGGAAATTAATTTCATTAATGTTTTGGAGACGTAAGTGCAATTTATTCTGATTTCCTTTAAGAAGAAAGTGATGTTTAGAAAGAAAGAAAAAAAAAATATTACTTCGCATGAAATGAATGGTTTCGTTTTTTTTTAGTAAACAATAATTGACAGAGAAATAATTATTCAAAATAGAGTTGATACAATGGCAGGTTCATTTACTTCAACCGACGTAAAAAAAATGTACAAAGTAATAATAAAAGAACGATAAGAAAAAAAAAAAAACTCTTTGAAATTGGTCGTTGATGATGAATAGTTGTAACCCTATACCATAGTGCATGCCACAATGACATATTTTCTTAAGAGTCTACTTCGAAATTGAAGCGTTTAAATGTTTTACATGACAGCATTGGATTTTACACGTTGAAAATATACTTGCGTTAATTAAGATGTTAATGAATTAAGATTATTATTAAGCGGATAGCTAATTTACCGGTATTATAGGTCATTAAAATGGATTTTTCAATATTTTAAATAATATTTATTTTATACTGAAGCACTAAATATTTCATAATTGTTATATAAATGCAATATTATTTTTAAGATGAATGATGTGGATAGTAATTTGAAAGTTGTAGAATTTTATTTTATATGTCATGTGGAGGAGCTTCTAAGAGGAACATACCAATTTTTTTAGAGAATAATATATATATATATATATATATATATATATATATATATATATATATATATATATATATGAAGAGTGGAATATTGATATAAGAGTAAAAAGAAGTAAATGTGACAGGAGTGGTTAAAATTTAAAATTGGTATAATTATAATATTCAAAATACATTTACATTTTTTATTTTATTTTAGTGAATCTTATATAAAATTATTATATGATGTTTTAATATTTTATAAAAATTAAATATCTCAATAACTATACAATATTAATAAATAATATAGGATTTTTTTAGAATATTGATTCCTCTAATATTTTTTTTATCAAGATGGGCTACTGTGTACAATATTTTATAAAGGTCGATATATGACTTGTAATAAATAACGTGGAAACATCATTTTGATGTCTATTATTCGATCAAGACATTTAGACAAAAGAACATTAGGTTCACATTGTTGGAAAAAAAATTGTTCTTACAAATTGTATTCATTTCTGGAAACTAAATCAAATATGTTTAAATCTTCATTTAGAATTTTGTTGAACCACGATTCAACTATTTTACTCAACCGTGTTCAAATTACTGTATGGAAACGTAAACACGCACAAAATCTTAACATTGTATTATTTGTAATTAGTTGATGCAGTGAATGTGAATGAATAAAAAGTTTCCCTGCATTCCACTAAAACACGCATTTGGTATAAAGAGAGAGAAAGAAAGAGAAAAGGAATTGAAAAGGGTTTGCATGTGAGAGGCTGAGCCAACAAACATTCACGTTGGAACCTTCTTTCCACAACTCTCTTGCGACTCTTCCTGCTCTCTCTCTCTCTCTCTCTGTCCAAATCTGCATTCCATTTCATTGTAAAGAAGAGACTTTGAGTTTTTACATGAAAGCTTTTCTTCTTCATAGTCCAAACTCATAAAATAGTTCCTCAAAACGTAAAATTATCAACATGACTTAGAAAATGGAATATCTGTGAGAATGTTTAACTTGAACTATCCATTCACCAATTGTATATATGAGATATTATTGGTATGTACATGTAGGAGTATAAACTAGGTTATTATGTGTAGGTTGGTATATACACATATATAAAAATGAAGAGTCAAATGTGGACGTAAAAACTACACAACTGCGTGCATTGCCAACCTATCACGCGCCTTGGAAGTGTTTGACCACCGCCTAATACATGTTTATTCATCATTTGCCCTAACTTGCCCTCCATTCTTTGACTTCTGTGCTCTCTTAATGTATTATAATGCTGTAAATACCTTTGGCTAAACTTGTAATTTACACCTATGAATTTTCATATTATATGATCAACACGGGAAGAAGTGGTTTCTAAATAACGTTGTTTCTTTTTCTAAAGGATACTTGTATTTTCATTTAATACCATCATGTTGATCATGTTCAAGTCTGATATGATTATTTTAGATGATAAAATTCTCACTCCGAATGTTTAATATAACTATATATCTAAGACTAAAACTCGTTATACTTATTAAGTTGAAAAATTCTGTTGATTTACACGCTTGATTGTTCCTGTATATATTAATTTATTATTATGAATTCATACTTTACAAGAAGGGCATGTGCATCTAGCTAGAGTACATTAGGCAAGCAACTTCAAATCTCAGAGGCCATTATAAATAAGAAATTTTTAGGCTCATTCTCTTAAACCCTTTTCTTGATTGCGTTTTGTGGCTTAATTTTCTTCTTCCTCCTCCTTGCACACATCAAAAGACAACAACAGTGTAATCTCGATCTTTTTCGTTCTGGCTTGTCAGTGTTCTATATATATTGGAAATGGGCGGTACCTCACCTTGTGCTTCTTGCAAGTTGCTGAGACGCCGTTGCTCCAAGGAATGCATCTTTGCTCCTTACTTTCCTTCTGATGACCCTCGCAAGTTCGCCATTGTGCATAAGGTCTTTGGTGCTAGCAATGTCAGTAAAATGCTGCAGGTACCCTTCTTTCTCTCTTTCTTTCTGTGTTTAACCATTCATTGTAATTAAAACCTCTGGCTTCTGTGTAAAATCTTAGTTATTTCTGCAAGTTTGAGTCCTTTAATATTGATTGAAATTTTGCAACCCTTCTTTCTCCTTATTCCTTCCAAATTGATTTCCTAGATATAAAGAGTTATTCAAATGAAAACAGCTGAAATGTTTACAAAGTTAAGTCAGATATGTTATATACATTAATTAATCTTCACTTGTTCCTGTTAACTTGTTTCTCTGTCTTCCAGTCCTTTCGATTAAAAAGTGATGTCTAGTTAAAAAAATAACCTGTTTTCTGATTTTTAATTATTTTTACTAATTTATCACTTTTTATCTGGGGAAATTGGATATATAAGAAATATGACATGGGGAATGGCACTTAATTTGATTTCAATCTATATATAATAAGTAATGAGGACAGGTAATTAATTTGTTGCCATCGAATCAATATATTCACATAAGATATTCTTTATGCATTTCGTTTACTAGCATCCTTCAATTGTTCTCGGTTCAGTACCTTCTAGAAATGAACAAACTAATTTTTACCTGAAACATGATTTAGTGTACATAAAACTTTTTTTTTTTTTAAATGCATAATAGACAAAGTCATTACCTACACCAAATCATGTGTGGAGTTCATAGGTACATGTTTTTTCCTGTAGTGGCTATGTAATAGTATTCACCAAATTTTGTTCCTCTTGTGTGTGTGTGTGTGTAGGAGCTTCCAGTTCATCAAAGAGCAGATGCTGTGAGCAGTTTGGTTTACGAGGCAAATGCAAGAGTGAGAGATCCAGTGTATGGATGTGTTGGAGCCATATCATACCTTCAAAACCAGGTTTCGCAACTGCAAATGCAGCTTGCAGTGGCTCAAGCAGAGATTCTATGCGTCCAGATGCAGCAACAAGAACCAACCCTAACCACACAAGTAGACCAAGATCACAAATCACTCCTCCTATCTGTTAACAATAATAACTATGAAATCCTTCCTCAGTATCTTAACTTTCCTTCGTCCTCTTCCACATCTTCAAATGTGTTCCAAGACCCCCATGAGCCTCTTAAGAGAGAGTCTTTTTGGACTTAAATTTACCAATATTCAATGGATTTAAACTGTTGCAAAATGTTTTGTTTCAATTTCAACCCTTTTGTTAGTCTAGTCTGATCATGCCTTTTGTCTTTTACTGCACCTTTGTTTCATCTTATTCTTGTTGTTCACACATGCACGTAGAAATTAAGTGGGAGAGAAAAAAAAAAGAAAAAACATTAACTAAGTTCAAGAGTGAGATATTAAAATTGTTTAGAGAAAGTGTGTTCATAAAGTTTTTTTTTTTTAATAGTAGGAAGGGAAAGAGGTTCAGAAGGAAAAAATACGTGATAATTTAATATTAATGTGATGGAGGAGAGAATGATATTATAAAATATTGTATAAATAATGAAAGTTTCGACTAAAACAAAAAGAAGCATAATGTACGGGTCAAATCATGCATGTGCAATCTGTCGTATACAGTTGAAGGTTTAATTACAATAATTGTATAGAAAGAAGCTGCATGAAAAACTTTCTTTTCTATGTTACGTAATCATATGAAAAAGTTTGACTTTAATCATACGAATAAGTTGGATTCAATAAGTAACTTTTCAATGAAGGGAGTTTGTAACTTTTTAATTAATTTTGTGGCTTTTTTTTAATGATGTTTTACTCCTAATGTAACAACGTTTGACATCGATTAGTGTAATATTTTTTTTTCCTATATGGATCTTTCATTCTATTCTATTGAACCAAAAACTAATTTTATTCATGGCGTTTGTTCAAAAGATTCTTATATGGAACACCGAAATATTAATTAACAAATCATTTTAACTTTACAAACCAACTATTCTCTCTGTTTTATATTATTCGTTTCGTTAAAATTATGTTAAGATAGAAAAAAATATTAAAATATCTTACACGGTTTTTTATTTTATTTGTAATTATTATATGTTCTTATACACACGTTTAAGAGTAACTATTATATTCATCATATATTAAACACTAGTTTCCCACCTAATTGACTTGTAGTTTGTGTTGCACCAAGAATTATTCAACAATATTATTTCATACCTATTTGAATGGTGGCTAATAAAAAAAAGTTGAGCTATTTTATTTAAGATGTAATATTAAAATAAATTATAACTAGTGTATTAAAAGAAATAAATTACAGTTATTTAAGAATTATCATAAGAAAAAACTTTGATATCTTATAAAATTCTTCATGTATCTCTTTGTTTTGACATGGATATTCTCAAACGTAGAATTTCACTCCAAAATATTTGTGGAGAATAAAAGAAAAAAATTTATAGGAAAAAGTTGGACTCTCTCCAAACAGTGTTTGTTCCATCTTAAAGAAATAATTAATAATTAATTTTTTATTCGCAATAGATCATACAAGATTAGTCATGTGCTAAAATTTATTTAAATTACTCATATTTTAAATGATATGACAAATTTGTAATTTTACTTTTGAACATATACTCAAAAGATAAAATTATTTGTAAATCATGCCATATTATATTAATAGTTATTAGAACTTTTCATCAACACCAAACAAAATTATAAATTTCACTATTTGAAAATTAAAACAAACAATCATATATGTTTAAAAATATGTGTTTGAAAAAAAAAATATAAACATTTCAAAAAATATCCAAATGTAGAAACTAACTCTATAAAATTTCTTAGCTTTGAATTCCCAAGAATCAATGTCCAATTGAAAAATGAGAATGGAAAAAACCGAGTAAAAGGAACAAAATTGGTCAATATGTTGTCTTCAATTCAACTAATCTAATATTTACTTTTTGTAAATTACACAACTCCGCATAAGACTTTTGATTCGTTTGACATAAAACCACCATCCACATGTTAAATACGTTTCTTATGATTCTACTTAGAGTTCAATTTTCGACCAACAAGTTTCTCATTCTGCTAAAAGAAATAGCGGAGAAGTCTTCAATAGGAATCAGATAAAGTGGATCACATTATTTATTTAAAACAAATTAAATTAATTTATCTCAGAGGTATCATAATTTTATACTAAATCTTATCTTTTATTATACAAACTTCTTCATATATTACATTACACTAGTTTTCCTTATTTATTTGAAAAACATTATATCTGGTACCATTAGAAGAAATTTATGATTTAGCAATCGAAATTACTTACTAAAATAAATTGGTCGTCATTAGAGACCGTATTAGTGACTATTTTTGTTCATTCACAATTACAGAGCGAAATAACTATCTTTGTCTCATTGTTTTGTTTAGCTATTGAAATAATCATCATGGAAATATAATCAGTTATACGAATATTATTTTAATGATAAAATTTATGAGTAATTTGTAACTAATTAATATTTTAATTTAGCAATAAAATATCACCCACTTGTTAAATTGTCACGATGTTCTAATTTAGCGATAAAATATAATTTAGTTGTTAAGTTGTATTTAAGTATTTTGAAATATAACATAAAATAAATCAACAGTAAAAATAAGTTTAGTCTAATAAATTAATTGAAAGATCTAATACATAAATTAGACTAAAAAAAATTATAATTTAAATTGAATCATTTATATTTTGTTTCATCTATTTAGGCCTATATATATAAATTTAGGTCCATAAATGTATAAGATAATATGATTTATAAATAATAATTATTTTTAAATAAAAATAAAAATAATATCATTTTATTATATATATATATATAATAATAAATTGGTAAAAAATTTATTTATTCTAAAAGTAAATATAAATTTTTAACATCAAATTTTATTCAAATATCTAATAATTAAGATAAATTATTATATTAAATCAATAAATTATTAAACAATAATTATAAGAATGAAAAATTATTTTTTATTTTAAAATTAAATATAATTTTTATCTTGTAATTATATATTAAATAATTATATTTAAAATAAAAAATAATTTTATTAATATAATTTAAATTTACATTTTTTATTTAAATAATTTTTAATTTATTATATTGATATAAACATAATAATTTAATTTTTTTAATAAAGTCAAAATTGATCGTTCACTTGACTAAAAAAATTATAACTTATTTAAAAATATAGATTAGATTGAATTATTACCAACAAATTTTAAATTAAGTGAGACGGTCATCATTTTAACAACTTTAAATAAATATGATTAAAATTTAAAAGAATATTTGAGTCACTAACTAAAATATATTTAATTATAAATATATTTAATATCTATTTTTAATTTCTTTACTACATATTTATAAAAACGGCTTTTTTTATAATATAGAATATGTCTATTTTGTATAATTTATAATTATTTTTCATACAATTTGTAGTTTCATTTATGTTTACTATTTATATTTATCTTTTATAAAATTAAAATAAATTTTCTATTCATTTATTTATGATGTTATTATTTTAATATAAAATATTATTTAAATATATATTTATTACTTATGCATGTTTAATATAATATTAATCAAATTGAAATTATTATGTTAATTTATGAAATTAAAAATATGATTTATCTCTCAACTCGTTTATGAAATCAATACTATTACTAATTATTTTAAATATTATAACTTAACAATTAAATCATAAATAATAATAATTAAAAAATTTAGATATTTAATATTTTTCATAAATGTGATAAAATAAAAAGATAAAAATATATAAAAAAATATTCTTCAAATAAATGAAATAAAAGTCTAAGTTTAATATATATATATATATATATATATATATATATATATTCAATAATCATTATTAAAAATATAATTATATTTACTAATATTATCAAATAAAAAAATTATTTTAAGAATTAATTTATTTTCATTTTTCGTTATTAAAATATTGCAAATATTAATTACTTTTAAAATGTCATAATTTTCCTTTTTATTACTGTGCAAGACATACTTCACAATTAATTTTATTTAAATCATAGCAAATCACAAATCCTTTAAAGACATAAATTTTTATTTTATATGCTTAACAAAAACTTAAATTACAATCAGTTTTCTTATTTATTCTTTACTAAAATTTACTATTACTTTTAAAATAATATAAATTTATTTTGTATTATTAACAAATAACTAAATCACAATTAATATAATTTCTTAGAAAAATACTTTTTACAATTATTTTTTAAAATATTTCAAATGTTATTATATTAATTTTAATAATTATAAATATTAAAAATAATATTTGAAAATATAAAGTAATAACTAATAATTAATTTTATTAATAAATATAGATTAAAACAGGAAATGAAAATAGAAATTATTAACAATAAAAATAAAAATATTTTAAAATCATTTTAGCTCAATAATGGATTCCTGAAAGAAATATAGATGCATAAATTAGTAAAAAGGTCAATAACTTTTATTTCTTATAGGCACTGTGCTACTACTGAATTATTTTTATTCTAAGTTCGGATGGGTGCAATTTTTTTTTAATGAATTAAACTTTAATATATATATATATATATATATATATATATTATTTATAATAATTATTTTAAATACTTAAGTATATTTTTAAATTTAAAGTAAGAATTTTTTTTATTTGTCTATCTCAACTGATTTTTAAGTTCCTAGTGAGAGTTTAGTTTATCTTTTTGCACTAAGAATATGACATTTAAATTTAATTATTGAAAATGAAATGAAATGAATATATATTCAAAAACGTCGTTCATAATTACTCTTTTTATTTGGGAATGAGTGATATTTAATATTTATCATAATAATTAAAATAATAATGTAAGCTAGGGAAGTTTTTTCATTAAATTATACTCATTGTTTATTCTTTCTCTCAATATTTTTATTAAATAAAAAGCACTAACAACATTAAAAAATTAACTATTGAGATTTACGATGAAATTAAACACTTAATTTTAAACATCCAAAGTTAATTATGATTTTGAAACATATAAATTAAATTATGAGATGAATAAAAAATTTTGAGTTGAAGTTTTACATTCATGAAATTAAAAACTTATTTTTAAATATCTAAAGTTAATCATGAGATGAATAAATAATTTATTTTTCTATTTGAGGTGAAGTTTTATA